GGGGGCCAGACTGCCCAACCGTTGGATTCGGTTCTCGGGTCCATCGCTGGCAAACAATGCAGCATTAATTGGCCTTTGTTAAGAAAAACCCTCCGAGGCTTCCCCAGGCAAGCCACAGCCCAACCCGCAATGGCTTTTGTCCTCTTTTGAGAAATAGAATCCTAGTTTCGAAAGCCGAGATGGGTATTTTGCCTACGGGCGACTTATCTCAGGAGTAAATCCTTCGGCTGTTAGAGTTCAAGCAGACCAAAGCCAAAAAAATAAAAAAATACCGATTGCCTCGCCTGGTCGGGGCCGCAGAGGCGTGCTTTTGATAGATATCCTTCGGCCTCTGGTCGAGATTATTGCCACTAGAATTTCTAAGTTGCGGGCGGCCTGCCTGACTCGGTTTGAGGTGGGCCTGCTGCCCGAGCCCTCAGCATAGCTCGACTGACTCAGTTGAGGACTGAAAGGGCGGGCCGGGAGGGCAGGCGAAAAGGATCCATTGGATTTTGGACTACAGAAACGAGACACTTGCTGGGGCGCTTTTTGGCTTTGGCCGTTCGGCCACTCCTTGCGTTGATTTTTTCTCCTTTTTGTGTTTCCCTTTCCACAGCGAACCACCTTCTCCCTCTCCTAAAACCAAGACCGGAAGAACCTTCTGTGGCGAGAAGTGAGAATGGATTAAAAAAGAAATTGAAAAAAAAGTAGATTGGATGTATGTCCTGGGGAGGTCGAAGGGTCTGCGGTTCAAGAATGCCCTGGGCGAGCTTCTGCACAAGTGAATTTTGAGAAAGAGGTTCAAACATGCCAAAGCGGCAGCCACACACACATCCTCGGAGCATTCACCACATGCCCCAATCTCGAGGCAGTTGAATGGTGGTGCGTTTGCAATATCTAGCCGCCCTCGACCCCGTGCCAACGATCGAGGCAACGCCACGGTAGCCCCGCGCGCCTCTGGAAGCGAGCACACCTATCGTGGAGCTCTCTCTCCCTGTCAGCGTCGGAAATCGGGTTGTCAATCTGGCAGGGGTGGTGTCTTCTCCCACGAGGTCGTAGCCGCCTCGACAAGGTGCCGTGTCATGCTGGGACTGCTTCCAAATATTCTTTTGGTTTCTCTCTTGGCCTCGACGTGAGGCAACAAGTAATAAGTGGTTGGGCGCATGGCATTGGGGCGGGGCGGCTATCCTTCCCGACGAGCCACGGCGACAGTGTTTGCGAGAAGGCTGGGGTTACAGCATCCTGCCCCATCCATCCTGCCTGGAATTAATTGAACGCATGGCAAAGCAAAAGGTCAGGTCAACCACCGACGTGAGCCCAGCGTTTGAAGCATGCCTTTGATTTCTTTTTTTCATTATTTGATTTCCTTGCGAGAGAGGTTTTGCTAAAGGTGCCTCTCGTGCCATTCCTCGGCCAATCGTGGCTTCGTTATCGAGCAATCCTCGGGTTACCACATGAAGGAAACCTCAGGCAGAAGCGGGGTAAGCGATTCTGCAGAGGGAGTGTTCAGAGAGAGGCTTGAACCCTGGTAGACCCCGTCAAGAGACACGCCACTGGAACAGATGGAATGGAATGGGCGAAGGATTGTTCAATGGCTGGCGGATTGTTTACCGGAAGCGCTGCAGTTGAAGGACGATAGCGCGGGGCTAGGGCGAACACAGCCTGTAAGCAGGCCATTGATGCTGTGAAGGAGCCCGTCAAGCCCGTAAGGAAGAACCTGTTCTCCACCAAGGGAGCGTCGGGGTTCGCGAATAAGGTCTCGATACCTCTGGTCCAGCCTCTCTGTGGTCATCAAAATGGCTGGTTTTGTGTTGCAAAAGTACTGGTACATTGTGGATCTCGCTTAGGGAATCGCTGTTATCAGTGGGGAATTCTGACTGGGTCAGCCCCACCAAGGCCTCTGGAATCGTTATGTGATTGACCCGAGTGCAAGTGAACGAGTTCTTCGAGTCTTCAAGACCGCAAAAGAAACATTCCCACCTTTCTGTGTGAAGCCCAGGGCCGCAGACCAAGATTCGCCCCGTTTTCTTTCTTTTCAGTATTTTTATCTCCTCTATCTCTAATCCACTGAATCCCGTTTTGTTCTTTGACTCCCCCAAGTTGAGACGTTGTGTTATTTTCTAATAGGGTTCGGAGGCCTGACAGTTGATGGTTGGCTGCCCGTGTCTGTTTGAAAGCACCCTTCTTCCTGGTTGGTCATTGGTCAAGGTCGCTCTGTTTGCCCGAGGTGGCCGTTGGAACTGGAAAGAAAAGCCTAGCGTGTTTCTTCGGTACCGCTTGGAGCGAGCAAAGCCACGGTCGGGCAATCTGATTTGGGTTCCTCTTGTTTGTTTATTATGTGTAAAGTGTTTGGTTGCTTCATTGGCACTCGATCTCTAGAAATAGCACACTCCTTTTTAAAAGATATTAGTGCAAACTCCAATTTCACAGTGGCAAATTCCCCAATTCGCTTTACCCCGGATGATATGGGCTTCATCAATTCATATCTCGGCCGGGGCCAAAAATAAGGATTTGGAGTAATAAAAACCCGGTGCTTGCAATGACTGGTGGAACCCGGTAACGCCTGGTGGGTTGTGGGGTTTGTGAATGGCAGGATTGAGGCGCCTGTTCGTTTCCCAATCACCAACCACCAGACGTTTGAGGCGCCGTGGCATGGTGCAGTTGGGGGAGACAAAACCTGGGGTGCGCACCTCTGCTGCAACTGAGAAGAATCCAAAGCATCAAAATGAGGGAAAGTGAAGGGGAAGCGAGTTCGTGGAGGTTTACATCGACGTAATTAACGTGCATGAGCTTAGAACACTTTGACATCGGCTGACGACCTTTCCAAGAATGAAACTCATGGCACCACGTGCGATGAGATGATCCACCAATGCACCTCAGCCGTGGTGCGATTTCTCTTTTGAGCAGAAGATATCATTTATTTGTTGTATCAATATCTTGCCTTGAGAAGAGGGTCCCATTTCCCATTTGCTGTTTCTTGAAACAGAGGGCCAAGGGAGAGAAGACGGAGGGTGGGGAGTAAGCAAGGTGCACGCAGAATGCTAGCACCCGAGTAGCAATCATGCAGCCAGGCGCCCTGGGCGAGACAAAAGAGGGGTTTCCTTCATAGATATGGATTAATTGACGACTGACAAGACGACTGGCTTTTTGGAAACAAGGATTCAAGAAGAGGGAGAGGCAGTTTGCCGAGTTCTCTTTGGTGATCAAGAGTTGCTGAGAGACGGAAGCAAAGCCCTGCTCGTGTGTCTCCCAACGGCCTCGGCGGTCCGTTCAGCTGTTGGAGTTTTCGGCATTGGCCTGGGTCGCTCTCGCCTCAGACAAGCTCGGCCGTGCCATCCCAGTCAGCAGCTAGAGGTTTGGTTTGGTCGGGGAAGTACCTCCCTCCATATTGAGGGGAGGAAGGAAAAGAGAAAAAAAAAAAAAACATTGACTGTGAACCAAGGGAACCAAACCCGCTGGCTCACTCCTTCCCTAGCCAGTACGACTGTGCCGCCAACACACTAGTCCGCATTTGGCCGTTCTGGATCGGCTTCTTTCTCTGAGGGAGGGCAAAGGAGGAGGACTCCACCTTTTCACCCACCGCCACATTTTTGGTTCTCCGTGCTTGCCATTTGCATCCGCCATCCCGTGCCCGGGGTATCCACACCCACCACCCAATCCTCGCCTCGCCCTTCCGCCCACCCTTCTTGCTCTCTCATGTGGTCGTGCTTGCATTCCATCTTTTTTGTTCGTTCTACTTGCGACCATTGCGACTTCAAGTCGGTTGGATTCTCGTTCGTTCGCTGGATGATACGTCGTGTTTTGGGCGACCTGGGCTTGATACTTGATGTGGGGTGTCTGCCTCCTTCCCCGGTTTCTTTTCCCTCACGAAGCTCTCCCAGCCATTCATTCATCCATAACATCGTCCAACCTCGCAAAACACCACACCCTTGGACTCGACCGCCTTCTCGTCCCCACCGCCCACCACTCTCTTTTTCCTCGGTTTATTTTCTTTTTCTTTTTCTTTTTCGTTTCTGTTGCTTCCTTCTTCTGTCAACCCAACCTGGACAGATACCTCGAGCAAAACCCGCCTCACCGCCGTTAAGTAGCCCGGTTGGCCACCTCTCTCTCCTCCCCACGTCTTCGCTGGCCTTGCGTGGCTTGACGACCTCAAAGGCACAGGGGTTCGCACAATTTTCATCACCTGCCAGCTCATCCGTATCGTCCGGCAAGGCCTCTCACCCAGTGCTGATTGGTGTCCCCGCCCTCACGAAGACTTCAACGAGCCGCTAGCAACACCTGTGCTCCGGCCCAACTACCACCTTGGACCTTGATCAACTCGATACGGTACACGTGGACGGTCAAGCAACAAAAGATTGTGTGCGGTCATTCGCAATCCCGTGCCCGCCGCTCCTGCGACAATAAACAATTGGGCAATTCTAACAGAAACGAAGACGAGCTTTGTGCGGCCTCGTCCCCCACGTTCTGCGCCCTCTCACAACAAACGACAGCGCCGCAACGTTTAGCAGTATCCGTCACCTGTCTTTTCTCGCCCTTTCACTTCTATCCTTTGCTGAGAGATGGGAAATAACGCAGCTTACTTTGGGGCCTTCATGTAATTGGGTGCCGTCACTCATCCGTGCATGCCAACGTTTTCTGCACCTGGACTCTAACCCCTTCGTCATCGCAAGCAAGAAAACCGGGCTTTTGACCCAGTTTCTCATGTTCCCTGCCCTCCCAAGGTCCCACCCCCTTCCGAATCCGGCCACGGTCCTTCGACACCTCCACCAAGCTTTTCTTCTCCACTGTGCCCCACCGGCTCCAAGCTCCGAATTTTCTCTTCCCTCGCCCCTTCTTGAATTTTCCCACCGCCGCTGTGACCGTCCTTGCCCAAGAGTCATAGCTCACGAGCAACAACACAACCTCGGGAGCACACTTACTGGCGGTGGCCTCTACCACCTGCCATTTTCTCCTCCACGCACCAATTCCATTCTTCTTCTTCTTCTTTTCTCCCTCCCTCTCTCACCACCATAGCCGAAACAATGGCGCCTGATTTGAAGCCGTTATTGTTGCCTCAACTCGTTGAGGAGCGCAAAAGGCTTGAAATGTACGCCCAGCACACGCAAATGCAAACGACGCAGCAGGCTCCTACCGAATTCGATCTCGCCAACATTTACTATACGACGAATTCGTCCTCTTCCGACGTCGGTTCGCCCGTTACTCCAACTTTCTCTTCTCGCGGCCATCTCCGCTACTCCAGCTCTGTCTCGTCACTCGATCTGCCCTTCGCTCTTACCGAACCACCCTCGTCGCCTGCCCAAGTTGCGCACTCGGTCAAGTCATGCGTGCGTCAACTGCCTGATGTTGAAGAGGAGCCCGTGGAACGAAATGACCTGGACCTTCCCGAAGGTCTTTATGATTGTTTGTGTAAGCCTCGCCGCCACCCCGATCGGCCTAGTTGTCCGGGCCTCGCATCTTCTACAGCGCTCGCCCTTGGCCAGCTCTCACAAGTACTAACATCTTACCTTCTTGTAGGCGATGAACCGTTTTGTGTACACCGTTCCAATCCCAGCATGATTGATCAGCATTTGAGTCTGGACTATGAGGACCTTGGCTTTATGAGCGATACCGATTTGTCCGGCGCGCGATATAGGAAAAGCCTCCGGATGGGTAGCGCGGAAGCCACTCTGGCGGGCATCACCTCTCGAATCGGTTCTCGATTTCCCAATCTCCCCGCTGGGGTACCTCGAAAAGCCGCTCGACCAATGTTTCCATCTACGAAATTAGCGCCGAGAGCACCACCCGGATGGCTGCTGCGACGTCGAGCCGCTCATCCTCCATCTCGTCGCCTTACCCCCTCAGTCCTAACTTTACTCCCGAGGCGGTCTACTCCCCTCGCCTTCCCAGTCTTTCTGGGGCTCCGTGGAAAGCGTCGTGCTGCCTATGCTCGACTTAAACGCCGTTGCGGACTCTGGCCGGAATCTGGAACGCGAGCGGGCACTGGCCACAACTCCCCTTCTCCCCCTCTTGTAACGGATGCCCCTCCTCAGGTGGACCCGCGACGACCTCAGTCCCCTACCCGCGCCCGATCCGCGAGTGTTCTCGAGCGTCCCAACCCCGGCCCGCCTCTTGTCCGCTCGTCGAATACAACTCCTGCGCTCAGCACGAAGCCTTCTTTGACGTCGTTCCGGGCCTCTCCCATCAGCCCGGAGCTTCCGGTTCCATTTCCCAACATTTTGAATGACGATGAGTGGTCGGATCGCCTCGGCCACGCCAACTTCACCATTCTCCCTCTTCCGTACCAACCCGAAGTTGCCGACCTCGACAGTTTGAAGAAGCTACGCGAGGATTGGGACCACGCCCGCACGAACTATACTAAGCACCTCTTCCGTACGGGCGAGAATTACGGCGAGACGAGCAAGATTTACGGCCTTACCGAGCAAAAGTGGGCCGAAGTCGAACAATCCTGGAAGCGTATGCACGACAAGGCTGTCGAACAGATACTTGCTGCTAGCACCGCGCCGCAATCGGTCTCCCAGCCTAGAAGCCGGAGCCGGGGACGGGGTAGGGGCCGTGCTGAAAGCACCCCTCCCAAAAATGTCATCAATGACATCTATGCCAGCATGGAATGGAAGCGATTAGAGGACACCAAGCCAGGAGCCTTCCCTAGGATGTTATGCGAGACCAAATTCCCTCCCGGGGTGACGAGGACATTGTTGGACCTATGGTTCGTGATGCGCCCATGTGCAGAGCGGAAAGCGCCGACGGAAGGCGCATCAGGCTCTGGAGAAACCTTGTTGACAAGGTTGGCCTCAAGAAGTGATGACGACTGGAGCACCGGTTGCTGATGAACTCCGATGAGAGATCTGATCATACTTACGAAATCCGTTTCCTTCTTGTTTTTTTCACTTCTTTTCTTTATAAGATACCCATCTTGTTTTCTTTTTTTATATCTCCTTTTCACAACTTCTCGGAAGTCTGAGATGGCGACTGTGCCACTTTGATTTCCTATCTTTCGGGCTTCGCGCGGTAACCATGTCCTGGTTATATGGGCCCGTGATGCCTTTCTAGACCTTGCGAGCGAAAAAATGTTTGTGCATAGATACCACGAAGGGCCGCCACACAACGCGCCTCTCCCACGCGTGTTACTTTCTTCCCATCTCTTTACTTGTCTTTAAAGCTCACGATAGGAGGGAGCTGTATTTGGATTACATTCATGTCGATAGACGGCGGTGGAGGACAAGTTGATCCCCACACGCCTGGTAACTGGAGTTTATGGCATTTGCTAGAAGAGGAATGCCGGCTTATGGGCATGGGAGGATAGCCTTGCCTCCTGTACTCGAGGGAGAAGCGGGGTTTGGACCTTGCCATGGATGAGGAGGCTCATGGGCTTCCACCGCAGGACAGCCGGTCTCGGCATGTACGCTAGGAAACGCAGAGGTGATGCTTGACGCTGCTAAGCAGGGCCAAGCTCATTCTGCGCTGAAAAGAGTCCTTTGAAAACGAACAAAAATTTAAACATAAAAAGTCCCAAACAAATACAATTATGTTAAAAACTTGGACCTCGCTCTCTTAAACAGTCTTAAGGCAATCTCATGTATGATAGGAAGGTTGGGCGTTCTGTTTCGTATTGGCGGACGCCTCCTGACCAGTCCTGCGCTGGCGCCCATTTGTAGGCGCCGGATGAAGGGCACGGAGGGAAGAGTAGTCGAATTCCTAGGAACCCTTGGGCTTGTAACCCCTCGGTAGTCCGCTGTGTCATCATGATAGACAGTTTCGGCAACCAGCGGGCGCTGCAAGCCAGAACCTTGAAGAAACAAGTGAGTGGAACAGGGAGCGACGAAATGGCAGGGTTCTGGGCCTCGTTCAAGTTGCCTCTCTCTTGTGGCCAGAACCCCGCCATTCAAGGGCGTTGACCCACGGCTCTAGGTATATTTTTCTCCCCTCCCTTCGGGCTTCCTTCATATGACTTTGATTGTTTTTGTTGGGCATTTAAATCAACAAATGAGGTGGGAGATGGGACGGAGCGGGTGGCTCGGGCAAGTGATAGCCGGGGGACCAAGACCTCGACCGACCCGGACCCCCACCCGGCCATGTTGGCGCCGTGTCGCTGTCGATTTGGTTTCATTCGACTAGAATATCACGACTCACATTCTCTGCTCGTCATCAACCCTGTCTCTTTGTCTCCTCTATAATGACAGCCTGGCTTTTTTCTTTTTCTTTCTTTTGTCGGCGCGGAATTGGATCTGGTGGGAAGAGCTTCCAAGTTGGCTGCGGCTGAGCGGCACGTATAGCGCATTCCCGGTCCCGACTTGTCTCTCCTTCTTCCATTCTGTTCTGCCTCCTTCTCCGCTCCCTTTGTCTCGAGGGAGCTGCACATTGAGTGTGCCGCCAAGAACTTTGATAGCATATAGGCGGATGCATGGAGGGTATGAGACAGACACCAGTACTGAATTGCTCCTGGGGCAAAACAATAATCATTTCACGTACGACTTGCCGGTCTTTTACCCCCTCTTCTTCTTTTCTTTTGGTTTCGGCGCAAAGCGGACATGACTCTTTGTCTTTCAAGTTTTTATTTCTCTCTTCTCTTACCCACCCGGCTCCGAATTCCATGGCTGAAGAACAGAAAAGATGCAGGCTGCACGGTGTTCTTCCCTTGGGAGGGAGGGCGGCGTCAAGCAAGCAATTGCGCTGAGGGATGTGCGGGTTATCTTCTCCAGATTCGTCATTGCCGCATCCTCCCCGATTGGGAGGAACCCTCATAGGGCACACCGGGAGACGTACTTGCTCCCCGTCCCCCGTCCCCGTTCCCCCTCCCTCAAGAGGTTGTATTTGGGTTACACCCGTAATACAGGCTGCCGGAGAAAAAGGTGGGGGAGAGACACACGACGAGAGGAGTCAGCCAGCTTGGAACAGATCGAGGAAGAATTATGAGAGCAAGGTCGTTTTCACAAAGGGCCTGGTTCTTGACGCTGGAGGTGGATCAATTGATACCATTGGGGGCCAATTGATCGGAGGAGGCCCCGGCTCGGAGAGAGGTACGTTGCAGGGGTGGCATGTAGGTGAAGGAAGAACGGGGGTGTTTATCCGTTGAGACGTGGATAGAGCGACGAGAGATACACGTTCTTGTTGAGGTTTTTCGGTCTGGGCATCACCGCTTGGCCGGGGTGCAACGCACACCGTGCCCCTGCTGCATACACCCATGGGGCGATGGATCAATCAATTGATGAGATCGATGAATGGTCTCTCGAGAGGAAAAATCTCTTCATCGGAGAGCATGCGAGGGCAAGCTGAGGGGAGGACGCTCTGGTGCTGCTCAATTATCATTTTCATTTTATCTCCGTTATAGACATGCGCGCGCACACATACACACAACCATATACTCTCTCTCTCTCTCTCTCTCTCTCTTCCTCTCTCACCTTTCTTTGATCTTGGGGACAATACCATTTCTCGGTCGGGACGAAAATGCGTGGGTTATGTAGGCGAGGTGAGGACGCTGGCTGTTTCTGCTTTTTTGGGTCGTTGGAGAGATACCAGCCCTGAACCTTGCTTGCCCAGACGACGAGGGTTTCAACCAAAATTGGTACCCAGTGTTAATATCTGGCCGCTCTAACGCGACAAAGTACCCCCACCTCTGACGCAATTGGCTACCTTTGCCCACGTTCTCCAACTTCGCAGTATCGGAGTGGTCGCGACCGCCCAGCACGTGCTCGCATTCCTTCTCTAACAGGCCAAGCAAACACCTAGCCCCTCGTGGAATTGGCGTGCTGAGACTATTAGCGTAAGGGGGGAATTAAAAATGAGAGAAGAAATAGGCGGGGTGAAAGAATGTAATCAAAGTGCAAAATAAAAAAACTATTGGATTTCTGTCTCTTGTCGAACCCATCATTGATTCTCGCGACGTGGGGTATTCGGCCAGTGGTGCAGGCCGACCCGGATGCGCGGCGGCGCGACTGCCGTCCAAGACGCCGCCCCGAAGACGGGCACAGAAGCGCCGTGGTGGGCCTCTGACGGAAAGTGTGACATACGACCCCTCCCCAGAGTTTGGAGGCTATGGGAGAGGGGGTTATCACTCTCTCACTCACAATTGACATGTGCAACATTGTCACGAACAGTGACGTGCGCAGCGATAGCGACTTGGCGCGTGGTCACATACCTTGCTTGGCCGCTCGCAATTGGTGTCGACAGCGAGCCAAACAAGTGATCTACGAAGATGGCTTGAGGGGGCAGTCCAGAGAACTCAAGTGAATGAATCAAGAAAGCGGGGTTGGGCTGGCCTTGGACTTTTGCCCATCCATCGAAAAGGAGGTGCAAACACATCTGGAACCAAGGAACATGGGCGAGGACCCGTGTCAGGCCTCTGAAATCGAATTACGGGGCGTAGATGACCTATGCCAAGAGGTGATCGAAGGGGGAACTTGGAGCTTTATGGAGTTGGATGATAGCATGGTCCGCACTTGTACATCTGATCCTTCCAACGAAGTTTAGGCTTGGCGATGTCTCATTTACGGCATTCCGTGTTATCGGCCTCCACGTTGCAAAAGCGAAAAGAGTGCAGTCGGCCTCCACTCTGCGCTGTACAGCCACGCTTGGTGAAAAAAATACGTAGTTGGTTTTTAGGGGAGGGAGGGCGAAATCGAAGAGCGCTTGCCCGCTCGTTAGCACAAGGAGTGGGCGCAGCCAGGCCAGGCTAGTCTGGAACACGCGTTTTTGGAGTGGAGCTAGAATTGAGCTTATCGCTTTTTGCGCTTCCCTTGGTTGTATTTGATTTACGTAGCGTGTTTGCCAAAGAGGCAAGCGAATCGCCTAGAGTCGCTTCAAAGGCTATATTTGAGAGCAACCTACCATTTTTGGGAGGCCTGGCCGATAGGCTCTGGAATTCGACCACCCCGTTGGCAACGAATGCAGAATGCGTGCGCGGGGTCAACCGAGGGGCCCGGATGTTGTTCGAGAAACGCACCCGACGTCTTCCTCCCAATGTACGTGCCGCAACGGGCTAATTCGGATCCCAATGCCGAGACTGGCAGAGATGCGGGTTAAGGAGGAAACATTAAGCCCGTTAGGGGTCCTGCGGCCAATCCGCCATCCTCTTGGTGTCGTACGAGGTCCGGGGGATGTAGATGCTGCTGATGCGTGTTCGAAAGCGGCGTGTGGTGGTGTGGGCGCGGGTGCATACTACTGCGTCGCTTTCCCGCTCTGGAAGGTTGTGTCCGCTTGGACACGGTGGACCTTTCTCGAGAGCGAAGGATACTCGTTATCCAATTGAATTGCATTAGATCTAGAACAGTGGTGGGACGGAGAACGGACCCTTTGGCATTTCTTCTCTCACAGTGTCTGACGTGATGAATGACAATTAACTTGGCGTCCCACGAAACCGACTCGGGGAGGGTTAGCAAACTTCGATTCTCATCCTGCTGGGCTTTGCTTGGATTTGAACTTGTTAGTGGGGAAGATAGTTGCGGGGAAGACACCCTTAGTCGATCGATTGAATGAATTCTGTAACCCCAGCCCAACCTTCCTTTGCATATCTTGCATGATCAGGACATGAGGCCGAGCTGGTTCGCTTTCCGTTCCCTTTGACTATCTTGAGTACATGGCCAGCAACAGAAGTTTGCCCGTTTCATCTGGAGCAGGTAGACAGACCATCAACGAAGCACTTGGCTTTTTACTTCTTGTCACGGATGGTGGCCCACAATGGCCGGATAGAAGCGTGCTGTGCCTGACCGAGCCACGATTATCGGCGTGATCCAGCGGTTCGGGTACGCCGCAAGAGGCGAAATCTGCTGACGCCTTTGGGGAGCTGATTCAGGCCTTCAATGATGACGATGATGATGAATGATTCATCGGGCTGGCACCGCAATTGACCGCTTCCGCTTCCGTCAATTGCTCCGGCCTCGATTAAAAAAAAAAAGAAATAGAAAGGGAAACGAGGAAAGAACAACCGGAATCAGAAAAGGTAAAAAGACAAGGTACCTCTACATCAATCAGGGATCTTGAGAGGTGAGTTGCGATCTGGACTTGAACCACTGTTTGCCGGTGCTTGCGTGGCAGTACATGACACAGTGCTGTGGAAACTGTACGTTCTTTTCCACTTACACCGTGATGACAGTTTTGTGCTGGGTACCGATTCAGCGCAAAGCGACACTACAAAGTCCGCCAATATACGCAGTATTGCGCATCCACCGCCCCTCTTTCGACTTCCCAAGACCACCCCTGACCAATCATAGCTCTCGATCGGCCTTGGCTCTGTGGGTCGGTCACGCGGGCGACCGAGGGCGACTTCCCAGTTCGCACCAAGTCACCGACTTGGCACCTGCCATTGCCACGATCCAGCAATTTTGCCCAGACCAACCGGAACCCCCAAGGAACAAGGAGATCCCAGGGGCAAGAGCGACCTGTACATTGCGAGGGATCCCAGGGAGAGTCCCCCAAAAGGATAAATTCCGTCCTTATCTCCTGGCTGACCCCCTCGCTCGTGTCCCCTTCACATTGCTGTTTCGGTTTACATCCATCTCGAACGTTTCTCTCGCAAACGTCATCTTTCCCAACCATAAGTGCCAAACGCCCTTGGACACTTACCAATTCACCTTCAACAAACAACTTCACGGAAACCACTTGGACCACTTTCAACGTTTGGGACACGACCACCTCTTCCCCGCTATCGACCTTTCGCCTCTTTCTTGCCCACTCTTGTACTTCGATGGGAGAACCTACTACTGCTCGGAATGGTCTTTCTCACGACTCCCCGAGGCCACGGCTGACCTTGATGAGCCCCCATCAGGTTTACGAAGGCCCCCGATCCCCCATTGCACTGATGCTAACGAGCTCGCCCGAGTCCTCGACACCCACCCAAAGAATGGACTCTCCCTCGACGAGGCCGCAGCTCGCCTCGAGCGAGATGGACCTAACAAGGTCGAGGCAGCTAAGGGCACTTCGGCCTGGCAAATTTTCTTAAGACAGATTTCCAATAGTTTGACTGTTGTTCTTGTCCTCGTCATGATACTCTCATTTTGTATCGATGACTACATTGAAGGCAGCGTTGTCGCTGCCGTCATCCTCTTCAACATTGTTGTTGGGTAAGATCTCGACCTCCCCGCCACCCCTTGTTCTTTCTCCACCTGCCTGCCCCGCCTCCCCCAAATTTTATCAGATAGTACTAGACCGGAAAGCTGGGAAGGGAAATTAGCTCCGTGCGGTGACTCCGTCGAGTGACTGACCCCCGGCCCGCAGCCGTGCTCTTTACTTGCAAACGTGCAGTCAACCTATTATTGTCCCGACCTTGCTATGCCCAAAAGAAAAGAGAAATTCATGACATGATACTAATTTTCGGTGGCGGTCGTCGACCGTCCACTATAATAGCTTCCAACAAGATTACAAGGCCGAGAGCCAGATGCAGCAGCTGCTAAGTCTCGCCTCGCCGACTTGCCGCGTAATCCGTGAAGGCCAAGTGCAAGAAGTGAAGAGTGAAATCATCGTAGTGGGCGACGTTATCTGTATCTCCGTTGGAGACATCGTCGCCGCTGATGCACGTCTTCTGGATGGAATCAATTTGTCCGCCGAAGAAGCCAACCTGACTGGTGAATCTGTGCCAATAAGCAAGCATGCCGAAAGGGTGCTTGATGCGGAAGATGTCCCATTGGGCGATCGCATCAACATGATTTATTCGAGTACCGCCATTACGCGCGGTCGCGGTACCGCCGTCGTGACCAGCACTGGTATGTCTACTGAAGTCGGAAAGATTGCTGGCATGTTGCGATCAAAGAAGACTGTGGACGCTGGTACTCCCCTGTCTCGAAGGGCTGCCCTCTGGTTCAAGGCCAAGGGCCGAAGCGTTCTTGGTTTCGATGGCACGCCTCTTCAGACTAAGCTGAGCATTTTTGCGCTCATGCTCTTTGCTTTCGCCATTGTTCTCGTTCTCATTGTCTTCGCCACTGCCAAGTTTGACGTCAAGGGCCAAACCCTGCTCTACGGTATCTGCGTCGGTGTCGCCGTGATTCCGGAGTCTCTCATCGCTGTGCTGACTCTCACATTCACCGTCGCCGCTCGCGCCATGAGCAGAGGTAACGTCATTGTCCGAAACAAGGCCGCTTTGCAAGCCGTCGGCGGTGTAACAAACATCTGCTCTGACAAGACGGGTACTTTGACTCAAGGCCGCATGGTGATGCGAAAGGCTTGGCTCCCCGATGATACTGAGATTTTTGTAAAGGATACCATGGATCCTTACGACCCTTTCAGCGGCAAGGTTAGCTGGAGCTCCGCGAGCGCCACCTCGAGCTCGCGATCCACCCCAACGATTGAGAAAGCACCAGAGCGCCCCGATTGTTCCGAGTTTAACACTTTCTTGGATGCGATTGCCCTCTGCAACAATGCAACGGTCTCGGATGGCAAGAATGCTGCCGATGATAGCGCTTCTGTGACAACGGCAGCGCTGCCCACCTCTTGGCTTGCCGTTGGTGAGCCTACAGAGATCGCCCTTCAGGTTTTCGCCACCCGCTTTGGACGCAGCAAGCCCGAACTACTCCAGGGCAAAATTGGTCGTCTGTTGACCGAATTCCCGTTTGACTCTTCGTGTAAACGAATGAGCGTAGTGTATGAGCACTCTACCGGTACACGCATGTTTGCCAAGGGTGCTCCCGAGGCCATCTTGCCCCTTCTTTCGGAAACGGATGAAGTCAAGGCACTCGTCATGGCTAAGGCCGACGAGTTGGCCTCGGAGGGATTCCGAGTTCTCTGTGTCGCGCATAAGCCTATGGAAGCTAGTGGCTCCATTGGCGAAAGAGCGGATGCCGAATGTAACCTCCAGTTCCTCGGTCTTGCTGGACTCTACGATCCCCTCGCCTCGAAACGGCCGGTGCCGTTGCTCAGTGCAAATCTGCAGGTGTCTCGGTTCACATGGTCACTGGCGATCACATCAAAACTGCCACGTCGATCGCTTTCGAAGTTGGCATTCTGTCCAAGGATCTTCCTCCAGAGGAGGTTCGAGCCCTTGTTATGGCGGCTTCTGATTTCGACAAGCTGACGGATGCCGAAATTGACGCCATGAAATCACTTCCTTTGGTTATCGCTCGATGCAGCCCCATGACCAAGGTTAGAATGATTGAGGCCATGCGCCGACGAAAGGCTTTCTGTGTCATGACCGGTGATGGTGTCAACGACTCTCCCGCTCTGAAACAAGCCGACATCGGTATTGCTATGGGTCTTCGTGGCAGCGACGTTGCCAAGGAGGCGTCCGACATGGTTCTAACTGATGACAACTTTGCCTCTATCGTCACCGCCATCAAGGAGGGCCGAAGGCTCTTCGACAATGTCCAAAAGGTAAGCTGAGTAGCCAAATTACCCAATTTCATGAGCCCCCGAATACTAACGCCTTTGTCCCTCCAAAAACAGTTCCTTCTCCATCTCTTGATTTCCAACATCGCGCAGGTTATCCTGCTTCTCATCGGCCTTGCTTTCAAGGATAACGAGGGAAGCTCTGTTTTCCCCTTGTCTCCCCTTGAGATCCTTTGGGCCAACCTTATCACCTCTTCCTTCTTGGCTGTTGGTCTTGGCATGGAAGAGGCTCAGCCTGATCTTCTCGAGCGTCCCCCTGCAATAGCCGTGGCGGTGTTTTCACCATGGATTTGATCCGGGACAAGATGATTTACGGGTTCTACATGGGCAGTCTCTGTCTCGCAGCATTCACCTCCGTCGCCTACGGCGTTGCTGGCCCCAATCAACTTGGTGAGGGTTGCAATGATGGCTACAACGATAGCTGCGCAGTCGTCTTCCGGGCTCGGTCAACCACCTATGCAACATTGAGCTTCCTGCTCCTCGTCACGGCCTGGGAAGCCAAGCATTTCACTCGAAGCCTGTTCGCCATGAACCCAGAGCTCTGGACTGGTCCTACCTCTGTTTTCAAGACCGTGTGGAGGAACAGAACTCTCTTCTGGGCTGTTGTTGTCGGGTTCCTCTCGACGTTCCCCGTCATTTACATCCCAGTAGTCAACCGCGCTGTTTTCAAGCACGACATGATTACTTGGGAATGGGGTATTGTCGCCGCATGTGTGGTGACTTATCTTGCCCTCGTCGAGGCATGGAAAGCTGTCAAGAGGAGGTTCGGGCTTGGCATCCCCGATAGAGTAAGCTCAGGTGTCAAGCAGGACGCTTAAGAGATCCGCCGGAGCTGGTTCGCCAATGCTTGCTAGCTCACTTGGAGGCGATTTGGCGCAGCTGGTGCCCGCTACGAGTTTGCGAAGAAGAAGGAATTCGGGCCCCAAGTCTTTCGTTTAACTTGTCTGGTTTCGCGCGCGCATTGATGATATGGAAACCAAAAACTTGACTCCCCCATCCCATCCCATTCAAAATTGACTAAATGCAATTCAACACCATACACACACACCCTTCACTTCTTGTTTACTAGAAGGTCTGCTCTCAGATGCTACGGTACTCACAGCAGGCTACATATGGCCTGGATTTGATCCCCTGCACTGGGCGGTTTGCTAGTTAACCCCCTTTGATTGCTTTTCATTCTTATAAGGCCCACAATTTCTCCTAGGTAGAAGACAAACAATTTAAACGGCCCTCTTGCTCATCATATCAATTATTTCATACCAATTGACCTCGGTGCACTTGTAAAATTCATCATAATCCTTGAATGTCTCGGTTTGTATTATAGCCGACGTCCCGAACGGCTTCTTCGACGCGGCAAAACAAGCGCTTCTAGGTTGAAGGGCTCGAGATGACGAGGCCTACCTCCGTCACGATGCGGATCAGATCACATCTCAGCAGATATACGGGAACAGCGAGTAGCAGTCAATCAGATAAGGGAAAAGAAATGAAATAATGTATAGACGTCTCATCTCTAAAAACAAGCGACAGGAGCGAAAATGCTACCTCGTCTAGGAGCTCGAGAACTCAGTTATGTACAAGAAAAATGCCTGGCTCTTTTCGTTACAGCTCTTTGCGTTTTGGTCGACTTTGCAAGCCCGTGAACCCCTTCGGCCCCCTTGAGAGCAACTCTTATCCCCCGCAAGGAAAACAAAGGAGGGGAGAAGAGTATACATGAGAAAAGATAAAGGACGGGAGATGCAAGGCAGGAGAGCCAGCGCCCGCGCCATGCCGGGAGGGAGCCCCGAACGCGGGGAGGCGGAGGAGAAGAAGGGAGGGGCACAGAGCGAAGAATGGGACGCTTAGACCTCGTGGGTAGAGCCGATGGGACCGTAGCGGATGTTGGACCAGACAACGGTGGCGTCGCCGTGCTCGGCAATGACCTCGGCGGGGACACCGGAGTCGGTGGCGCAAGGGCCACGGAGAGCACCGGGCTGGCCGGCCTTCTCGGGGGTAGGTGGAGTCGAGCCACAGCATGTTGGCGTAGTGCTGCGTGTTGACACATTCGTTAGCGACTGGTAGGTTTCAGGGGAGGGATGGGGTCCTTTGTGTGTTTGTGCGAGAACACGAGGGGAACGGGGACTTACATCGCTCCAGATGGACATGACGAGCACCATGGGGATGGCGAGGGCCTCGGTGAGCTGGGAGTATCCACCGATCTCGTCGAAACGGTTGCGGTCGTCGAAGACGGTGGGAGCAGCCGTGCAGAAGGCAGCGTTGATCTTGTTGCTGTCGGAGGGGATGCCCTCCATGTTGGGAGCGGGGACCTCGATGGTCTTGCCGTCCTGGATGAAGACCTGGTACATGGCATCCTGTTCGAAACGAGTGATGACGCTTTGCGGGGGAGACAGATGTTAACTTGTGTACTGGCGGCGAAACGCGGGGAGGAGGGAAAAGAGGGTACTCACGTGAACTTCTTGGTGGTGTCGAGGAGGCTGCCCTGACCGTAGAAGTCAAGGTTGCCGAGACGGTAAGGGTTGTAATCGCAACCGTTGGCGTCGCAGCCACCGCTGTAGCGGTCGTCGGAGTAGGTGCCACCGCAGGTGTCGTCCTGGCAGACGTGGTACGAGTTGGTCTCGCAAGCGTGGGGGTGAGAGCGTAGGCGTGAGAGTTGGCCTCCCAGACGTCGATCTCAGCGCAGCAAGAGCCCATGGAGCCGACACCAGCCTGGTCATCGGTGTCGGAAGACTCCCAGCCAGCGATGTTACCCTATGGGAGAGAAAGGTTGGTTAGGACGCATTCACTACATCATAGTGGCAAAGCGGGGGTTGGGGGTTTGGGTATTGCGACGGAGTAAATGCTTACCTTTCCGTTGATGAACTTGAGATCACGAGCGCACTGGGCGTCGCAGTAACCAACACCGTACTTGGCACCAGCCTCGTTGTTGGACTCGTCGCTAAGACCACCATCCTCCTTCATGGGAACGAAGTAGAGGGCAGAGTTCATACCGCACTCAACCTGGGACAGATCGACATCGAAGGCGAACTCGTTGTTGAGGAGCTCGAACATCTGGTACTTGTCGGAGCCGTTCATGAGGTAGACACGAGAGCCGACATTGGCACCGTACTCATGCTCCTGGACGAACTTGAGGGTGAGCGCGTCGCTGCTGGTGGTGATACCATAGGTGGTCGAGTAGTCAGCACCCTCGACAGCGCAGTTCTTGGCGCAGTCGCTGGCATCAGAGCAGATATCAGTCCAGACGTTGCCGTCGTAGCAGTTGTCGTAGCCGTCGACGGTGTGGATCCAGCGCCAGTTGGCGTCGATGACGATCTCACCGTTGACGTTGGAGCAGCTGCCGGGAGCAGAGCACTTCTGCCAGCTGAGCTTGGGGTGAGTCTCGGACTCTTCCGAGCCGACCTGCTGCGCGGAGACAGTGGCGGCGAGCAGGGCAAGACCGGAAGCAATGGTACCCTTCATCTTTGCGGTTTATCAAGCAAGGATTGCGTAGAGATGGAGAAAGAATAAAGAGTGAGAGAGCGGCAAGGAGCGGAAGACCGAGAGACGAGAACCTGGTTGAGATTGAAGGATTGAAGTGGGCGGTGGTGCTGCAGAGGAGAAGGAGGAAAAGTCATCTAGACGGGAGGGATCGTGATCTCTTATACCTTTCTCAAGTTGCGGGGACGGAGACCGAGATACCGCTTTCCTCCAGGTTTGCCTCGCTGCCTTCCTTTGCCATGGGATGGTGAGTAGGGCCCCATCCCGCCGCTCATGTGCGCCCGAGCATCGCAAATTGCGCATACGACCATGGCCACCAAGAAAGAAGTTAGAAGTTAACAAGCTGAAAGTAGACGGGTCCTCCTCCGGCGCTTGATTGCAAAAGGGAGGGGGATCCCATGCTTCCGAGACCACTGGATCAAAGTGGTAAAGACTGCTTTCTCGCCGTCAAGTTTTAATTTACGGCCTTTCATCAATCCTATCGGGCAGTTTGGGATTGGGTCTTCCATGGTGTGTTGGCAGCGTACACAGGCAAGGGTTGTGGGTGACCGTGACTTGGTGAGTGGACTGAGATATGGTTGTTGAAAGAGGCGGATCATCTCGCCCGGCGAGCCGTCAGGCGGGACGGTATTTCCATGAACTGCAATGGGGTAAGTAGCACTCAACTCTAAAGTGGACCCACGGCGTCGATAGTGATCATCACATCTCGAGGAAAAGCGGGACTACGAAGCAAGGGCTGCAGTGAGATGGGGAATCGGATGGTTGAAGTCGACGGGAACCCCGCAATGAGAATATGAAGTCGACTGGTAGCGGCGTGCGAGGCCCTGCAATCTCCGCATGTGCCTTGATATGATTGTCTTGATATGATGGGGGCGGAGGTCGCGGGTCGAAATGACCTCACGCGGATACCTCAAAGCATGCGGATACAGCAGAAGGGCAGAAGGGCAGAAGGGAAATGGAAGGGATGGAAGCCGGCGGACCTGCAGTGGCTAGGGAGAAGGAGAGGAGGGGGTGGGTGTTTTCTTGTGTACATGCGCGCGCGGTTGTGGTGTATGTGCGCGTGCGTATATGTGTATGTGAGCATGTATGTGAGCATGTATGTGTGTGTGCGTGTCTGCGTCCCGCCAGGCGGTGCACCGCATGCAGAAAAGGGGAGAGAAAGAGTCGATAGCTGGTTATTTCGCCAGGCAAGCTCTCCTCAGCTTGGGTCCATGGAGACTGACGGGCGTTACCTTTGCCACTTCCAGAAAACAACGTACCCTCCTAAGTTTGGAAGCGTGGGTGAGTGACTAGGGGGTGTACCATGTGGCGTGGGCAGTTGTTTGTTGAAATCCAGGTGTGGTGCCAAGAGACGGGAGTTAATGTACTTGACATTGGGAGGTTACGGCGTGGTGGGGTTGCTGGCTCTCGGCGGTCGGTACGGTTCGGCCGGTAAAGAGCCCGTTCTGAATGGTCCGCTTGGGGAAATGTGAGCTAGCCAGCTCTGTCACGTACCTTGGTAGCCTCCTTTGGGAAGAAGAGTGACACAAATTCCGACCAGAAAAGGCCTGCTTCCATTGAATATTATTCAAGTGGAAATTCGATGAAGGATGGTGCCAAGCCTATCAAATCAACTCTGCCCCGTGTCTGGCATTTACACGACCTCCGCACGTGGGCCACTTTGGCCCACCATGTCATTTCGTGAATACATGCAAGACTTGGGGAAATGATTCAGGGGCAACTCCAAGGCCTTCTCCAGACGAGGAGAACTGCCTCTTGGAACCCAAGTCCATGAGGAAGGAGAGGGCCCCAAGTTGTTTAGAGCAATAGCTCACGGCCTCTGCCTTGTTTACGGGCCACCTCCAGCAGAGGGTGAGGGGAGCCCAGCCTCAGCAAGGTCATGACCTCACAGCACATGGATTTCCCCGCCCCAGTGCTTCCCCTCAGGGTCGCAGGGACTCCCCAAAGCATCGGTCTTTTGGCCTCTGTTAGGATGCCCAACTGCCGATCACTAAATGCGCCCTGCCCCATGCTTCAGCCAGCCAGCTAAAAAGATGGAGGCAGAATACAAGTGGGGAAAGTGTGGCAGAGGAACGAGGTGGACAAACAAAGGCCGCCTCGGCGGGTTTGGGGCTTTTGCCTCTTGATTTCCAAGAAGGGCTAGTGAGTAGACCTGCCTGACTTGAAAATTCGAGGCCATCGTAAGCTTTGGGGAGCGGTGCGATCTCCCCGACCGGACCATCTTGTGGCCAGTCTCTGGCGCTTGACGTAGAGTGGGAGAGCAGGCCACATGTTGGTGAGGTTGGATTTGGTGTCCCAAGCACTTCAATCGCCCACTAATTTGGCACTGGGGATTCCAACCCAGTGCAGTAATCTTGGACGCACCGCCACGACAGGCCAGGCTTTTCAGCCAGCACAGGCACTAGGAAAATTTCCCCATCGTGGTCCGATTCCATGGTTGTGTGGACGACTCGGGTGCCAAGGCTCGACATTGTCAGGTCCCCCTCTAGGTGCTGCCAAGATTAACGGAGAGGGAAATCGCGCGGAGGCCAAGCATGCGAAGCTTTCGGGCAGGAAGCCGTCGTCCACGACGACGATCTGCGAGGCATCATTCCAGGCCCCTTTTCCCCATCGACATTTGAGACGAAGCCTTCTTGGCGGAGCTTGGCAAAGCGTGGAATATCCTTGTTCTGGGGTGCATCGGTGCGGGCGGCCACGTACGGATCCAGAGAAAGCGCTTGGTTGTGGCGGAGTGGAGGGTGGGTGTCGAGGTCTGGGCAGAGGGTAACGACGAGCGATCGAGCGAGCAAGAGAAACGCGAGAGAGGCGGCGATTCTCATGCCTCGAAAGTGAAAAATCTCGGCGCCAAGCTCCTCTATATTATGTGTTTTCCTCCTCCCACTAGACCTCGGTCGATGCCAGATTTTCGACGTCCCGCCTCTCCGGAAAACGGCATCCGCGCGGTTTTGCGTCTTGTTAACTTTGCATATTTACTCTTCTTCGAAAATCCCTCCGTAGATTCACGCGTGCCGTTTTGGCCCGGTGTCCCAAATTTCGAGGGCATCTTTGGCTCACGCTGTCGTTATTAGCCGTGGACCGCAATATGAAGAGTTAATATGGAGGCTTATGGAGGCTCAAGGATTCAGGAACAGAGCACCACCTATAGTTACAGCCTATACATCGGTACACCCAATTGATCAAATCATCTGGGGCCGCCTCCGACTGATGTGTGCAGTGTCCGCAAGATCGCCCCCGCCCAATTTACCCGATACGGATGCCACCTTGCAATCCAACCCTCCATTACCCTTCAAACCCAAGACTTTCAACTCCTCTGGAGGGATTCTAGAAGAATTGGAGGGATGGAGCCGCCCTGTAGTGTTACAAGGAATCCGACAGCTTGTTTCAATCAGGGAAGACGCTGTGCTGATCTCTTCACGGCGATGGCTAGTGAGCAGTTTTGATTGCTGGAATGACTTTTCCTCCTCCTTCCTACCTGCCCACTTCCTACTTTGAAGGTTTTCTTAGCTGGATGAATATAGTGGTAGCTCCGCAAAGGACCAAGAAGCGCTGATCGGGCACACGCTTCGAAAAGCGACTGAAGAAAAAAACCCCTCTCATTCGAGCTGCCACCGTCGTATGGAGGGTGCTCAAATAATAAACGCCAAATATCGATCAGCAAGCAAAGGAAACTTGAACCATGGGGCCGCTCAATTAGCCGATCGAGGGTCATCCACCCTCATCTTCAAAATCAGATGGGATACCCTTTGGTGCCGCCTTGGCACTATCGTCAAACAATTCCCTCTTTTACCCCGACAGATCAAGGCTTGGCATCCAAAGAAGTTACTCGTTTCTGAAGATGGAGGGATGCAAGTTAGAGGGAGGCCAAGAGAACCAAGACGAACACAGTCGCACAAGTAGGGCTGATGAGGCTTGATGCGAAGCTTTTACCTCTGTTTTCGCCAATATTCTAGCGTTGCCAAGTGGTTGCACAGGGTGCTAAGATGTGAATGAGTGCCCGGTAAGGGCAACGACAAGAAACAGAGCCTCAACGAAATGGAGGGCAACACAAGAAGAAGAAAAGAAAGTGGCAAAGGTGGTAGGCCCGAGTAAGCAAAAACACCACACTCTAAGCAAACAACGCCGACCAAAGCGTCGTTAGTCTTTCTGGGCCGTTCGGCAAACGACCCATAGTTCCTCGCCAGTGCCTGCATTTTCCCCGGCAGACCTACCGCTCTTGCTACTTACCCCATCCAGCGCCGGAACCAGCTCGTAGGCTCGCTCTCGTTGGCGTACGGTCCCTCCCCGACTCCACTGCCGGCGACTTGGCGCCCCACGAATCTCTCTATCGACACTTTGGAGCCGCCCTGCCAGAGCGTCGAAGGCTAAACCCTTCTTCCGCGCCGTGTCTGATCTGGCCCGTGCAGGATGGGCATGATGAACGAAACAAGGGAAACCATGGGGCAAAAAGTGATCATGCGCCAGAGACCACAATTGCCCCCGCCATGCTATGCGGTGGGATATTGGGTTGGCCAGGAAGGAACTCGCTAACCCCCTCTCCCCAACTTTCTGTAGCCAATTGTTAGATTAGTATTCAAGTAGCGAAGAAGAACGGGTACGAGGACGGAGATCGGATTTTCGTTTCGCCATTACCGAGAGGATGTTTTGCCAAGTTGGAGAACGCCGAGCCTCGAGCCGCCTCGCTTGCACCCTCACGAGCCAACCGATTCAATAGCTTGCGTTTTTAACGCTTCAGAAAGCGCCATCAGGTTGCTCAAATGTCAAAGGCCTCGACAGAGACTCTACTACATAAGGTTCAGCATGAGCTCTCGCTCCTACCTTGATAAGCACAAACAGTCCGATGGCTCGCAGCAAGTTCAAATTCGTATAGCCTGGTGTGATATTAGAGGATAGACGTGCTTTTCCCTGAAGTGATAACCCCGTAATGCGTGGTAAAAACAACATAGTCTACGCCTTAAGGACATTATCTAGAAATTGGGGAGAACAATCAATGAAACACAACATTGAAGGCACCGAGCTAGAGCCGTCTCTCTTGTAGCGAGGAAGTAACAATCAACTGGACCACATCTACGACTTACGACATGCGGTCCGTAACGGAACAGCCTGCAGGTTGCGCTTTCCCTCGAGCCCAGGTGCCCAACTCTAGCAAAAGCGGTTTGGAAGATTGACTGGAAGGCACGCCCATCGTCCTCCTTGATACTGCAAGTGCTACCTCCACACCCTGTATGCCCCCAAGAGCGGAGGAAGCTGCTGTCATAGGCAGCCTGTGCCGTCTTAGGCGAAGAGCCTTCCGAGCCCCACCTAGCTGCTCACCAGTGAGATCGATCCCTTGGAACCTTCCTCCTTCGCACAGCCTCAAGGTCACTACGTCGCTTCGAGGTACCGGCAGCTACTGCGGCATTCTCCCTTTCCCCAGCCGTGTCAACGCCGGAGTTGTTTGCTCTTTTCCTTGGCTGCGCTATCACCCCGGCCTCGTGCTCGTGGTCAATGCTTAAGGTGGTGACGAGCCAGAACGAGGCAAGTACAGCGCCGGCTTCTCGACGTCACCTGGCACATCGCACGGCTCTATCCCGCGGAAGACGTGGACCATAGGAGTATGCAGGGCTGTCACCCAGGGAAGCTTTGGGTGTCGCAGATCCTGTGTACTGTCGAGCTTAACTCACATTAGAAGCTTCGGGAGGATGGACTTCATCAAAATGATGACGAGTATTTACCGCCAGTCAGAATATGTATAGGCCGATCGGTTTAGAGATGAGATTTCCCCATATCTCAAACCAGGATCCCCTTTCGGTCGCCTGACTTGTGCTTCTCCGCGAATGCCTTGATGGCATCCCAGTCACGGCACTGGTGGACAGATCTAGCACCGGTAAATCCGTATCTCGTCACGTTTCCGTCCGGCCCAAATGTCAGGTCGTCCGCAAAATCAAGCGTCGTATCTCCAGCGCATATGATAGCCTGGCGGACGTACTATTGACATATCTCATCAGCATCTCGTTGATAAACCCATAGATTTACGGTTTCCACGATAGCCTTGGCCTTTTTGGTCCAAGGAGACTGAACCTTGAAAACTTTAGGGACTTACATCGAGGCAGTGATATTCGTGTCCCCCTCCTGCGAAACGAGATTTGTCCTGTTTCTCATATCTTTTGATCACATCTCGTAACACAGCCTAGACAGAGTGAGTGTTTAGTTGGAGTCTAAAGCGTTGAGCAGAAGAAATGAGGCCAACTAACAAGGCAGTGAAGTTGGTGAGTGACGGAAAGGGAGTAGACCTCTCCTTCTTCGGGGTCATCTGCGATAGGCTCGCTAGCAGGTATGTCAAACCGCCGAGGAGATGGTACACGTATGAAGCCTGCGCCATCTAGAGAAAGGGCGCTTGTCAGTGCCGGTATTCTTCTTGGCGTGGAAATTTTGAATAGGGTGAAGGGCTCCTGCACGTTGAAGTGTTGAAGTTTCCCTAGCAGTACCTGGTAAAAGATTGTTCCATAGCTCATCACCGTCTGGGCCAACATCCTCGTACTCTGTTGGAAATCTAAACGGCACTGCCTTTTTGGTACTATCAGGATCAATTAGTTAGTGCCTACCGAAGCAGAATGACAGGGAAATGTTGTGTCCGGCCATACTTTCACCAACAAAAGCCTCTGGAGGAAGCAACCCGCCGGCCACGGGAGCTGGATTAGGTGCGACAAGAAGCCCCATAGACCCCTGCCCGATGACCAGTCCAAGACCAAAGGAGACGGCCGCCGGCAACGTGACCAAAAGTGTTAGCTTTGCCACCTGCCATGGTGTTGACGGTTTCCTCGAACGAGGAGAAGCGCTGCTATCTTCGTCTAACGGAACTGACGTGTAGACAGCCGACATCGCGAAGAACCATTAGCTTCGAATTAATGCAAAGAGTGATCAAGTTCATGACAGCACATGCTTCCAGAACTTGGAACCGTGTCGGGAATTACAATTTTCCTTTCCGCAATATCATTTGCAGGGGTCAACTCCAGCGTGTCGCACTTCTTCCCCACATCACCAAACAGCCTAAATACCAAGTCCGCCTTTCATCGTTGATTTTTATGTAATCTTTGAATATCTTTGGAAACGTATTGGAGATGGAAGCTAGAGATATGGAATAAGAGAGGGGTGATGTATGGGCTGTTTTCTTTGTGACATGTCCGCTTAGCACACGGGCATCAGCTATACAAGGGGTACTAGTATTCACATTTAAAAGAAGGCGAAAGAGTATCAATTGATGCTATAATAAGAAAAGAAAAAGCTGACGGCTTAAGCTTAAAGACTCCGACACTTAAACACACTGAGATAATAAGAAAGATCTGGGCTAGGCCAGCCCTGGGTCGTCTGCGGAGTATCCTTAGCGATTACCCTGCTTGACGGTGGTTCTGCCGAGATGGCCCTCGAAAGAGAGATACATCCATGGATCCAATGGATGTAATGGGTGGATCACAGTTTCTCCACCAGTTATGTGACTTTTAATCCGTTAAGAACGACCTGTGCTGTTACAGTGAGTGATTGATCGCTGAACGGTGTGCCTAGTAATGTAGTAGAAGGTCATGGTGATTGTGGCGAGTTATCTACCTCGGCCGGGCTGCTCACAAACTGTTGACAGGATATAAGCCTCTTTAGACCTCAAATAGACAGGGAGCGTTCCCCTGTCCTTTTTGGTCTATCACAAACCTCACGCTGTGAGATAGCATGTAAAACTCCAAATACACTCCTAAGTTTGAACCTCCGAGAGTAAGACAGTTTCTTAAAAATCAAGCGAATACAGCACATTTGTTTGGGCACGCTAGATATAGAGAGGCACGCGAAGCATCAAGGCTAAAGTGACTCTAGCCAAAGTACACATTAAATATAAGGGAAGTGAGTGCATCATAGGGGACTCATGAAAGCTATGATAGTTCGGGTGTCGACCATCCGATCCAGTCACCCGCCTCAAAGTCCCACGTCCCATCCGTGGCAAAAATGGTGGTATCAGCCTCCGCACCCTTCAGGAACTTATCCATGAACGCTGTCACATACGGATTTTGAGAAGAAGGCATCTGGCAGTGACTGGATCCGTGCGAAACCTGAGAGATTCCAAAGTTGTTCTTCACGCCTAGCGCCTCAAAGGCGGTCTGCGCCGCCATCGAGCACCCGTAGGAACTCCACGGGCCCAAGTAGTCGATGCCGCTATTCTCAATCACGAGCAGGCCGCGGGGCGCCACGAGGGCCATGAGCTGGTGGTGGTCGTGGGGCAGGGTTTCAATCTTGGGAACGTAATCGGAGAAGACAGGGGCGAACCACTGGTCGCCGGTGACAATCTGCGGCCCGTCCTCGACGTTGATCCCCCGGCTCTTCATATCCGCTGCTAGACGCCAGCACCCGGGGCCTCCGGATCCGCCCTCCTGGGGGAGCGTAAGCGCGACGCGGTCGTCAAACGCGCCGGCGACGAGCGCACCCTTGCCATTGCGCGAGCAACCGGTCACGCCGATTCGGGCCGCGTCGATCTTGGTCGCGTCGGCGCCGAGCTCCTCGAGGGCATCGAGGATACGGCTGACACCCCATGCCCATGCCATCAAACCGCCCGTCGATGTTGGGTACAGCTGGTAGAAGAGACCCTTGCCACCAGGGTCCGTAGCGGCGATCTGCTCGTTGTTGTACGTGATGACAGCCACGTCGTTGGGGACAGGTATGGAAGCGCCTCCAAACGCGATTATGGCCGGGAAGGGCCCCGTACCCGAAGGTAGCTTGATGGAGGCGGAGAAGGATATGGACTTGCCATTGTCCGTAACATCAATGGAGATGGAGTTGCCGGACATTGAGGCTTTGAACTCGGCAGGCTTAGCAGGCTTGGCTCCGAGTTCAAACTTTTCAATCATGGCGCGGATCTCGCCACGACGACACGCCCAATCGTCCTTGGTTTCCACGGCCGAGCCATCAAAGAACTCAAAGGGGCTGGGTAGCTGGGTTACGGGCTCGAAAGAATCCGGGGCCTCGATACCGGCGCACTCGTCGGGGATGGTGCTTTCTTGCGCCAGCACTGAGGAAGCGCCCAGAAGGGCGCCGAACAGATAGAGTTGCTTGGATAACATTGTTTCCTGCGGCAGAATCAAATAGTATAAACAACAGGGGTCAGATTAGGAAGGAAGGACAGGAGAAAATCCTGGAAATGCGAGGCTTCGCGGGGGCGGGTTGACGTTCAAATACGCTTCTCGCTCTCTGTGCCTCCATTCTACCCCCTTTCTTTCTCCCAACTTCCATGTATGTTGCGCTCGTGCGATAAACGGCAGTAACTACTTGGGGATGCACTTGATTGCGGGCGATTTCCGTGTGATTTTCCTTGTATATTAATCTCCAACTTAAAGTTTTGGGAGAAAGGATCTCGGCTAAGTTGCAGATCCGCACCACTGGGGAGGCTCCTCGGTCCCGTCCCCTCCGCCTTGAACGCTCTAAAATGTAGGAACTCCTCAGCCAAAACCAGCGAACTGTTACCAAGACACTCTGACTTGATATATTCAGGCTTTGTGAATGGACGAGAGTCAAAAGGCGCTGCTAGATGCCATGTGGGGGCGGGATAGAACTTGATCAACTTCGGCAATCACGCTGTTGAAGCGCATAATCGGATAATTGGCGGATAGGATAACCAGATATCTAAGGGTGAGTCTACTGGATAAAGGAACTTGTGAATATATATACTGGATATATCTGGCAGGAGGCGGTTACCCCGTAATAGCCCGTTATTTACTTATCGAGGTACATAACTATAGCTCCCTGGCGATGTATATACCCATGCCCACGCAACGAACCCGAAGCTTCTCATTCTTATTCGCCTCGCAGGTTAGGCTTTTCACGCGCAAGTTTGATAGGGCGGCGGCACTTGCGGAGGGATTTATAAAAAAAAAAAAAGTGTATTATTAAGTTGGGGTATGACTTGGCTATGGGTAAAAGAAGTAGAACGTTCACGACAAGGAGTCCGCCCAACAAAGGGTCCCCCACTCGCTCCTTGCACCGCCTTTCCTGTATCCAACTCCAAATCTCGGTCAAATTGCCTAGACACGGCAAAGACGACCGTTCTGGGTGGGGAGACCAGGGTACTGGCCCTGGACGTACCACTCATCGCTGCCGACCGCCAAGTTGGCGTAGAAGAGACCAGTGGGGTCAATCTTCTTCTTGAGCGCGAGAAGGCGGGCATACTTGGCCGTGCCGTAGAAGGACTGCTTGAAGTTGGGCTCCGTGACGTCGCTCTCGCTGGCGTAAGCACCCGAGTTGGGCGCGGCATCGCGCCAGGGCTGCATCCAGTTGGCCGTCATGTCAGCGCTGAGCGTGGCAACCTCGGAGAGGGGAGTGCCCTCGGCCCAGGTGCGCACAGCAATGGCGAACAGGGCGGTATCGCGCCAGGCGGGGTTCACGGCGTTGTCGGGGAAGGGGCCGGGACCGCCGGTGATACCGAAACCGAGGAGTTCACCGCCACGGTCGACGATGGACTTGAGAGCGGTGACGGTGGTGTTGAACTTGGCAGCGTTGACAAAGTTCTCGCTATTGGTTCGCGTTAGTTGGATTTGAAAAAAGGCACGACTACGAAACAAAGGTAGGTCTTTATCGGCCTGGAACTGTTTCAAAAACTTACGTAGGGAAGAGACGGCCAGTGGTCTTGGCGGCGGATCCGCCGACGAGCTCCTTGGGGAAACCGGCGGACCAAGCCTTGTAGAAGCTGTCATGCTGGGAGTATTCGGGGGTGACGTTGATACCGAGAGCAGCAAGCTTGGTGAGGAGGGGAGCGAGGAGGGCCTGGAGCTGGGGGACGGTCATTCCGGGGCCCACCAAGGAAGCATGGTGAAGGTGACGTCGTTGGCTCCGGGGCCGGTGTGCCAGATGTTCCAGTACTCGTAGTTGGACTTGGCGTTGTACGTGGGGATGGACTCGAGGTAGGCGCGGACACCCTCCCAGAAAGTCTCGTAGCTGACGGTGGCGCTGGTGCCGAAGGTGAACTTGGCGACGGAGGCGACGTTGAGCTTGGGGTAGACCTTGACGGTGTACGAGGTGGCGACGCCAAAGGTGCTGCCACCGCCGCCCCTCATGGCCCAGAAGACCTCGGTGTTCTGGGTCTCGCTGGCGGTGATGAAGTGGCCGTCGGGGGTGACGACCTCGAGGCTGAGGATCTGGTCCGCGCCCATGCCGTACATGGGCGACATGGGAGAGTGGCCACCGCCGGCGAGGTAGCCGCCGGCAAAGCCCACGGTCATGCCCTCGCCACCGACGGCAGTCACGCCGTACTGCTCGGCGGCCTGGTAGAGCTCGATGCCGATGACACCGGCGCCGACCTTGAGGGCGGGGCCGGAGTAGGACTTGGTCTTGTAGGTCTTGAGGTAGTCGATGCTCTTGAACTCGGTAGTCCAGATGGACAGGGCACCCGCGCCGACGGAGCGTCCGTTGAAGTCATGGCCGGTGTTCTTGACCACGAGACGGAGGTTCAGGTTGCGGGCAAAGTTGATGGCCAGCTGGATGTGGGCGACGTTGCCGGCCCTGACGACGTAGGACGGGAAGCCGCCGAGAGTGCACTGACCAGCCGGGTTGGTGGTGGGCATGCAGGTCAACCCTTGGTACAGCGGCGACATGACCGAGGTCGGGTCGGCCTCGCTGCAAAAAGGGAGGGTTTCGCATGTTAGTCACAACACTCTTAAAATTTTAGGTGGGGAGGGGTTTGCCTCCAAAGCTTGGCAAGCGAGGTCTCAAAAAAAAAAAAAAAAACTTACTGCATGTAGGAGTCCGTCCAGCTGGACGAGACCGAGTTGCACTTGGCAGCATTGAACACGCCAAAGTTGTTGTAGCACGAGGCGGCAATGGGCACGGTCTTGATGAGGCGTCCGCCGGTGAGCAGGTCCAGCACAGTCCAGGCGATGTTGTGGGGCCACAGAGCATCGCCGGGGAAGGTCTTGCACTTGAGGTTGATGGTGCGCTTCTCCTGGATCGAGGTGTCTCCAGCTTCCTCGTCGTCTGCAAAGGCGAAGAGATCAGCGTCGGAGAGGGCGATTTCAGTGAGGTTGGCCAGGACGGCGTCCGTCAGCTGGACCGACTCCTCGGGCAAGAGATCGCCGGTGGCTAGCACCTCTTCAGCTGGCGCTACGTTGTTGGCGTTGGCGTCTGGAAAATTTTACACCTTTTTGTTAGCGGCAACGGGATCGACACAAACTTGCACCGGATGCGGAAGTTGAGAAGGGATGTGGCGCTCGGAAACGATCGCGACCGGGTCCATACGAGGCAGGGCAAAGCGGGTGGGAAGGGGGACAAATTGAACACAGGAAAGAACATGTGCAATTTGACAAGACTGGACAGGTGCAGGATGAACGGGACGTCGGCTCCACCCGCGGACACCTTCCCAGGGCAATGTGTATTTCCGCCGCGCGCGGGGGAGGAGGAAGAGAACAAAGAACAAAGAACAAAGAACACAGGGAAGAACAAGGGCAAGAACCAGGAAATTGAGGACGCCGATGAAGATCGGTGGCTATGAGAAATTCCGGGACTTACCAACTTCGGTTCCGTCCACGACAATGGTCTGGCCGGATACCAGGGAGCTGAGCTGCAGGCCCGCGGCCAAAAGGAGAAGCCTGCGAGACATCTTTGCCAAATACCACGTTGGGGTTGGCGGGAAGCAAGGGGTGGAATTAATCCCAAGAACACGAGAGCGAGAGATCGACTGCGCTTCTTCCGGCAAGATGCACGTAATGAGCCTTGCGAGAGTGATGGAGACCGCCCAAAGGTACGGACTAGCTTCAATGGCAAAAAGAGGACGTGGAAAAAGAGAGACAAAAAGAGCGTGGGTTGGTTCTGTGCAACCTGGTCCGTCGGTAAGAGGGATGGAAGAGGAAGGGAGACAAAAGGAATCCCTCTGCTTTGGCGAGATTGGGGAGGACTGCAATTCGTATATAACCACTCGCAGTTACACGGCCGGCTTCCTGTGTCTAGGGTTACGTGCTCCTCATCTCGTCGCGATGGATTCGGGGTCCCGCAATTGCTGGCTTAGCCTGGCTATGCCCCCATCAACCGGGGACTCAGCGTTGCGTGCCTTCTTTCTGCTTTGCTTTGCGGAGTGCGTGCGCTGCATAATAAGATGGGATGGGGTCCAAAGCGATGTCGCCGCGCCGGTTGGACCTGGGCACGCCCCGGGGCGATTGGCCGGACATTAAGCTTGCTCCTTGTCTCGCCTCAGGAGCGCGGCAGATGCCAATACGGCACCGGCTGCCAAAGGGGAGGACGAACATGAACGCTCACATCGACCCGGCATCTGGGCAATTTACCAACTGTGGGCACTGGCTAACTGAATGAGAATGGGTTGGAATTCTATTTTTCTCCCCTTTTCTTCATCTGCTTGGCCTGTCCGAGCCCGTTCGTCTGCAGAATATTTGCTCTGTGCACTCTGCGATGTGACCCTGTTGGCTGCAGCGATGAAGAACTAAGCAGGCCAGGCCAGGCAAGGCACCAGGCACCAGAGGAATGGGTTCGGGGGAGGAGATTGATTAGTTGGGGGCATCATCTTTTTAGCAATGTCCGAAGCCGAGACAAATTCACATGAAGCAGCGACTACTTGGGCTCGGGCTTGTGGGCGGCAATGTCGCACTACGGCCCACGCAGCGATGGCGATAGGGACAACGATTGATCCATCAATTAAGGGCAGGGAAGCAAGAAGAAAAAAATTAGAGGGGGAAGGGCACTGGAAGAGCAGAGGACGGACGCGCGGCGCGGCAACTGCTTCATTTGCGCAGACTCGAGGCCGCGCCCAAATGCAGGGCATTCTCCGAGCCGGTGGGCGCTGGGCCGGAGGGAGGATCGGAGCGAGCAAGTCTTGGGAGGTACATCTACGGATGTACCACCGTCAGCACTAATGGCAGGGGTCCGAAGGGATAATTCCCGCTCGGGATCAATAAAAGAGGAATTTAAACAATCGAGTGCTCCAGAAAGAAATGTAAAGTCGCATCGGTGGCCTTGGAAGGCCCTCTGGCACGACATACATATTCAAGTACATATAGACAAACAAGACAAATGGAGCAAGGAGAGGTACCACAACTCGGCCCACAAGTGCATGGATCCATTTATGCCTCCACAGGGATCACCATCTTGCCTCGAGAAGATTATGTATTATTACTCGGTTGGCCCTGAGCCACGCTCATTACTGCATACTTGCTCCTTGCTCTCCTTGCTCCCCTTGAATTCCCTCCCTTGATCCGCTTGATATTCGGGTGGGGCCCCTTCAACCAGGACATGGGCCCTGCAATATCCCCCCATGCAATCTTGGCAAAAGCACGACTGGGCTGGGCTGGACTCGACACTTCGACTTCCCTTCGACAGACCAGCATTCCCCGGTCATCGACTTCGCCAATATTTCCTCGCCTCGAAAACCCCAAACAAGATTAGTCTTGTCACAGAGACGTGACAGCCTCAACTTCCAGGCCAGGATCCATGTTCCAGCGCCACTGACGACGAGCCTCCTCCTCAGCGTCTTTGCCGTTCTGCTGGTCGACCGGGGGCGGAAGGATCGTGTTTCCCCCTCCTTCCTCTTTCGGGTACCCCCTTAGTCTCCCCGGTTCCCCCGGATTCTCTTGGCGGGGTCCACCTTGACCTGCTCCAGCCACAACCTTCAGGCGTCTTTTTGTGATGACCCATCGTCTCGTCATCCCCACTCAAAGCCAGCCTAACCCGGCTCTTGGTGGCTGTTGGGGTCGTTGAGGGTCTCTCGAGATTCTGGGGGAGACGAGGAAAAGGGAAAGATCAAGCCCAAACCCCAGTAATTCTGTGGGGTTCTTCCGCATCGCTCCACATGCTTGTTGTTTTTTGAAATTTCGAACTGGAGAGATTAGGTTTTATTCTTCTTTTCAGCTTCACCTTTGAATAATCAAGCTAGCATTTTGAACTAATCGTCCACCATTCCAGAAAGGGCCGGACGTTGCAGCGAGCGCTGTCTTGCTTGTTGGGGGCAACGCTGGAAGAACTTCGGCAGGACGTACACTATAGGCAAGATTAAACGTTCATCGATACAATAGGGGTATGCTGATATTACTGATGATGGGGGATTGAATTGGGCATAATGCAGAGAACCGTAATCATACCAGAGGCGACTGAATAATATCCGCCGGCTGCGCGAGGCCTTCTCGGATTGTCGGAGGAATAAGTGCCACCTCCGGAAGGGACAGCCCCCTGCGGACCAGAGCTAAAAACAGGCGCAGATCTCTTTCCCCCAGTCCCCGAGTTGCCCCGGGACGAATCCTGATTCTTCTTTAGTCCCCTGTTAGTCATCCCCACCACCACCCGCAACCCGAGACGATGGCGACCACCATTTCGTAGCGGGGAATCTGCGTGCAGCCCTATTCGTTGGAGCGCCGGCTAGACCACGAAGAGACGCAGCCCTCAGCTCGCCGAGGGTCCTGACGTGTTCATCTTGTGAAGCCCAGCCATCCGAGGAGCAGGAAAGCCTCCCGAAAGAAGGAAAGGGAAGGACGATGGAAGTGTAGGAAAAGCAAAAAAACAAAAATTCCAAGTCTTGCTGCAGATCGGCAGATCGTTGGGGCGGGGGAGTGAATCGATTTCACATTCCGGGCAGCACAGCCATTTGCTCAATCTCTGACGGCCGTGAAGAGTGCTGGCTTCTGGTTCGGTGTACCCTGAATTACAACCATCCATCATGACCAAGCTATTATTATGACCAAGCTACTATGGGGGAGGATTTCCAGGGTCGGGCCCAAGCCGATTGGGGCTGCTGCTAGAGGCGCGGTAGATTTGCCCGGCTTCTGAGGGAATATAGTTGGACGAAGCCTTCTAGGTCGCCTGCATTGACGAATGCCCTTGGAAAATACCACTGTGAGTAGTAGTCCGTCGATTTTCAAAGGTGTCTAAAATGTCTCAATGGGGAAAAGTCGCTGTTGGCGTTTCGTGCTTTCATGGATGCCGCTGAACCATGAACCTAGAACGCCGGTGTATGCTGTAGGCTTCATCCAGCCGAACTTAGACTTCCTCTCTTGTGGCGTTCGCATTCTGCCCTCTGGTGGTGGGTGGCGCTGGTCAAAGGCTATTCCCAAGGGTACATGGACTAAACAAGGACTAATCCCTCGTACCGGCCTGCGATCTATGCTGGACGCAATCCTACTGGCTCGGTAACGAAACAGAAAAGTTGACGTCGAGGAGAAGCGAACTCACTCTGCCCTCCCATCAAAATGCTGTTGAAAGGGTCGGCCATGGGGGATACCCCAGGTACGGACGGTCACACACACACACACACACACACACAACATCCACGCCCTCCTGCTCTTGTTTGACGTTGGACAAGAGCAGGTCTAGATTAATCCACGCCCGCTTCTCTTGCCATTCTCGGGTCCGCAAGGGGTGGCTACAATCAAGCCACCTGGGGGAAAACGATCAAGGTTGCAGAAATGGCTGAGAGGAAGAGGAAGGAGACCAAAAAGAGAGAAAAAGAGTTGGGCTAAAACGCCAAATGTCGACAAGCCCTCCTCCCCTTTTCCACACCGGACTGGGCAAGCCTGTTCAGTTACCCATCCATCTAGGATTGATACCAAGACATCGTTTTTTTTTTTTTTCTCATCTTCGTGCTATAGCCCTCCAGTCCAATGAATTAAGCTGCGTTGACGAATCTCTAGCCCCTGACTACATGTAGCCGGCCTCTCCCACCACACACTTGGTCGATCCCCATCCTTTTTGTTTTTCTTTTTGGGCCTTGGTTTTTTAAAGTTATTATATGTCTTGCGATTTCTGGTTATTGCAGATCTCTGCCCATTCATAATCCTCCCCCACCCCCGATGTAGGCCGCCGAACTTCGCATCTCTCTGCCTCCCTCCCAAAGGAATTGCGAACACGCCTTCTCGTCAACATGTCGTTCGACGCTCCAGGCGCGGCAGTCTTGCCCCGCTATCTGCCCGTGAGCGAGCTGGCGACGACGTCCCTCCAGCAATCGGCCATCGCCATCATCTTCACCTTCAATGCCCTTGCCTTCGTCGTCTACCTGCTGCGCATGTACAGCAGGATCTCGACGAAGCAGGTGGGAGTGGGTAAGTTTCTTTTCTCGACGGCCACCACCATCTTCTCGGAGCCGGCTGCTAACGAGGCCATTCATAGATGACTACCTAATCACTGGTGCCATGGTAAGTCGAACCCGGCGCCTTGGCCTGCCGTTTTGGCAAAAGCTCGTAGGCCTTTAACCCTGACCATTCTCTTTGCTTTTCGGCAGATCTGCTCTATTGGATTGCTGGTCCCTACTTATATGTGTAAGTTTTTTCTTCTTTTTTTCCCTTATCGTAGATATAACTGGGCCGGTTGGAACTTGCCAATCCTCACGTGTTGAGCCACACGATGCAGGGGGTAAAAGCTGACCATCTATACCGGCATCACGATAGTCTTTCGATACGAATATATCGGGTTTCGTACATCCGATGTCCCAGACACCTACGATGCTGAACCTGTGCTCATGTGGAACTGGATCATGCAAGTCCTGTATAATCCCATCCTAGCCCTCGTCAAATCCTCCATCCTCTTCTTCCTACTCCGGCTAGGCGGTCATCGCCAGAGCATCCGATGGTGCATCATCGTCCTCAACACCTTCAACTTGGCCATGATGGTCGCCGTCTTCCTGGGCGTCATCTTCCAGACCATGCCTGTCCGCGCCTACTGGGACCACAGCATCACTCCCAAGTACACCATCGACGGGGTCGCCTTCTACATCAGCACCGCCATCATCACCATCATCACCGACTTCCTCGTCCTGTTCCTACCCTTCCTCATCTTCCTCGGGTTGAAGATGCGCCTGGCCGCCAAGATTGGTCTCATGATGGTCTTTTTGACTGGTGGAGTGTGAGTTTTCCTGACTGGCTTCGTCTTAGCCCAAACCTTGTTTTGTCATGTCATTACGTGGCGCACTTTCGGTGACCACGTCCCCTAATTTCCATCCGTGGTACCCCCACACATCCTCCCCCTCGTCCTGTGACGGTTCCTCACGAGACGAGCGCGTGAGCGAGATGGAAGAAAACAGAAGCAAGAGAACAACAAAAGTTGGATGGAAGCTAATTTAGAGGGGTCCCTTTTTGGCCCCGTGTCCCATACAGTGTCACCGCCGTCGGCATCGTCCGCGTGCACGAGCTCCGCAAGAAGTTCAACAACATCGATCCCGGCTACGACTCCCGCCACGGCGTAGGCGACACCCTCAGCACCGTCGAGTCCTGCCTCGCCATCATCTGCGCTTGCGCCCCCGCTCTCCGACCCTCTGCAGGCGCTGGCTCCCTGGTCTCTTCACCAACGACTCCAGCCGCGATCGCAACTACGGCTACACGGGCACCGGCCCCGGTGCCACCCGCAACGACTACGGCATGGGCACTTCCCGCACGAGAAGGACCCAAACCAGGCGGGGAAGCCTCACGGAAATCAACCTCGACAACCTGAAGCGATCCGCTCATACCGAGATTCGCGGACACTCGCCCGATGGCAGCGAGGAGGAGATCATGACGTACAACGGCATCATCCGAACCACCAACGTAAGTTGATTCCCCCTCTCTCATCATGCAATTCTTTTTCTTCCTTTCCCAAGCGTGCTAAAATTGTGGGGACTTAGATCCGTGTGTCTTACAACGACGCTTCGGATCCGGAGGGCAATGGGCAGGGACGATTTGCCGAAGGATCAGGCGCGATGGATTCGGATGTGAAACCACCCAAAAACCCTGTATGAGCCGGAAAAGGTAGCGAGGGTTTTTTCTTTTTTTCTTCTCCCTTTTTTATCTCTTGTTCTCTTGTGCTTCCCACAGGTAAAGATGTACAATATTGAAAGAGCGTGCAAAAAAAAGTTTCTGTTATTATACACTAGTCGATATCTCACTAAGCCGTTGCCAAGAAAGCATATTGAGCTTCATCATGACCTGTAGAAAAATGGTAGAAAAAGATGTTGGCCAGCGTCTCTGAATGCATAATTTGCCCGTTACTTTACAAATCGAGCAACACACTTGCAAATGTTGTAGGAAGCACCGCCGTTGGACTATTGCCTTCCCGTGGAAGGGACCGTGGACTAAAAATCGATAGTCGCAAAGGGACGCGAATGTGCCTTGCACAGACTGTTCTGGCCGTGCGGGCAAAACTTCCTGCAAACGGTCGGCTAGCAAAAGTGCCCGTTCGGAAGCCAGCAAAGACCTTCTCTCGTCTTGGGGTCGGCCCATCGCGCCCAGCGTTAAGCGTCAAAATTGGCCCGAATCGTTGATTGCCGACGTGCCGCTTCAACGTCTTTTCTTTTTGGCTGCCGTCAGAAGGGGTCCGAGGACACACACGATAGATGCAGCGTGTAAATCACATTTCGCACGTTTCAATGGTCTGCGGTGTTCGAGTTTTGTTCCACCCAACACGCTCTACCATAACAAGATCCATTGTAAATAATCCGTCTATCCAGTGTCTTGCATACCCCTAAGCTTGTCAAGGCTCCTTTTCAGGAGACTGGACCTGGGTGGCTGTTGGAGGCACCAAGTCACCTTCCGAAAACAGTAAGGGGGATCTGACTGAGATGAGGAACGATAGAGTTATAGAACATGTCTAGCGAGGGTCCTTCGTTCCTTTGCCTCAATCCCAGTGCGTGCATAGCCCACCCTCTGCTCCCCTTGCACCGGATCGCGTTCCGGTACAGGCACTGACCAAACCTTTTCATATTGGCCCTCGCTCTCTCCGCCTACGGCAAAGTCCCAGTCCTCCCCTGCTTGGGGATAAGACCCCAGCATTGTGAATCCCGACAGTTGGACGGTGCTCATCACGGCCTCCATGTCTTCATCGCTAGGGGCGCGTCCGTCTCCCGGTGACAGCCAGGCGAATTCAGAAACGGGACTCGGATCGTGTGTCTTGTGTGCCAGCCCCGCAGGTAGGACGAATACGTCCCCTACGTGAGCATCCAGCAGGAGACCCCTACTTCCATTGCATTTCCAGCCTCGGAGCTACCTCCGATGATATCTTCGGTCAGGTCTGCGACGCCGAAGAGAACTCGAGCAGACCCGGAGAGCACGACCATGCATTCGTGGACGGCCGAATGGTAGTGCGAAGGCTGGTTAGGGCCGTATCGAGCGAGCCACCTAGCCCGCCACCCATTGTTCCTGAGGATTTTGTATACGTTTGACGGCGTGCATTCGTCCGGCGTAAAGAAAGAGGGGTAATGAAGAAGGGGCTTGGGTGAGTTCGGCATCAAGGCCGTAGGAGGGAGGAAGTACTTGTCAACCCTAGGCGCCATGATCGAGACAGGAGAGGGGGCGAGGTTCATGGAAGGAAGGAGGAGGGGGCAGCCCGGCTTTTCGAAACCTAAAGTTATATTGCTGAGCGGCAAGGATGAATCCTGCAAAACATAGCCCTCCCCGGGCATCACATCAAAGGGATGCCGATCATTCAAGAGGGGGATGGATAGTGGTCCCCTTTGCCCCACTTGGTGGAACGCGTCGGGCTTTAGCACGGAACCGCAAAAGCCAGATATGGAGACTCAATGTTGGAAACGGCATTTCAACGACCGGAAAGAAAATCTCATAAATTCATTATTTGACAAGAATCGACGTGGAAAGAGAAAAAGAAAAAGGAAAACCAGAAGGTTTCTAGTCTACTCATCATCGTTCAACCACTTTGAGTTTTGAACCGCCCTTGCCCCCTTGTTTACCTTCCGAGCCGACCGGCGCTTCACATCGTGCTTCTCCGCCTCGTCCTTGATATCAGCAAGCACATCGCCGCCTCTGCTAGTGCCGTGAGCCCAATCTAGAACTCCTAGGGGACTGTAGTTGGCGTCCCCTTTGGTAGCGTAGTGCACTGCAGTACGACGCGCCATGCCGCCGAGGATGATGCCTGGGACAATGCTATAGCCCGAGTTGGTGAGCGTGCCCTCGAGCGTGCAAATCATGGTGAATAGCATGTAGGTAAGGAGGTGAGGCCGAACCGCCAGGGCCGGTAACATGATGGGGATCAGACGATGCACGAGCAACGGAAGCGGGTGGTCCAGGTAGAGCTGCAGCGAGGACATGGGATGCGCGTGGCACCACTGGCCATGCAAGCGTGTCAGCGTCGCGCTCTTCTTGCCGTGCAGGACGAATCGATGGATGTAGTACGTGAGGACCTCGCGCGCCGCCAGCAGAGTCGCGATGTGCTTGAAGAGCTGCCATGGGAGCGGCAGCGTCGTCGAGGTCCGAAAGATGGTGTCGCCCGTCGCCTGGTGGAATCCGTAGCTGAGCGCGGCCTCGACCCCGGTGGCCAGGAGCATGTTTCCCACCGCGATGCCGAGGAGGCGCAGCGGGCGCCGGGGCGCTAATCGAGTGCCCGGAAATTTGATCTCCGACGCGAGGCTCGGTAGCAGCGAGTCGAACGTGAGGAAGAGAAGCGAGGGCGCGAGCCAGAGGATCACGCGCAGGGCCAAGAGCGCCGAGGCGTGGATCTTGGTGGGGTCATAGGCGAGTACTAGCGTGGACCAGGTCGCGTAGAAGAAAAGCAGGTTCATGGACGTCGACCATGAAGGCGTCAGGAGGGTGGAGAGGAGTGGGATTGAGAGGAGGACGTCCATATTTTCTTTTCTCCCTCTTCGTTAGTCTTAGAGTTGAGTAGTCGATATGGCCAAAGGAAAACTCGCTATGCACTCAGAGTTGGAGAGATTCTCCGCGTAGATGGCGATGGAGAGTGATTTGTATTTGCGTCTTTTCCTTGGCCTATTTCTAGGAGGGTTTTTCGGTGAAGCTACTGGCTTTTTAATCTATTTTGGAACCGCCATTAACATAAGGATACATGGATAGATTGGATTTATTATGTCCACGTCGCGGGCGGCCGTGAAGTGATGTTAGCTGAGTTGGTGCCAACTTGGGAGCCCGTGTGCCGTGAATATGACGTAGTCCCGGCTACTCATTTTCGGATGACGTATCCCACGTTTTTGGAGGACACCCACCAATGCAACCAATGCAACACTATCGCGCAGCATGCATGACCGGCACCTAGAATGCACGAGAAGAAATTAGCGAAATAGGCCTACCTTTATCGGGAGCAATAATTTTCAGTCCACAGGTACAGGTTGGGGCCGTAAAGGGGGCGTTCAATATCGCGTCCTCCACTATTCTTTGTTGGGGGATGATTGAATATCCGGGCATCCTCGTTGCTTGCCCGGTGATATTTACTTGCTTAACGAAGTGAAAGTAGTTCCATGTCTAACCTTATATCCTCACGGGGGCTTGCGTAGAGATTCAATAAGCTTGATGACCCAGGTCACATTGTTCTAGATCCTCCTAAGCGTACTTGTAAGCTCAGATCTGCTTCCCTCTTAAATCATCTTAACCGATTAATAAAATCGATCCATAGATATAAGTTAGCCAATTCATGCAAGTAACGGCCCTTCGGTTGAGATAACCGGGGGTAGGGGCGCAGCCACACTTGAAGAATATATTCGCATTTAGCTATAGTCTACGTAAAAGGATAGTGATAGCCTTAGACATCACTCATCTGCAACATAGATATCTAACGATGGCGTGTATCATGCTATTCTCGATCGAGTTAACTGGTTGCTACTGGCTTCATACTTAAGTGTGATATGGACGGACGAGTGTCTCCGTATAATGAGATGACACATGGTCTCGTAGAAAACGAAGAAACTGATAGATTCAACCCATCCGATATTAGTAGGGTTAGCATCAGAACCTGCCAAGGTGCACTCCTTGACCTTTCCACGATAATTGACTTCCCCGAGGTATCTAACCGGTCTCACCTACAAGAGACTACAATTCCCTCACATCTCTCCACCCATCGCAGCACGTATCACACCATCTAGGACCGCAGTCTGGATATCATCTCGGATTCTAGCGAGAGCCTGGTCTACATACAAAAATTCATAGGATGAGGGAAAGCTATTCGCCGAGTCGGGCGGCATCGAGCATATCATGTGATGAATTTTTGTGTTACTCGAGGGCCAACCACTGGGCAGCTTGATCCATTTGTACGTGCCAAACGACTCTTCTAATCTGTAGGGCCCAACTTGGACCGTTTGCTTCCCCTCTTTTCCGTCACACCGGCATTCTAAGTACGCTGTTCATCTTAACTTACTCGCCAGAATGGTCCTGTTTAAATGTGGTACTTGCCGAAAGGTTTTCCATGCCGGCAGGCAGGCGCGAGACGATCATTGTTTCTCCACGAGCCACGAGCCCCCGCCCTTCGAGTGCCCGTGCTGTCCATGCTCGTTTAGAAGCCAACAGTCCTGCAGAGATCACATGGCCGCAAGGGGCCATTTTGGATGGGATTGCTCCATATGTGATACTACTTGGCCATCCTCAGAGATGTGCGACCGTCATGAGATCGACGTTCACCGCCTTTGCCCGAAATGCAGCGGATACTTTACCAGTTCGACGGAAATCAACTTAGTAAGTAGAATAGATGCCTTGTCATCTCTCCCTAGGATTTAAGAGGGCACGGCTGAATCTCAACTTAGCATTTGAAGACACGGGCCTGTGAAACCCAAAAACCTTAGATTTCATCGTGCAGAAGGTTCTTTGGACTAGCAGGGACCCGGAGAGTATATTGCACTATCAGAGAACTCGTTACGAGATTTCAATCGGGGAAGGTGATTGCCTGCGACTGAGTGGGTCGGGAGACGCCGGTTGACTTCCCGGGGTTCACCTCTTATACCTCAACCGGATCATGTTGGGGGTTTCTCGGAAGGATGCCTCGCTAAAAATCACTTTCGGGCGCCGCTTTTGATAGTCAGTCAACGTGTTCATATTCAAAGCGTATCTATGAGCTTCTATAATGAAACTGAGCCTAGTGGTAGAGTGGAGAAAAGTCTATAAGTGAGATTCCTGATAAATCTCGGTCGTGTGACGCACATGCGAGATGCGGTTGGCATGCAAATGCACAACAGACAAAAGTTCAGGACTAGGATAAACAAGAGAAAAAGCCCGGTTTACGGCCTTGGCTCGCAAACTGTGATGAATGGCGATATGACACCTGAGGAGTTAAGTTGCGTTAGAATCGGTCCTAACTTCTCATATACTATTCTCTGCGTAGATCATGATAGAGACTTACCGCTTAAGAAAAGTCGCCCTGTTTTCGCATCGTGGATAACAGTAGTAGCTCCTGGTAGGGTTCCGCCCTCCCCATCCTCCAGAATCTTTTCCCACGAGTGGCTTCCGTCTGCCCCTTGCGCACGCGGAATATGGTCGACCTCGGCTTAGCGTGGAGGGGGTCGTTGAACGCCAGCAGAATATCAATACCCTTGGGGAACGCAGCGACGTAGATGTCGCCGTTGGCATCGACAGACAAATTGTCTAGCGAATAGTCGATGACGATGTCCTCAACCTTTTCGAGCTCATCGTCCTCCTTGATCCGGTAAACCTGGATAACCCCGGTCATGGAACTGGGAACGTAGACGAATCCGCCATGCTGCGCCAGCCCGTTGGGGAATTTGTGGCCTTCCGACACGACGCGGCAGCCTTGGCCCACGGTACAGAGCACGACGTTTCCAACATTGAGAAAGCCGCCCAAGTGAGCCATTAGCCCTACTTTGTGAGCGCCGTGGTCGTTTGTGGTGTAAAACCGAGTGCGGCTCCCAGATGCCAAGGCAACGTTGTTAGGCGTGGTGATGTCCTTGTGCGCGACCGTGTGAAGGTGGTTCATGGTAGCGGAGTGACGGCCCCGGACCTCGAACACTTCGATCGTGGCGTTGGCACCCGCGGCCTGACTGAGTGAGATTTGACCCACGCTATCGAGCGACGGGCGGGCGTTGACGAGCAGGAGCTCCACCCTATCCTCTTCTCCATCGACCGAGACGTCGACGCCAGTCATGCCGACTAGACTGAGGAGTCCATCTCCGGCAGTTCCAGCGTAATTGGAAGGTTGGAGGGTTGTGTACTCGAACGATTTCCCAGATGGTGCATCAATCTGGAGAGCCACAATGGCGTCCTTTTGAGATCGTCCAGTCACGTTCAGCTTGTGATTGCTAGACCACCTAATTAGTATCGCGTTGCAGCAGTAGCTGGACGACCACATGCGTAAATGGTAGTAGTCAATGCAGGTACTTACTTGGGGAGCCACTGAGTTCGCGCAATGGGGTCAGAGCACGCGAGGTACAGTACGCGACTGTTTTCAGACAACCACATGTCTTCGCATGCCTGCAGCCGGGGGTCATTGTCGATGCGGCGGCAATCATAAGGGAAGTCGGAAAGCGGCTGTATCGACCTCCCAATGCCAAGACCGAGCCATGTTGCTTGTTTGAGATATACCTGGAAACCCACAGCGATCAAGGCGGCGGCGATTAAGCCAAGCTTGGAAAGGAGCCCCATGATGGTTTTCTTTTATGATCTATACCCGTCCTTTCCGGCCTTTTTTCCCCTGGCTAAGTCGAATAGGTCGAATATCGAGGCTAGCATGAGAAGGGGGAAATTTTATTCTCAGGTATCATCAATCAGCTTCCCCTGATATCGACGATTACATAACCCATTTCGTGGCGTGGTCTGACATGAGATTGAGTGAATCCTTCCTGGTCAAGGCACATCCTGTTTCCCCAAGTCTCGAAGGATCGAATTTTAAGACGAGGGAGCCTCAAGTTCTGCCTAGCGCCGCCGAATAAATGGTAGGTGAAGGAACACTTGGGATCGGGTGGAAACAATTCACGTAATCTAAGCTGCAGGGGCGGGACCCAGATCTGGCGCGCCAAGCATCGCGAGACAAGATACCTTCAACTTCCTAATGCGGAAAGCTATTCGGCATCACGTGTGGGGAGTATTGAACCGAAGCGCTGGATTTAAAGACGGCCTCGTCCACCAACTCCAAAATGAGTTGAAATAAGAGAAGACACTGAAGCCACGAGAAAACAATGAATCCATACAATCGCCATTCATAGACGAAACGGTTTGGTAAACTTGCAATAGGATCTTCCTCCGCGCAGGCATCCGACTTTGCTCGCCATTTACCAAGCTGATGCTATATTGCCTGGTCTCATTTTTTTGGAAGCCGCAGCTGTCACTGGATCTCGACATGATTCAAATTGCTCGGAATTCACTGAGACGATCCCTCAAATTCTCCACACAGAAACCCGCGCCCTTAGCTGGGCACACTCGGAGCGGGAGTACGAGCGCGTCGATGCCCACAGCAGCAACCGGCCTGAAAGACATCCCGGCAGCGCATATACCGCCCCCAGACGACGCCAAGATCCTCACGCTACCGGATGGCCGGAAAATGGGATACGGGGAGTACGGCGACCTAAACGGCCGCCCGTTCATCTTCGTGCACGGCATACCCGACTGTCGGTTTGATTGCGCATGGCTAGATGCCGATAAGGCACTTGCAAAACGACTCGGGGTCCGGTGGATCGGTATCGACCGGCCAGGTATCGGGCTATCAACACCGGACCCGAAACGGACGATCCTCGGCTGGCCCGAGGACGTGCAGCACCTCATCAGCCATCTGGGGCTAGACACGTACCATATCTTTGGCGTGTCCGGAGGGACCGCGTACGCGCTCGCGTGCGCTAAACTCCTCCCGCGCGACAAGTTGCGATCGGTGGGCATCATGTGCGGGATGGGACCGCCCGCGTCGACCAAGAGCGGACTGAGTCTTGGAAACCGGGTGGGATTGGCCGCGTGGAATTGGTGGCCGGGGGCCATGCAGTCCATCATCAACCACTCCGTCGTCAAGAAGGCGCAGGACCCGGACCGATCCCAAACAGAGAAAATGTGCCGGACCCAAGCCAAATGGGCGCCTGCGCCGGACAGGGAGCTATTCCAAAAGGAGGAAATGATCCAGCTCCTCACGGATATTTGGAGAGAGGTGTATCGGCAGGGGTCGGCGGCGGGGCATGCACAGGAGATGAAACTAGTTGCGGACGATTGGGGATTCCCACTGGAGAGCGTGACTCACGGAAAGGTCCGGCTCTGGTACGGTGATAAGGATGTGAACACTCCTCTCGGCCAGGGCCAGTACATGGCGGACAGGATACCCGGCGCTACTTTGACCGTATTCCCAGGAAAATCGCATTTTACTGTTTGGGATCACATCGACAAGGCGCTGGCAGATATGTTGCAGGATTGAGGTTCGCCAAAGAGCCAGCTCCCAAGAAAGTTGTACACCACCTTGTATAGTCTAGACAAATCCCCTTTTCCGTTAGCCATAAATACCCACCTCACAATTTCATTCAATGACCCCAACAACCACGGATGGAGAACGAGGTGGTAGGCCGGATCCTTGGGCTAGAGAGGCTGCGCTGGCGAGCTTGAAAGAACAAACCCCCAGGAGATTAGGCCAAGACCATCGAGACCCGACCCGCCGAGGTGAGAATTTATGGACGTGAATGTTGCTGCCTGACGTGGGAAGGGGAGAGAGTGAGAGAGTGGGTGTGTGGATGTGTGGGTTGAAGAATTGAAGATTATTCTTATAAGCATCGCGAATAAGGCGGAGACTAGTACAAATTCGGACTAGCGCCCGACTTTATTCTCCTTCTTTTCTTCTGCGGGGAAAATGGAATGTGGGTTTTTGCTTGCTTTGTCCTTACTTTCGCCTGCAAATTCGCAATGGGTCGACACGGAATTCAGCTTTCCGAACCCAAGAGAAACCTCCAGTTGAGGATAAATGTGGGGCATAACATAGGCTCGGCCAATCCTGTCCGCGCCTTTGTCCTGGTGCTCTATTAGCCCTTTTTAACATCTTCTAACCCCGGGAAGAAGCGAATGCAGGGGAGACGGCGTTTGCGGCCCTTCGGACGCTCTGGATGTCCGCATTCAACTCGGGAGACTCCATAAAGCCTCGCCCTTGGCCTCATTTTCTTTCGGATTTTAGTTAAAAACCAAAAATCACTTGTCACTCATCCTCGACCTCTCACTCTGCTTCTTCTTTTTCTTCTCCCGTCAGCTTCCAGACAGACCACTCTTCCCAACCAAGCTTGATAATACGTAAAGCTACAATGGAGAACCCTTTGAACGCGAGCGTTGCTCACCCCTACTTCCCGGTTAACGCCGAGCTGCCAAACTATATGGCCAATAGCCTTCCCGTGCCCGTGCTTCTCGCCAGCTTCGCCATCGGGGCTGGGGCGATCCTCTCCAGTACTCACCTCATTGTCACCAAAGCTCGGCCCAGCATCTCGATCGCCGACCTGTCTACGGCGATGTGGTTAGGTCTTTGCGGCTTTATCCACTTGTTTTTCGAAGGTATGAGAAATACGTGACCTAAATCTTCCCCTTACAACCTTATCTCCGAAGGTGGGGGCCATGTCAGATGCCCTGCATCACTACGCTCCGGCCAAAGACTAATGCGAGGTCAACAAAATAGGCTACTTTGCTTACAACAACGCCACCATGCCTTCCCAAACCGACATATTTGGTCAACTCTGGAAGGAATACTCCCTCTCTGACATCCGCTACCTTGTGCGCGATCCCTTTGTCGTCTGTATGGAAACGGTAACCGCCGTCTGCTGGGGCCCCCTCTCGTTCATTTGCGTTGCCCTCATCGCCAAGAACCACCCGGCCCGCCACCCCGTTCAGCTCATCATCAGCTTAGGCCAGTTCTACGGAGATGTTCTGTACTACGCGACTGTCTGGTTCGAGGTGCAACGGGGCGCCATCTTCTGCCGACCGGAGCGCTACTACTTCTGGGCCTACTTTTTCTTCATGAATGCCATTTGGATCGTCATCCCCGGTTTCCTCGTGCTCCAGAGCGCTGTTGCCACGACTGGAGCCTTCCGGATAGCCCAGAAGAGCGCCGCTACTGCTGGCAAAAAGAACAACTAGAGAGCGTGATTTTGTGAGAAAACGATGATGCGCATTTCTTGCTTCGTATGGTCACATCATCTCCCAGCTGTTCGCTAGAGTTATGGCCCCACCATACTTGCCATGCAGGATTTGTTCATGGGAAAAGGAGGCTGTAGTAGCCGTTGCAACACATGTATATATATAGCATTAATTAGAAGCATCCAAACCACACTGTCTCGTTTCTCTCCACCATATGGCTTGAGTCCGTGATAGATCCATGTCCGCTCAAAAACTTCAAGTACACAAAAACATAGAGTCAGGTCTTACGACGACTACTTTTCTCTCTACTATCCATTTCCAGCTTCAAACTCACTAAAAGAAGCCAGCGCAATATTTGCAAAGATTAGGTCTTAAAACCCCTCCTTCTCTATCATGTTCCTAGGAAGCCTGATTATGGCCAGCATTGACACGCGTTGTCCTATTGGCCAATTTCCTTTGATCCCTTGGAGGCTTACCCCGGTATTTCGGGCTATTCCCATTTAGGAAGTAAAGTTGGCCAAGACTTTGAGTGTATGACGTCTTCCAATCAGGAGGAGCTCGTTTGCTTCCAGGCTCTCCACCAATGGTCTTCCATCTCAACCGCGATCCCGTAGGTCAAAAAGATATCGGTACTACAACACAACTCATAGCGCATCTTCGCCTACATTTTCTCTCCCTCTTTTCCTCCCTCCGGCTGTCTCTAAGATTTCGCATAGGGTCACTACACCTCTTTCTACCCCAAGGAGGAAACGACATCCCCCTTTTCCCCGCACCCTTCATCTCCAAAAGGCCAACATGGGGAGGCCAAGGTGATGCACCGGACAAGCGCTGGCAGTGCTGGGAATGCCAGCGCCGCCGCCTCGTCTGCGACTCGGCACGTCCCATCTGCCACAAGTGCCAAGCCGCCGGTATAACTTGCCCCGGGTATGACAATAAGAAACCACTCACGTGGCTTGCCCCCGGCAAGGTGGTAGCCCGCAACAGGCGGAAAAAGCCGAAGCCCGGGCCGAAGAAAGCCTCTCCTAAGAAGACCTCGCCCGAGTCAAGTAGCCCTGATGAAGGAAAGTCGCTTGTGATTCGGGCGGGCCCAAGCCAGCCATCTGAGCCTGTGCTATTCTTTTCACATTCCTTGCCTACTACGTCCTTGAAAACAGACTTGTGCGATGCCATGGAGGCCGCTATATATTGTAAGTCTCCGCAGCGGGCCGCCATCTTTGCATGGGGCCAAGCTACATCCATGACCGTATCGGGCGCTGTACTCGGAGGAGAAATGTTACTTAACCTAACCCAGATCTAACACAACATACCACACTTCTAATTTAGATACCCACCATATCTATCCTACAATGATGGATGCACTACTCGTTCCTGAATCATCGATCCTTCCTCTGATGGACTTCGACTTCAACCAGATCCCCCTTGAGTATTCATTCTATCGTCTGCCTTGCCCTCGGTTACCGCATACACAATGCCCCACGCGATCTAGACAGCCGGACCGTACGCCACCTCTGGTCTCGCCTCTACCACCACCGTGGAGCAGCCATTCGAATTCTGAACACGGACATTGCCGGCAAAAATACACAGGCGAGTGATAACACGATCAGTGGGCTGGTAACCTTTCTTGTTCAAGAGGTAGGGGAAGCCACAATCCCATTCCTTACCCTACTTTTTTCTTTCTTTCCTTTTTTCTTCTTCTTTTTTCGGACAAGATCTATATACTAAATCCCTCCTAGATACAGCAGTCTATAGACCCACACTGGATGTATCATCTCGAGGGTGCCATGGAGCTCGTAAGGATACGAGGCGGCCTAGCCAAGATGTGTCGCGAGTCTCCGACGCTCAAGTGCATCATCACACTTCTAATGATGTAAGTCAACCCTGCGCACGCCCGACCCTCATCATACTTCCTGCACTGCTAACCTGTTCTCCTCCCCTTACGTAGGCTAGCCGTAGTAGGAAACACGACGAGCCCAGCTGCAAGTCAGATGAATGCAGAGATGCACTACGACCTGGCAGACGAGATTTCCGAGGTCTTCGAATCCGGCAACGTGGCCCCGCTCCTGTGTCCCAAGCCCATCTTCCTCATCCTCATCCGCATCAACAGACTGCGATTTCAAGCCGCCAGCGACACCCCTCCTCCCCGCGGCGCTTCCCGCTCCGCCGCGGAAGATTTACTCCGCGACATCGAGTCCTTCACCCCCAAGGAGTGGGCCGCGACCAAGGAGACGTTTCAGGAAGATTGGGCGCTGCTGGGCTCGGTATACAAGAGCACGGCGGCGCTCTACTGCGTCTGCGCCTTGCAGAGCGTCTCCGTGCTCCCGACCACGGCAGCCGTCAACGCGCTCAGGGCCGGCTACCGCGCCCGGCAGCGCGCGCTCCTCGAGCAAGGGATGGGCGCGCGGCGGGTCGTCCACAGCCTCGTGTGGCCGCTCGTGGTGGCCGGGGTGGACTGCGTTGGGGTTGGCGCGTCGATTGCCATCCGCGAGTTTGTCGAGAGATCGCTGCTGGCGTTGGGCAGGGACATTGGATCGTTCTCGCCGAGGGTGGCCAAGGTGACGCTGAATCGGTATTGGGAGTCGGGCAAGTCGACGTGGGACGAGTGTTTTGATCGGCCGTATGCGTTCCTTGCCTAAAGATTTTTCAAGGTCCGGAAGAAGGGAGAGGGCGAGGGGAGAAATGAAAGGGCTGTCTTTGGCAAGTTTCTCCTCGTTGTGGGAGGCGGTGCTCTCGGTGCGACGACATTTCTAGATAATACCCAACTCAGTCCTGGCGTGTGACTGCCGAATGTAGACAAAATCTCCGCTATTCAGCAAAAAAAATCGAAGCAGCATCGAATCCAATTGACGACTAGTAGACATGGGAGAGAGGAAAGGGAGGGGGAGAAAAATATTAAATGTCTGCGCCTCTTCCCTTCTTTGTAGTACAAGCGACGTGCATCACGCATCCTTCCCGCCGCCCGCAAAAAAACGCTCAGGGTTCGCAAGATTTTTAAACTCCACGGGGCCTGGTGACGCATCCTGACCCCAATCGACAGCGGATGGGCTGTGCCGATTTCTGTCCGAAAAGGGATGAACGCGGCGCTGGTACGAATCAGAGCCTAGTGTGTCAGACCTGGGGGTGATCTGAGGCCCGACTGCGCAGCCACTCAATCGGCGTGGACGGTTGGCGGTGGTACCCGGAACCTCTAATTTCCTAATTGGGTCAAATGTGCCGCTGGGCATCCAGAGATGCAGCTCATCATTTGAGACACTAGGTCAGGGCAGACTCGATTGACATCACGGCCCCCTGTTCTCCTGAAGATAAATATCTCTACCTACCCCGGAGAAAAAGCTTGAATTCTTCTGGAATAATCTCGACATCACCTTTGTTAGATTCATACTATCTGCTCTTCTTGGTTCTACTTGATCTTTCATATTATTGATCACTGCGCTGTTTGCTCACACATAAGCCTTTGCTGCACAACGGTCGATCGCTTGTCAGAATGGCCGACGCCAGTCGAGGTGAGTACATTGATCTCTTGTCTTAGCTTTTTTATTTTTTTCAAGACTACGAAGTACTCAGGGCAATCGACTAATACTCAACAAAAGATGGGGTAACTCCCGGTAGCGTCTACGTTTATGCCCCTAACAAGGCCGCGGCGATATTCTTCACAGTGGCTTTTGCCGCGACATTCTTCCTACATCTATGGCAGTCCCAGTGAGTCGCCCTTTACCCTCTTACACCGCCTCGCCTCCTACATCCGGGTGTGGTCATCGAGACAAGATCGTATGCTGATCATCTTCTCTTCCTTATAGCCGTTACAAGAGTTTCAAAGTCACCGGTCTCCTCCCCTTCTGCGGCCTGTTGTTCGTGGTCGGCTTCGCCGTGAGAAGCTACGGAGCCTTCAACTTCACCAATGTCGACGTCTACATCGCCAGCATCGTGCTCATCTACATGTCACCGTACGTTCCCCCCTGCCATAATCCTCCCTTTCCAAGTACAATCTGGACTGACCTAGTTTTCCTCTTCGCCCCGCAGACCCCTCCTCGAACTCTCCAATTACCACATCCTCGGCCGCGTCCTCTATTACGTCCCCCACCTCTCCCCCACACACCCGGGTCGCGTACTCGCCACCTTCGGCTCCCTCTCCGCCCTCGTCGAGATCCTCAACGCCATCGGCGTCATGTACATCACCAACCCCAAGGTCCCGGACAAGGCCCGAGACGTAGGCCACCGCATGATGCAGATCGGTCTCGTGCTGCAGATCCTCGTCGTCGCCGCCTTTTACGTCCTGGCCGGCATCTTCCACCGCCGCTGCGCCCGCGACAGCATCTTCTCCACGTCCATCAAGGTCCGCCGTCCGCTGGTGACGCTCTACATCAGCACCTCGCTTATCCTCGTCCGCACCATATTCCGCGCCGTCGAGCATTTTGGCTTCGAGGACGCCATTAGAAAGGCCGGCGCTGGGGAAACGCCCGCGAGCTGAACCCGCTTCTCACGAGGGAGTGGTTCTTTTACGTGTTCGAGGCCTCGCTCATGTTTATCAACATGGTCTTGTGGAACGCGCGACATCCCGGAAGGTTGCTTCCCACCAGCCACAGTATATACTTGTCCAAGGATGGCGTGACCGAGGTCGAAGGGAGCTCGACGTGGAGCGAGAAGCCGTGGTATATCCACTTGCTCATGGGTGCCATTGATCCGTTTGGCTGCCTCGAGATCCTCACCAGGAAGAAGGATGATTCCCAGTCCCACTGGCCAGCTGAGAACGCTGCTGCCGTCAACAAGCAGCAAGGACAAGTCTAATGCCGCCAAATCTGTTTACAGACCAGGGGGTTGAAGCACCTGATACCTGGTGAAAGCAATTTCTAGCAAAGCGACGAGACCATGTTTGATTCCCTCTTTCTGTTTCCTTTTTTTCTGCTCCTTCTAGATTCTCTCTTCCTGTTAGATCGCGTGTTTATTTCGTATCTGTAGTCTATAATAGAATAAAGACTTATTTACACTATCAGTCGGCCCTTGTCAAACCAATTTGAGTGTCTCGACGTGCCTCGACGCGTCCCCGATATTCTTCAGTGCTTCTTGGTTCATCCCGTCCACATACGCCTGGCCAACGACCTGGAACCGATCCCCACGACCCGCCTCAACGCCACCGGCCTCTCACACCCCTCGACCAGCCAGATTTCATCGCCGGGCTCCGCCCACTTCCTCACCAGTCCCGGCGTGCCGACACTCGTGACAAAGGGCACGTAAGAGATCATGGCCCACCATGCAAACATGACCAACACCTTGGCTTCCTTGAAATGGCCCTCGTTCATGCCCGAAAACCGGTGAAGCGGGTAGGTCGATGCGTCGAAGCCATCCTCCTCGAGATTCGCGGCCTCCACGAGCTTAGCAGCACTGGCGTAGATGGCGTCCCGAGCGCCAGGTTTGTCGAACTGCGCGATGAAGTCCGCCATGGCGAGGGTTCGGACCACGGCTTTCCACTCGTCGGTACCCGTCTCATCTGCATCACCGCTGCCGCCGGGTGAATTTTCCGTCTGCCGTCCGGCTAGACGTGTCATTTCTCGACAGGTGCTTACAAAATGAAGCAGCGACTGGCTCAACACGTCCACCTCGAACTCGTCCTTGAAGATACGATCCACCACGCCGACCTTCGCGCCCGTCACCGTCAGCGTGAGGCCATCCGCCGATATCGACCCTGGCACCCGCGAACCAGGGCCGGCCTTCTTTAGTAGGGGCAGTTTGCTCTCCATACCGGAGCCATGTCCGTGCCTCCAGTCGGGCACCCAGGTCGGGCCCGCGTCCGCACCTTGCTGCTGGGCGTGGAACAAGTTTGCGAATAATAGGAATCTAGTCGAGCAGTACTTGCTAAGCAGGGTCGCCGCCACCTCGCCGTATACGCGAGGCACGCTGAAGAGTAGTCGACGACGATGTCGCCCTCGGCGTGGTCCTTGACGAGGAACATGACGCCGTAGACGCGGTCCCGCTCATCCGTACATTTTAGGGAGTTGACGTTTTGTAGGGTGTATAGCAGGTCTAGATCCTGTGGCGACAGGGTGGTGCCTTGGGAAAGGGTTGCGTCGGCGCCGTGCTCGGGAGGAGCGAACCTCGCGGGGAGAATAACGGAGGGCTTTTTGGTGCCCCAGTCCCACCACGAGGACTGCATGACGTTGCTCAGCTGGATCTCGTCGCATAATCGCAGGTAGTGGATGAGCGAGGCGACCGACAGCGTGTTTTCCTTACAGTGGATGGACACGGCAGAGGCGTTGCTGATCTCCTGCTGAATCCACACCCGCTTCCAGTACGCGCTCTGAAAAATGGCGAGCACGGGATCCCACAGAGCAGGACTTGCCCCGAGATCTTGGATGGTGCTTCCAGCGTTCAGTCCGGCCAACTTGGTGAAGCCGGGGCTGCTTATGTCAATGTCCTCGTCTAGCCAGACGCGGACTAGGTCTGCCTTGCTGTAAATGCGCCGCATGAGCTGGACCTGCGCTGCGCGCTCGACCAAGTCATCTTGGTTGATGCACACGGCGTCGACCCAGATGACGAGGGGTTCGGTTTCCCGCCGCAGGGTGGTGAGGATGGCCGCGAGGCGTTTCGAGATGGTGAAGGGCTCGTTGTCGAGCTGGATCTGGGTCTTGTCTGTGACGTCGCCCCACATGTAAGAGAGCGCGTCAAAGGCGGCGCCCTGGGGATGTGGTCGGCCGAGGTGGAGGTAGGTGAAGATTGCGGAGATGGGCTTGTCACTTGGGGCCGGATGGATCTGGAGAACTCGTATCTCCCCGCCGGCCGAGTCCAAAGAGCGGTAGAGTTTAGCTGGTCCGCTCGCCATCACGCCTTTGGGATTTCATCACTTTCTGCGACTGCCACCATTCGGAATTCTTGAATTTGGGGGTTACATGCGGGCGGCTAGCCTTTGCCGAAGCGGAGTCTGCAGCCCCTCACGTGCAGTGTCCCTCGACGGGCAGCGTCGAACTGATGACATTAGGGTTCTTTGGAATGTGCCCAGGCCACCATTGTGCGTGCGGCTCTGAGTTGAAATTGTATGAGAAATCTGAGGAATATTGGAGCCATCATCATCCATCATCACTTGCTCGAGGACAGGCGATAGAAGAAGATGAACCCGGGATGCAATCAGAAGTTTGGGACGGGTACGGGAAAGACCGCCACGCGACTCTCTCGCATTGCATTTGATCCATAGATGGCCTTTTCTAAATTCGGATCCACTCATCTAATACTGTATTGTGCCATCCGCGGAAGTTGGAGGATCCTATGCGTATCATCGCTCTGTCATCCCAGCGCAGTTTGGGGGACATGAACCCTGTCGTTCAAACACCGTGAGGTAATATTGAGGACTCTCCACTAGCCTAACTCCTTTGCCACGCCAAATCCACGTGGAGCTTTGAACGAAGGTGTTTTTGAAATAGCCTACGGTTTATATCTCCGAAATATCTCAAACTCACTAGCTGTTGCTGTCCTTTTACCTCGAGCTACCAGACGACCCATCCCACGCCAAAACCCCGCTCGCGGTTCCTTGGCTAGGGCGTCCTTAGATCCCGCATCGCACCCGCAGAGAAACCTTGAAGAAGCCCTCGTCTTATTATTATCTCCGAACCCCCTTTCCCCCTCCTCATCTCCACTTCTTAGCTTTCGGACGGAAGACGGCAGTCGACTTGGCGAGGAACGAGAGCGCTAGCCGGGGTCGTCGGGTGGGGCCTCGTAATTCCAGGGCGTTCAATGTTCCCTTTGTCACGGCCTGCAGGATGCGTCACCAGCGCTTTGTTGGAGGGCAACAAAATTACGACGGCGACGGTTACTCTGTCCTCGTGGTGATAATTTTGATTTTCCGTTTCCCCTTCCCTCTTCTTTCTCTGCTCCCAGTCTACAGGTATCCTTTGTCATTCCAATTTCTGCCGTTCAAGAAGTGGTGTGGGGGATCAAGCTTAACATTAAGGATGTGTAAAACCAAGAATGGAGAGGGGCGGAACATAACATATTGATCTTGAAAAACCTGAGTCGCACAGATCACAGACGCTCCGAACAAATCGAAAACCTGGTTCAAACGGGCCGGGCTCGCTTGGGCAGATTTGAGGCATCACACAATCTCTTCTTGATTTATTAATCCCCTCTTCCCTTTTTCACGTTATTTTTATCTTTTGCACTTGCATTACTTGTAGTCAAAAGCCCCGTGATGCCTTCTTCCCCCATGCCTGATTAAATGCAATAGAAACTTGATCCTTTTCGAGCCGGGGTTTTTATCCCTGTCCCGCTGCCGCCTTCGTCCAGCCAGCAAGAGAAGTGCGTCGAAGCAACTCTCGCACGAATGGCGGAGTGCAACGAGGCCGCACCACAGGGATGCTCCATGCAACTATTCAGTAGGAGCCCGCGGATCATCCGCGCTGATCGAGACCTGATGGGTCGGTTTATCCTTTGCGCCCCCCTCCCCCACTGTGTCACCTCCCACTCTCTGCTGCAGACGGGGCGCCGGGGCTTGACGCCTCTCGATGCAGCCAAGCCAACCACGGTGGTGAAGGGAGGGGGACCGGAATCCTTCCTGTCCGTGGCCCATTCACATCAAGGAAAAGGAAAATTTGAGAAACTTTGAGAGAGGGAAAGGAAAGGGACCCTGGGGAAACCCCCGAGTCTTTTTCAACGTCCGCGAACCATGAAGCGAACCATGAAGCGCCAGTGCTTTGGGAAACAGCCCCGTCGATCCTTCCGCAAAGACTCGCAAAGCAAGGTGATGAATACAGAAGGTGCCCCCTCTTGGCCCAACTTGCCATTAATATGCCCAACCGTTCCCCCTGTAGATCTGATCCACGCGTGCTTTTTTTCGAACCCTTCCTCTTCTTCTTCCTTCTTCTGTGCTATTTCCGTCGTCGCTTTCTTCCGCGGACCGAACTCGACTGGACTGATATTCCCCGACTAAATCGACCGATCCTCGCCATTTCCGTCAGCAAGCATGGCATCCTCACCGCCCGCCCAAGATAAATCCTCCCCAGCTGCAAAGTCGCCGTCGCCAAAGTCCCCAACACCAAAGTCGCCAACCCCTGAGAACAATGACGATCCCATCGAAGCCGTAGGTTGACCCGACTTGTCCCTTGCACCGCTCATAGGGAGGCTGGGCGGACCTGGAGCAGGGCAGACTCGCGCACGCGAATCAATTTCTCATACTGGAGATGAATAGGATACCACCCACGACGATGGAGATTCGACCTATGCCGCTTCGTAAGCTGGATACCGCCATTTTATGTGAAGAGGGTTGTGTGGAGAGGGCTAACCAGGCTGAAAGGCTCGTGTCCGACACCACCTCGTTGAGGACTTCTATGCTCGAATATCGGTGGGAGAATGGCAGGCGATATACCGCTGCCGAAGACTCTAGATACTGGTACGTGTAGCTGAATGTTTTTGCCTTTATCATGAAGTACTCAAAAACTGACTCTGCCATTTTCGTGGATTTAGGGGCCCCAACGACGAGAAGCAGCAAATCGCCGAAGACCTACTGTATGTTGAACTCTGCATCTTGACAAAGAATAGGATAGCCTGACGGTGACGCCACTAGCCACGAAATGCACAAGCTCATCCTCGAAGGAAAGCTGCACAAGGTTCCGATTTCTGAAATCCAGGTACGCTCGACCCCATTTCCCCGTTCCCCTTGAATTAACGGGTCCTAGAAAGATCCCATTTCTAACCTAGTTTCATGCGGGTTGTAGACGGCGTTAGATGTCGGCTGCGGTACTGGTTCTTGGGCCATGTAAGTGATCAGCACCAACCCCTTCCCGACTCAAAGACGCAGATCCACCCCCTGCCTTCCATTCACGCCCCCATGGTGGCTGCACGAACTGACCCAATCCCTCTCACATAGAGAGTTTGCGGACGAGCATCCGGAGTGCACCGTGACAGGTGTCGACTTATCCCCGATCCAACCCAGATTTGTCCCGCCCAACTGCCGTTTCGAGGTAGATGACATCAACAAGGCCTGGACCTTCCCCGAAGACCACTTCGATTACGTGCATGTGCGCAACATGCTTGGGACCGTGGCCAACTGGACCGACTTCTACACGGCCGCAATCAAGTAAGGAATATTCTCAAACTTCCACCCAGGTGACGCAAGGTAGATGTGTACATACAGGAATTCTGAGACTAACTGGGGTATCTCCTAAACCAGGCACGTCAAGCCCGGTGGTTGGGTGGAGCAAATAGAGCTATCCAGTTCCCCTCGCGCCGACGACGATTCTATCCCCGACGGTTCTGCCCTCAGTCGATGGCCAGGCCTCTTCAATAACATTGGCGACAAGCTGGGTATAAGCTTCCGGGCCGCCGAGGAGGCACGTGAGGCTCTCACAAACGCCGGGTTTGTCAATGTGACTGAGCATATCATCAAGGTCCCCCTCGGACCGTGGCCTAAGGACAAGCGGCTAAAGAGCTGGGGCCAATGGTGCCGCTACTTTTCACTCGAGGGTCTCGAGGGCTTTGCTTTGCGCTCAGTCGTGGATGTCTTGGGGGTGAGATTTTACAAACCTCTACTTGCGCATATCCAGCGCGATGGATAAAGGGTTCGCACTTGCTAACCATTCTATCAAATAGTGGACCTATGAAGAGGCGCAGCTTCTCTTCATGGAGATGCGGAAAAACCTCACGGATCCAAGGGTTCATGCGTACACCAACCTGTAAGTGGGAATGGGGAATAAGATTTTGACTGGTTTCCCGGGAATCAGGACCTAAAACTAACCATGTCTCTTCGCGCCTCCTTCTAGACATATCGTATACGGGCAGCGGCCGGAAGCGCCGGTGGCGTAGTAGCCTACTTTTACACGAAGACACGAGCTTGGGTTCGATTTCCTATTTTGCTTCTTCCTTTTGCTTTCGTTTTGCCTAGATTCAGCTAGCGGGTATGATGGATATTCTCTTCAGATATGCGTAATGAAAATCAATAGCAGCGATTCTTGGTGGTGAATTTCGTTTGACTCCCTCTCTTTGTTTTTCTATCATATTCACGCTCCCCTCAGAGGAACCCCCACCGGTTTAATCTTGCCCCTTTCTCACAATCGTCGTCAGCTCTCCGTGGGCAAGTGAGATGGGCGTCGCAGTGTTGGAGCGGCTTCTTTGCCGGACCGTCGACCCGGTCACTTCGCCGAGACCGTGGTTTCCTCGGTGGTGATTTGGCACGTGCTGCCGAAAGTGGCCGGTCCTTTCAGCGATATCGGCAAAACTCTGAACACTAACGTCCTGTAAAGGGGCGTTTTATCGCAAAGAGGGGCAGATAACGGGCGACGAGCGATAACGAATCGACCGGGGCATTGTAATGATACGAACAGCGAGAAAACAAAGAAATGGGCCCACGAAAATTGGAGCGGCCGCATTGAGAAAAGCTAATTATAGACTCACAGAGTAATTTTGCAAGGGGGAGGAGGGAGTCGCAAAGGGTGCCTGCAGGTGGGCCTCTACCCGCTGTTAGCTTCGATTTGAATAGATGCTTAGATTGAATGGAAAGATTGGATGTCATGGTGGAAGGGTTTTGGTTTCATTCCCCCTTCTCTTGGAATGTCTCCCTCCTCGGCCAAGCTTGAACTTGTAGAGCAACTCGGCCCCAGGAGATTGGTCCTAGAAGCCACGATATTCGAGCACGCCGCGACGCGCATAGCGACCCGCCCAGCGGGAATGAAATCACGGAGTTCCCGATAATTTCATCACACCTGCCGGCTAGATTTCGCTCCGTGCTCGGCCGGGTCAAATCACGCTAGGGAAGGTTTGGCGGGTCAGTCATCGGAATTTTCTAGAGCTTCCAGGCGGGCCATAAACCCTCAAATATCAACACTACGGAGTTTTGATAGTCTAGTATGACAGCCGAAATCGCATTTGCAAGTTCCGCAAAACTGTCTGGGGAAGCGGACGAGGCTAGGGTATACATCCATGGATGTATATGCATTCACCTGCAGAACCTAGAACCTGGTTGAGGGCCACCGCTGCACGTGTGAGTTGGGGGACTCCAGGTACAGATTGTTTCAGATACACGCCTGGAGGCTGTCAAATTGATCCCTGTTACTTTTTGTGCCATCGCTGACTCTTTTTCTATGCATGATCGTCGTCAATGTGTCGGCGGTGCTGTGTGGCTGCGTTGCGGCTTAGGCCGGCCGCCCCCGCATCATGCCCGTGTAACCAAACTCTAATGACCTCACTCCCTTCTTTCAACTCATCAAGCTATCAAACAGCTACTTTGGAACCGGGATTCCTAAACGTGACGACTTTTGAGGAACGCTGCCTCATTTGTCTCGATTCTTATTTTATGCTGAACACCTGCTCGTAGAGGCTATCTTTCTGCCATCTTCACCATGTCCATCCTCGGTACTGTAGATGATATATCTAGACTGTCCGCATTCCTCCACCACCTTACGACCGATCTGGATGCTGATGACTTCTTTACGAATATAGAGTGCTCATATTCGCCACGCTGGCTTCGTTCTACCCCCAGCTACGAAAGATTGTACTGCGCAAGGATGCGTCGGGCATATCCTTGGCCTACCTGCTCTTGAGCTCAGTCTCTGCTATGGAACAGTTCACCATATACGCCAGCCGTTTCATCTACCACAAAGGTTTCCCCGACGGCGAGGTGTCAACCCCCACACGGCTGGGGACTGGCTGAACCTCGTACAAGTTTCCGTCTTATTACTCAGTACTACCGTGCTGTAAGTACTGAAGGAAGATGTCACGGTTCTTGGAACCAATGCCGTTGGCTTCAAGGATCTTTCGTTGGGACGGGATGCCCTTTTCTAACTTCACCACCGTTTAGGTTTGCGGTTGCTACTTGGTATCTTCCGGACCGCCAGGTCGAGAAGGTCATCCTCACTATTGGCTACTTGGCCCTCGCCTACGGGTCCTTCCTCCCGGTGCTACCTTATTTCTCAAAGTCGTACAGAGAAAGCGGCCACCGAGGCCTCGCCCTGTTCCTGGCAACGCACACGTATTGGGTAAACTGGTTCGTCAGCTTCGGCATATTCCCCGTATCGTTGTTCTGCCAGTGGCTTTGCATGAAGGGGCAGCCTGTGCCACGGAGCCTAAGCGTCGAGGGGCTCGCGGCGCAATCTGTGGCGTTTGTCCTAACGGGCGTGTCGTGGACGTGGCGCATGACGGTAGACAAGGCCACGTGGGCCGAGTGGTATATGTTTGTCGGCTATGCCGCGGTTGATAACTTGCTCTTTGGCGTTGTCCAAGGCATTCTTTGTCTTTTCATCTGCGGGAAGACAAGGCCGGTAGAGGGCCGGGTCGATGAAGATGAGGCCCGCCCTCTACTTCCAAACTAGGGGTAAGATGTTGAGTTGACTTGGTACTCTACTTATCCCTATGTGTTTCCGGATCGCGGCGCGATCTTGACACCTCCGTGCGTGGAAGAGACCCCACAGGAACATGATTGCGACGGTATCAGTTTGGACGTGCGATTATCTACAGGAATCGATGGAATATGTCATCTGTTCCTTTATCTCATCCAAAAATGAAAGAGGTCTAGCATCTCGGATAAGCCACGGCGGACCAACCGCCAAGTCCCCAGCCCAAGAGTTTGATATCATCTGTTCTTAGTCGATACTCGAGTCTCAAGAGTTGTCAGCAACTTCAAGGACGGACGCCGCCGGCCGAACAAAGGGCACAACGTTTGAACCTGGCCTCTCTGGCAGGCATGAAAATAGCATATGGGATCGAGGGGCTAGGGGTCGGGATCTACTGCCGCTCGACTCGGTTCGTTGCCTCGAAGAAGAAGACTAGCTCTGCGCGCTAGACTGCACACGGCCCTAGGAGGAAGGATGGCTAGTAAAATTTTGTGCTAAAGCCGCTGCAGCTTATCACGAGAATGTGGCGGGATGTGCAACCTTGCCCCCCCGGCGACCGGATTACATAATCCAGAAACAGAAACGACTACTCCCAAAGCGGGCAAACCTGAAACCCCATAATTAGAGAATCAATTCAGTCAAGGGAGCCAAAAACGATGCTTTTCTTTTTGTCTTTGGTTATATCTAAAGAAAATTTCTCTCTGCGTGGCACGCATAGCCGATCCTTCTATCATCTCCGCGGCGTACGTGATAGGCGGGTATTGAACGTTGCGACGCAAGGACAAGGAATACCCGGACGAATGCTCAGTAAATAATCCGACTCGGCCGGCTGATGGTTGTGGCCTGCATGCTTGGCTAAGCACATCAGCAAGCCGGCTTTCTCACCCAATGATCTGCAATTTCTTGGGAGACCAATCTGATGATACGATGCCACCCGTTCCGAGTGGCAATGTACCCCGGCCCGTAGTTTTTTCGACTGCGGGATGCCAGATCCTCCTCAAAAGCACAAAGGAGAGTACTTGACCTACTGTTACTACATGTACCGAGGTAGGCAATGAGCAAATAAAGCTTTGTACTTCGTACCAATTGCTACGGTAGCTGGCCCGTCAGCAAGCCAAGCCCGTATCGCTCAGCCAGCCAACTCAGGACAGCTAAGATAACAAAAGGTCTCCGAATCGCTACATGTGGTATCCGATGGCCGGTACAAGGGGAGGAGGCGGGGAGGAGCTGGAAAGGGGGGAGGGCCAGAGAGAACGCAGGCAGGGGTAACAAAAAGCTCGAGATAGGAAAGCGGCGATGTGCTATGGCTCTCCAGAGTGAGCGTTGGCTGGGCTGAACCCTTGTTTGGGCGGCGGTGATGGTGTTGATTTGCTTGGGGTTGCTTAAACTGGGATGAGGGGGATCCCGAGCTCCCACTGGCTGCGCTGCGATGAGGGTTGGTGCTTATCGCTGCTAGTCCGTGTACCGATAGCTCAACCTCCGCCTTTTTCTTAGCCCGGATTCGGACCATCATTCATCCTGTATCCCAAGAACCCGTTGTCATCAGGGGAGAGGTGCAGGGTCATTAGAGAGACTAATTCTTTGTGGATGTATTGGATAGGTGAGGCGTCGTTTTGGGCTGGTTTCTGCGCGCTTCGCGACCGGGCGCGGGGACACTGTGAACGTGCATTGTGTGGAGGGAGCCATCAATGGATCCATTCCATCTTCTCGCCCTTCTTCCACTACTGCGATCGGGAACAAAGTAGGTGGAGTTTGATTTGTTTCCATACTATGAATGAGCCCTATTACACTTTTCCTACTCCTGCTTTCCGTGCGCAGACAAACTCCCGCACGCAAATCGGTTTATTGTGATAGCAGCAACAAAACAGCAAAATCAAGGGCCGCAGAGGGCATCAATCCATTGCCACAGGCCCTGGCTTTCTCCGCACAACGCACAACACAGGTGATCTTGCCTTTTTCCCAGTTGAGCTCTAGCCCAATCCATCCACACCTCCGAGGCCACCGGCGAAGAGGAAATAGCGCCGCTCCATTCCCGAGTCGGGTTCCCACCCCCACCTCGCCCCTGAGCCAATAAGCCTCGTCCTGATAACGAGAGACAATGCCAACCCGTTATCTGGGAGAAGAGTAATCGTGGGAGGTTTCTGTTCCTCCCCCACTAATCCGTGCAAGTCGCCCCAGAAGCCACCCATCCGGCGCACGCGACATGGGGAGGGGACATGGGGGGCGTGTGTAGGTGCGTGTGTGGGTGTTACCGGGACCGCTGAGAGGAGCGAGCATGTGGAGCTGTCGAGATTTTTCTTTCTTTTCTCTTTTTTTTTTTTTTTTTTTGCCATTGCGACTTTCTTTGCATCCTTCAAGTGGGATTTTCATATAGAACCACCCGAGGCCCGCATTTGGGAGCTTCTGAGCTTCCCTTCCCTCCTCCGTGTCTCCTCTTTGCTTCGGGCAGTTCTCGAACTCGGCTCGATTTACATCGCCAATCCATTCATTGGATTCCGTCTTTCCCTCCCTCTCTCTCTCCTTCTTCCCTTCCTAACCTCTCTCTCCCTCCACCCTCCGCCCGGCTTCGCCAAAAGTAGCAAAGATGGGCTTCATCGACAAAATCAACGCCAAGGTCGCGGTCAGCCCCGTGGGCCGCTGGTTCAAGCTGGAAGGCTGCGGTCACGTATGTCCTCCCATCTATCATGTCTCTTCCCTCTGCGGAAGTTAAGCCTCGGTGATATTCTTTTTTTCGGACTTTAACGTTACCTTGGGCGCCTCCCTCTGCGCGCCTCTCTTCCACCATGTATAGCCGAAAGAGCGCAAGGGCTCCCTCTTCTTCACCGAGATTCGCGGCGGCCTCGCCTGCTTCTTCGCCATGGCCTACATTATCGCGGTCAACGCCTCCATCGTCGCCGACAGCGGTGGCACATGCGTGTGCAACACCAGGGACATCGATCGCTTCTGCCTCAAGGATACCGACTACCTCATGTGCACGCAGCAGATCAAGCGCGACGCCGTCACTGCCACCGCCGCCATCTCTTCCCTCGCGACATTCTGCATGGGTCTCTTTGCCAACATGTGAGTCCTCTGCATTGATTTCTCTTCCCTTTTTCCCCATTCTTTGATACCCGGCCTACCTCCGATCTCTGTCATGGCTATTTTGCTTTCTCGTGTCTTGAGCTCAAAGTGTTGCGCTCTCCGGTTTTTCCCCTTGACGATTTTTTTCGCCTCTCTTATCGGAAGTGGGACCACCAATACTGACATGTGCGCTATCTAGGCCCGTCGGCTTGGCACCAGGAATGGGTAAGTTTTTTTTTCTCATTTTATTCCTCTAGCACGCCTGCCAGTCCATCGTTTTTATTTCCTCTTCCGGCCTTTGCTGTGTTTCGTACGATTCGCATCCTCTCGAATGATATTCCCGCCCGCCGCCAAGGGATATGGAGAAACAAAATAAAGCCATTCGATATGCTAGCCCCCTCAAAGAGGCTTCGGCTCTCGGGCCACGACCACGCGACACCCCCACAATTCTGGTTTTTCTTTGTTCTTTTTCTCCTTTTTCCCTCGGTGGCGTTCCGCCGCGTGCTCGGGGCGCGCCCGGGAGGGTCGGCTGAACAATAAACGAAAATCCGAGCGGGGCTGAAAGAGGAAGGAAAAAAGAGTGCAAAGAGTGCAACGACGACGATTGATTTGCTTGTTCTTTCTTGGAGCTATTGGTTCTAACGCTCGATCGTGCTCCAAAACTAGGTCTCAATGCGTACTTCACCTATACTGTCGGTAAGTCACAGCGCGCCCGCTTCCTCGCTCTCTCCCCAATGTCAAGCTCCCCATTCGATCCGGATCTGGGTCTTAGCGGCGCATCCGCCGCAACGACTAGCATCACGACATGGATTTTATGGGATGAAGAAAAAAAAAGAAAAGATTGCTCCATTTCGAGCAATGGCCTCCCTTCGCCGCGACCCCCGCGCTAACACATCACCTTCTCTCCCATAGTCGGTCTCCACGGAACCGGTCCCGTGCCCTACCAAGTCGCCCTGACCGCCATCTTCATCGAAGGCTTCATCTTCTTCGGCCTCGCCCTGTTCGGCATGCGCCAGTGGCTCGCCCGCGCCATCCCCGCTCCATCAAGCTCGCCACCAGCGCGGGTATCGGCCTGTTCCTCACCCTCATCGGCCTCACCTACAGCGAGGGCATCGCCCTCGTCGTCGGCGCCACCGCCACCCCGTCGAGCTCGCCGGCTGCTCCCCGAGAACCGTCTCGAGGATGGCACCTGCCCCAGCTGGGACAAGATGCGCTACCCCGCCATGTGGGTGGGCATCTTTGCGGCGGCATCTTCACTACTATCCTCATGATGTACAAGGTCCGCGGCGCCATCATCGCCGGCATCGTCCTCGTCAGCATCATCTCCTGGCCCAGGACCACCCCCGTCACCTACTTCCCTATACCGATATTGGCAACGACTCCTTTGACTTTTTCAAAAAGGTCGTCGACTTCCACAAGATCTCCAAGATCCTCAACGTCCAGGAGTGGAACATTTCCGGCTACGGCGGCCAGTTCGGCCTCGCCCTCATCACCTTCCTCTACGTCGACATCCTCGACTGCACCGGTACCCTCTACGGTATGGCTCGCTTCGCCAACCTCATCGACCCCGTCACCCAGGATTTTGAGGGCTCCAGCATCGCCTACATGGTCGACGCCCTCAGCATTTCCGTCGGCGCCGTCCTCGGCGTGCCCCCGTCACCGCTTTCGTCGAGTCCGGTGCCGGTATCTCCGAAGGCGGCAAGACCGGCCTCACCGCCGTCGTCGCCGGTCTCTGCTTCTTCATCTCCATCTTCTTCGCTCCCATCTTCGCCTCCATCCCTCCCTGGGCCACCGGCTGCGTGCTCATCCTCGTCGGTTCCATGATGGTCGGCTCCGTCACCGAGATCAACTGGCGCTACCTCGGCGACGGCGTGCCCGCCTTCCTCACCATCGCCCTCATGCCCTTCACCTATTCTATCGCCGACGGCCTCATCGCCGGTATCTGCAGCTACATCTGCCTCAACACCATTGTCTGGCTCATCAAGGTCGCTTCCGGCGGCCGCATCGTGCCTCCCAACTACGAGGAGCGCGACGGCTGGACCTACCGCATTCCCGGCGGCTTCTTCCCCGTGGATGGTGCGCCTCAGCCAGGGCAAGAAGGACTTCTGGAAGGACGACACTCCTCCCCTCAGCCAGGTCGTTGTCCAGAGCGAGGTCCGCACCCCCTCCGAAGGCGAGCTCGCCTCCGATGTTGAGAAGAGCGGCGTGGCCACGGCGCAGGCTCCGAGGAAGGAAGAGTAAATGATTTCAATTTTGTTCACGTTGGGAGCGCTTTTTTATTATGATCGGACGCAGGAGGGCAGGCTCAACCTCTGAGGCAAGCGCGCGCTAGCAGCTGCTACCTTGCCAAGACATGGATGTTTGGGATTGCGGGTTGCGGGAGCTCGGGATGGTGAAGGGAGGCTGGCTGTTTTTGGGTTGAACGTTTTGGAGGAAACCATATATACCATATCTTCTATTTTGAACCCACTGTTTAGTGACACCGTATGATATACTCTTAATTCTATTTACAATTTCTTGAAAAGCTCTTGTGGTCGGTGTTTGCTGGTTCAATGGTAGGAGGGGACCGTCAGGTAGCAGGCGATAGCATGTATAAGACTAACAACATGGATGTCCTTGGTAACTGAGCGCTTTCCATACCTCCCTCTATTCGTCGTCTGGCAAAACGAGGTAATATTTCGTAGACTACATGTAACACAGAAGGTGGCCGTGCCACTATGAATGTAGGTTCGCTATGAACTCAGCAATAAAACGTGTGTATTACTCGCTTCTCTCTACATCGACCTGGTCACCAACGTGCCTCTTGCTTGTGAATCAACGCGTTGGCATCTCAGTCGACCCGGCCCCCATCCTGCCCCACAAGAGCTCAGCTACGGTCAAGGCTGAACTCACTGACCCCCACCAAGAGCCGCTCTCAAAGTTGACGTGTGAGGGTGAAAACCATGTACTCTCATTGGCCAAAGCGTGAGCCCGGTTCGAGGCCCTCGGGGCATCGAGCCGAGACACCGGCGTCTTGGTTCATGTCATCCCATATCTCTTGCGAGAAAAGCACGCAAGAAGTGGATAGTCAATGAGAAAGAAGAAGGAAAAAACACTCACGCAGCGTCCAGCTCCGTGGTTATCGGTTGGGGTGGCAAGCATCACCTGCCGTCACCGCATACGACTGCAGCTACGCGAGCGCCCCAAATCCTCGGGTATCGACAAAGCTCCCGGCAGCTCGCTATCTGTTGCAACCTTCCCAAGACCTTTCAATTCCTCCCCAAGTTGGCGGCCATCGGCCACCTCCGACGAGTCGCCAGCCCCACCCCCACACTCGGCGACAGCGACAAGGAGCCCTTTTCGGGATGCATAGGAGGGGTCGGGAAGGGTTGGATGCATGCCTCGGTGTACGGCTAACCGGTTGCGAATGGTTGCGTTGCAAGGCCTGGGGGAAAAGCAGGGAGAGAGGGAGCGAAAGGCCCAAGTTTCTATCAGACACCCCTTCACCCCTTGCCACATGGCATGGCTTATCGGCCAGGGTGGGGCTTCTTGGCTGTTGTGGAACGCTAGGGTCCCGAATTGGGATATGGGACCGGGCCCGTTGGCCTGTGGGAGATGGGGGATCCTTATCTGCCAAGACGCAAGCCTTATCAGCATCGCCAACTTATGGAGTTTCTAGAGTGTGTTTCCACCCAACCGCATGGCATAGCATGGCCCGAAAGGGCTTTCTCGTCTGAAATATCGAGACATAAAACCTGTTTGGCCAGGTGATGATAGTTTGTCGAGATAAAAAAAAATAACAAAGAACAAAAAACAAACAACCCTGCCGACGGTCGAAGAAGGCCATCTTGATCAGAACCACCTGTCATGGCTCGGTTCACCTTGGTCCAACATTCCTCACTCAGACCACAATGCTCCCAACACCAGCCTGTTTTCCTTGATTGTTGTTCTATAAACACGAATCTACCAAGCACAGTTAGAGTGGGCAAATGTAATGAGCTGCTCATTCTTACAACCCTATGACCTTTCTCTAGGCTGTCGGTAATTGCATCTGTCCGAATTCTGCACGTGTCTTATCTTTTCAATGCTATCCAAGTCGTTTAGGTGAATGCATAGACCCGTATTAGGTACAGGCACGATGGGCCAGATCGGTTTAGGGTTATGCTCCGCAATTTTTCATTGCCAACCCCGTTTTGTATTCTGAAGGGCGCCGTACCTGCGATAATTCGCCGGACACGAGTACTCGTCCAAGCTGTTTGTTCTCCAGACTAGTGTCCGCACAATTATTTTGATGTATAAGCCCGGTTACTAAGACACGTAACTGACAGCCCCGCAACTGTCATTTATATATCGCGAAGCTAAACTGGACTACGCCACCCGAAAACTTCCGTTCCCTCGTTGGTTGCGGGATTGGTGATATTCGACAATCGAAGGAAAACGACGTAGGAGACGGCAGCTACGGATTCCATGGTCATGACGGATCAAGTTTCTCGCATCTGCGCTGGTGGTGAAATATATTGATCCCTCGAGCTGAACAGGGATAGGGTGGCCAAGTTGTCGAGTCCATAAGCAATGGAGCACCTCGGTACTGGTTCCGGTACAAGGTTCATCGCAGTCCCAGGGCTTCTTGGCCTTCCCGCTGCCCAACTCCCTGGTAACCCGTACGCCCGGTCCGAGATGGTACCCGGATACAGAAAAGAGTCCGGGAAGCTACTGCAGTGGATCCATGCTAGTCCCCGGAAGGGGGCTGCCAGATAGCATGGTTAGCCTGCTTGGTGCAATATCAGTTTGCCTCTCTCCCTCTCTTACACACACAAATAGTTATGCAACTTGGGCCGGATCCGATGCCGGTGCGGGTCTCGAGACCTAGCTTAGTGCCGGTTTGGATCTGATCGATATTACTTGAGGGAATGCGAACCTCAAGCATGATGGTGTGCTCTTGGGAGAGGCTGAACACGGGTTGGATCCATAGATGCATCGACTCCACGCGCGGGTGCTTCTACATGGCCGATTGTAGCTGAAGAACGCCTATGCAGGTGGCTACTGGTGTTGGGTAGACTACATGTAGGATTCGAGCTGCATCTGTGGCGATCATCTACGATTCAGTCGCCACCTGGAAGATGAATCAACCGGGAGGAGGTCTACTTCTTCTCCTAGATTTGCCCTCTGGGGGTTATCTTGACACCTAGGACAGCAAGATACGATACTGCCCCTAAGTCATAATATTGTTACTCTCCTTTGACGGTGAAGCGTATTTGATTTCTATCACAGCCAAGCCAAAGAGGGGCGAACTATTGCTAGAACACGATGGGACGATTGAAATCGACCCGCGATAATTCAACACGTTCGCGCCTCTCGTGAACGGAGCTTCCTTTTCGTTATCTTGGAGACCAAGCTGGACAAGGTCAAAGGATGGATGGATCAAAGAATCAGGGGGAATGGTGGAGAAAGGCCGTCTCTGGTCACTGTGAGCGAATGTCTGGTTATCTTTGAACGTTATCTTTGCCCATCGGAGCCCGCCGACGGTGGAATCGGTCAAGGAAGGCAAAGAGAAAAGAAAAGAGAAAAAAGAAAAGGTGTGTCTGTGAACTTTCTTTATCTCTGTTCCTCTGACAAGGTCCAGAAAAAATGGGGCCGAGAGAGAAGGTGGAGTTTGACGCTGTTTGGAATCCTTCCCCACCGTTTCTTGGGGTCTTGATTACTGTATTATCGAATCTGCATGTGTACATTTACAGTGTCATCACACTGGTCGAGACTAGTTGGACTTCCCTGGAGACCAGGACGAAGAGGGGAACGCGGACGGCGATGGGGTTCCACCGCTTCGCGCCTCCCGGTGCCGCAGATGGATTGGCCCAATCAGCGTCGGTGGGAATACAGTTCACAATGGAGACCATTGATCACTATCTATTATGGCCGGTTCTGGGGGACATTGGCTTTTGGGTAACAGTTTCACCCATCAATCGCCCGCCCCGAAGCCGCTAGACAGGTACCTGGTACCGTTGCATTTTCGTCCCTCTTCCACATCCTCGACGCTGTCGATCACCACGAAATTTATATCTAGGACTCTGCCCGCTCCCTTTTGACTTCATATGTTCCTGGAAACAGCATCTCCATCGTCTTTCAATCAATCGGATCATTTCCTCACAGCCGAGCTTCCCTTTTCGGCTTCTCCCTTTTCCCCCTAAGCGTCCCTGATCAAAGACTATACGCTTCTCCTCCCACCTCTCTCTTTCCACAGGATCCTCCGCAGAATCCGCCAAGCCACTAGACACAAGGAACGAAAAGAAAAAAAAATCCTACAAACGCCCAAGCGGAAGAAGTTCACAATGGACGAAGATCACGGTCCCACGCAAATCGTCCCGGGCGACAAGCCTCGGTCAATCGGACGGTTCGTCGCCGGCGCGAAGCGTCTCTTCTTCACGAAGCAGGGCCTCATTGGCGACTACGACTATGGCTTCCTCTTCAGGCCAAACCTCCCCTTCATGAAGAAGTCGGAGCAGGCCTCCCCTTCTTCGGCCTCAACGACCGCATGCCCCTCCTCCTCGCCCTGCTCCTGGGTTTCCAGCATGCCATTGCTATGCTTGCCGGCGTCATCACGCCCCCATCATCCTCGGCGGCAGCGGCGGCGTCGGCTTCCCGCCCGAGCTCCAGCAATACCTCGTCTCCACCGCTCTCATCGTCTCCGGAACTCTGTCCATGATCCAAATCACTCGCTTCCACATTTACAAGACCCCCTACTACCTGGGAACTGGCTTGATCTCTGTCGTCGGAATCTCTTTTACCATTATCCCTGTTGCCCAAGGGTGAGTTCTCTCTTTTGTCTTTTGTGTTTGCTTTGTTGCCGTGTCTCGAAAGCGACCTCTTGTAGTGTCATCATCCGCTAATGCGAACCTCCCGTGCCAGTGCTTTCGCGCAAATGTACGAAAACGGCTTCTGCCCCACCGACGATGAGGGCAACAGGCTATCTTGTCCTCAAGGCTATGGCGCTCTCCTCGGCACCGCTGCTGTCTGTGCCCTTCTCGAAATCCTCATCGCCTTCATCCCTCCAAAGATCCTCCTCAAGGTCGTCCCTCCCATCGTGACCGGTAAGTTGTGTTTCCAACACTCTCCATTTCTCACCCCACTGCCGCTGGAGTTTTTGATTGCTCATTCGTGCGGCGGCTACAAAACAGGTCCTACTATCATGCTCATCGGCGTCCACCTCATCGAGAGCGGTTTCAAGAACTGGGGCGGCGGTTCCGGCGCCTGCTTCCAGCCCACCACGGCGCTCTTCGCCATGTGCCCCAACATCAACGCTCCCCACCCTCTCCCTGGGGATCGGCCGAGTTCCTTGGCCTCGGCTTCTCCGTCTTCATCACCATCATTCTCTGCGAGCGCTTCGGTTCGGTATGTAACCCCCCTTGTCATCATTATCATCTTCTTCTTCCCGTCAAAGCACATGCTAACGACTGTATCTTCCCCTACCTTACAGCCCATCATGAAGAGCGCCAGCGTCGTCATCGGTCTTCTCGTCGGCTGCATCATCGCCGCCGCCTGCGGATACTTTGACAACTCGGGCATCAAGACCGCCCCCGTCGCCTCCTTCGTCTGGGTCCACACCTTCAAGCTCAGCGTCTACGGCCCTCTCGTCCTACCCATCCTTTCCGTCTTCATCATCGTCGCCTGCGAAGCCATCGGCGACATCACCGCCTCGTGCGACGTCTCCCGCGTCGAGATCAGCGGCCCCGTCTACGAGTCCCGCGTCCAGGGCGGCGTTCTCGCCGACGGCCTCAACGGTCTCCTCGCCGCCCTCATGACCATCACCCCCATGAGCACTTTTGCCCAGAACAACGGTGTCATCGCCCTCACCCGCTGCGCCAACCGCACCGCCGGCTACTGCTGCTGCTTCTTCCTCATCATCATGGGCATCTTTGCCAAGTTCGCCGCCGCGCTCGTCGCCATCCCCGCCCCCGTCCTCGGAGGCATGACCACCTTCCTCTTCTGCTCCGTTGCCGTTTCCGGCATGGCTGTCATCGCCCGCAGTGTCCCCTTTACCAGGCGCAACCGCTTCATCCTTACCGCTGGTCTCACCATCGGCTACGGTGCGACGCTCGTCCCCTCTTATTTTAACAACGTATTCACCTACGATGGCCCCAACACGAGCCTCAGGGGCTTCATGGATGCCATCGAAATCGTCATGCAGTCCGGCTTCGTCGTCACTGCCTTCATCTGCATGATCCTCAACCTGACCCTCCCCGAGGAGCCGAGGATCTCATGATGATGCGAGCGTCCCTAACGCCGAGCGACGGAGCCTCTATCGAGCGCCCCGCCTCTCCTAACACCAAGATCAAGGCGTAAGACACAAGGTGATGCGTGATTAATGATGGTTGGTGTTTTACTGTGTTGACATGTTCTTTCGCTCTTTTCTTTTCTTGTCCTCATTTTTGTCTGCTCGAGGGCGCTGCAGATTTTCTCTTCGTTTGTGTGATAGTTCTTCACGTGTTGATGATACCAGATATATCTTGATAGTTTATTTCATAATGTACGAGTGAACCTCTTATCTAAAAGAGTTCATTGTTAGACCTATTTATACTGTCGTGTGCGAACCAATGTGCGAAGCGTGAAAATGATCATGCGACTATGTTATAAACTTTTGTCGCGTCTTCTGTGTCAAGTCATAATGTGCTAACCCAGCAAAATTCTCTGCTTCAAGACCAGTTCTTGAATTCAACCTCCCAGTTATCCGATACCAGGCTTCCCTCCGCTTCGGGATCTAGGCAGATCGCCTTGGAAGCCTCATCATCTCGGAACTGCCACTGTAGGTAGGCCACGGCGGCCTTTCCAAACTTGCCGCCGTTGGTAGCCTGGTGAGTTCCGCCATGGCCGGTGTCGAGGTTGGCCTTGTACGCACTAAGACCCTCGGGAAGAAGGGCATAATCCTTTTCGGCCTACACGCGTGGATGAGTTAGCCATGTTGACTTTTTCCTTTTTTCTTATTTAAGTTGGGGCTTATCAGTGCGCTACTCACATTCGGATAGCCCATATCGGACTCGCCGCCAACCATCCAGGCAACGGGTACGTTGATCTCCTCGAGCAAGTACCTCCTCTCATCCTGGAAAATGGCAATGTTGAAGAGAATGATGCGCTTGACCCTCTCGTCATGGTAGGCCGTGGACATGGACTCAAGCCCTCCGCAGCTGTGACCGGCCGTGGCCACCTTTTCCAGGTCAATGTCGCCGTAGGTGGCGGCACCGCCGTCAAAGGCCCAATCGAGCGAGTCGCGCATGTCGCTCACCTTGGACTGGCCCCGCCGGAGCCGCCGGGGGCCCGTCGGCGGCGATGACGTAGCCGTGGCTGGCGATTTCGACGAGGAGGTTCTTGTACGTGGACCCGTCGGTCATGCAGGCGCCGTTACCCCACGCGATGAAGGGAAGGGTCACGTTGGGCTTGGCGATGGGGGCGTAGATGGTGTGGTTGGGCAGGGTCGGGTCCGTGGTCATGTGGGCTGGGTACGGGCCCGAGCCGGAGGTGGCTTCGCCGGGGCCCTGGGGGTCTCGGAGCCGCCGGCGCCGGGGTTGTTGCCGACCTTGGCGAGGTAGGCGGCGAGATCGGGGAGGCTGATGCAGAAGATGCCGCCGGCGATGGTGTCGTCGCCCGTGGCGGGAAGTTGCCGGGGAAGGCACAAAGGCCTGTTGGCGTGGGTCGAGAGATCCGGCGTTGACGGCGAATACGCTTTGGAAGCCTGTTAGTTCGCCTCGCTACCGCGGGTTGAAAACACATCTACTTGGTAGGACACGGCGACTTACTTGAGGGCGGCGAGGGCCACAAGGGCGCTCCTAAGATTGAACAACGCCATGACTTGACAAATGACGTGTCTCTCGGTTTCAAGGTAGGAGTGATGAGGCAGATGGCGAGACTGTTAGGATCCACCAAGAAGAAGCCGGCCGCCTGCCATGTTGCCTGGGCCCCGTTTATATATCTGCAGAATCGATGAACGCCAAAGATGTGTTCGTCACCCTCATATACACCAAATTCACCTCAATCTATCATCCGCCATGACAGCAACCTTCCCGCCCACCTCGGCTCGAGATGTCGGGAATCGTCATGAGAGTCGCAGCGCGCCAAGATTAGGCTGCTTGCAACCTCACCCACAGCAAGGACAGGGGATTCGCATTGAGAGTTGCGGTTGGGAAGAGGGAGAGGGAGGGGGCCGCTCGTCGACGTGGTTGCAGTGATGTCGGCAGTGATAATCGGCATCTGGTAAGGGTGGTAGCCGCACTGTCGTGTATATTGCGGAGGCTCTGAGTTTGTGCCTCTTTTCCAATGTTGTAGCGAGCCCCTCTATCTGGTGTTATGCCGGCTTGGTTAAATCGATAATATTGATGCGTTCCGTCCCTTTTTTTGGCTTCTGTTTCCCCCTCGAAAAAGAGACATCGCTCAATGAGGGACCAGCCCGCACACGCACACGGTCTGACCCTGGTTTCTGGGCCGCAATTTGCACCAATGAAAACAACGCTCGACCGAATCTCATTTTCCTAACTTGGAAGACACCCCGGATCATGGGGGATCTGGGGGATCTGGAAGGATGGGCGACTGCTGCTTCTTTTCGCTTGGGTCAGTAGAGCTTGCGAAATCCCCCGATCCACCCTTCGTTTCCCCGCGCCAAGAACTTGGCCAAGATGCAATGAAACTACTAAAAAAGCATGGAAGAGGACCTTAAAAACCTAAATCGACCCGCAGATCAGCACTTTCAGTCTTTCGACGAAGACTATGAATCCTTGCGGAAAACCCGGGAACATTAGGAACAAGGATTCCCACAGGTACGACCGGCCAGGGTTGCACTTGTTTCGCAGATCTCCTCTCCCCGAAAACAAAGACATTATCATTGACCTTTTGTCCTAGTAGGAACACTGCGTCGTGCTTTTTGATCTGGGTCCTCGGCAAGTTGGAGAATCGCCTCGGCTCGTGTGTGGAAAGGAGCAGAACACACTCCCTACTTAACACTGGTAGTCACATCACGGAAGCGCAAATTGAATCCGGAGAACCCGGATCCTCTTTATGCCGGCAGAGTGAAATGTAGAGCTAGTTGCTAGTGCAATTGTAGCAAAATGTTCGCTCACCGGCGATTGAAAAGATCACATTGACGTTTGTCTAGAAGCACCACGGCCTTGCTTCGAAACCAATTGATGCCCGTCCTTGCTACTTCAAGCTGCCCCATGACCTGTATTTTCTGCAAGAGGCTCTGGCTTCGACCTCGGCACAAAAGCCTACTTCTCCTTCGAAACGATAGCCTTGACTCCGTCGACACCAGCAAAATCCATGACGTTCTCCATTTATAATCTACAACAGCTGTCTCCGGTCAAGCACTCTTGGACCATTATACTTTTCACCAGGAAACAAGAACAAAAAGAAAAAGGGAAAAGAGCAAGCCCGTGGGATACACAGATACAATACAGCTCTCAAGGCTCTGGGGCGCTCGCGCTACGACTCCCTGGCCCACGCGGGGACGAGTCCTCGCGCAGCACTTGATTCGGCCACTTCAAGTACTCCCCCAGTACGAGCCCAAGTGGCGCGTGATCTCTTGGATGAAAAAAGCTCCCACATCGCCTACCGCCCAGTGATAGCGCGTGTAATGCAGCAGGGCGGCATAGTAGGCGAGTATGACGAGAGCCTCTGGGCGCCGCTGCTCAAGCAGGGTGACGTACTCGACGGACACGCGGACGGGCCACTCCTGAAAGGCCGAGCTTTGCCGACTCTCGGCCAAACCATTCGGCTTGTAGTAGTCAAACATGTGCTGCGTGCACTCTATGGCTCGCAAGCATGCCTCTTGGAACTCTGGGGCTAGGCCGCTCTTGGCAATCATGGCAGGGAGGAGGGCGCACTCATCGCCAGGTTGCAGCGTGGACACTGGGCGCGTTTCTATCTGCTTCGTTTCGAGGAGGTCCTGCAGCTTTGGCCACGACGTGGCGGCGATGGTGCGGATGCCGCGGTGGATGCCCAAGCACTGCACAAAGCTTTCGAGAAAGGTGGAAAAGTCTCGGCGGGCGGAAAAGGCCTCAAAGATGACGTGCTGGCCGATGAAGGCGGAAAACATAAAGGGGGCGATGAAGTTGTCTTCGGTGATGTGGGCGCCGTGCGCGTTGAACTGGGAGATGGCCCGAGACTGGAGGCGGGTGGCCTCGGTAAGGTATAGGGTCTTGCGGGCGGGGAACAGAGTGCTGAGATGGATGGCGGAGATGGCGAGGAGTTCGTCCATTAAATAGGGGTGGGAGAAGGCTTCTTTGATCATGATGCCAAAGAAGTTGCCGTACGAGGAGGGATACAGAGTTGGGCCCTCCTCCGAGGTATAGTGGTGGAGCAGCTCAAGGTGGAGAAGACTGTACTGTTCGCTGGGGAGAAAGTCGTTGGCGGTAGATGCAGCGGGCCAGGGAATCTGGAGACGCGGCGATTGTGACCGCGCCGGGGCCTCAAAGCCGGAGGAGGACGGCGACCGGGACGCATGCTTGACGTCTGCTACGGAAAGGGCCGCCGATGAGGATGCGGCCGCCGCCTGGGCAGGTGACTCTAGGTACGAGCATCTACGCTCGGAGGTCTGGCAGTTGACGCACGAAGGGCGCGTCTCATCGCATTTGATATGGCGGAGCTTACACTCCTTGCATCCGCGCCTCGACTTCTTGTGACTGCGGCGCATCGGCCCGGATGTGTGGGGGACTTCAGAAGGAAGGGGGGACGGGAAGGTGAGGAGAGTGAATGCTAGGGGTTATGGGAGGTGGGCCGCATGCAATCTAGGTGGTGAGTGGAACACGCCTTTCCAGAGCCTCTAGAGACGAATTGGATCCCGGCTCTTGCTTGCGCTTGCTTTGCCGCTTGTAGAAAATCGATTTGATAAAAGGGGAGAGAGGTCAAGATTTGGCGGCGGAGACTGAGCGAAAGAAGTGACACTGTGTCGCGGAAGCACCTGCTTATTGCATTGTCCACCAAGATTACGCGATTACGCGGCAGTGGGGGCGATACGAGGACACTCAAACATACAGTCTGAGCAGAACGCCACACTGTGATATAGACATTTTCTTCAAAAGTCACGGCTATTGGGCAGTTTCTGCTTCTTTTTCTGGCTTTTGTTCTTCTAGCCCTATTTCACTGCACGGCTCTTCGTGGCTTTCACGCTGCGCTGTGGCGGGAGTGCCAAGATCCCATGTCCAGCTTGAAAATGAACCTCTGACCCGTGAAAGGCTATCTATGCACCCAAAGTGACGAGAACAATGACCCTTACAACGAGTCCCTAGAACGCGAGGATGGAACTGTGGTGAGATGCAAGGCTCGACATATAGTAGATGTGGCCAGCAATACCCAGAGGCTTGACGCACCACCGCCGTGGGCCCGCATCACTGTCCGCCCCCTTTGGTCGTTAGTACCAATCTTCCGTTCCTCTGCACGGCTTTTTTCCGCTCCAGAACCGCTGCGGAACCTCCGAGGACCGGAGCCCGGTTGGGTCCTCCGAATTGAGTGCGACTAGACGTTAACTTTAGATCTTGTGGGTTGATGCATCGCGATATCGATCCCGCCATCTCCACTTAATGTTCCCCACCCGGCGTCATGAACGAGCTACATAGATCGTTTCTACGGTGCTTTTCTCAAAAGATGCCCTGAGACGATGCATCTTTAAGATCAAGGATTTTGAACCTCGTTTGTTTCTATAGCCAAAAGCTCTGGTTGAGTTAAGCTCGGCCAACTCTCGATGGTCAAAGGCTGTCCTTGTGGGTACAGGTCCCAGCGAAATGGGACCAGACATCTCGCCGGTCGTATCTGATGAGAGTGAGCAAAGTGGCTGCCATGAAAAGCTGATGGAGGCGTTCACCAGAAAATTCCTTTGTCGATCATCGACAGTTCTTCTGGGAAAACAAGGGGAAAGTTAGAGATACACACCCCTAGTTTCTTGCTTCTCGCTGGTGTAGATACAGCACACTCTAAATCTATTTATTCCCCATTCTTCTTTTCCCTTCTCCTGCCTTTTTCCCGTTTCCCCTTTCCATCTCGCAGAAATCAACTATGTATTCAAACCCCTTCATAATCCAATATGCATTCTCACAGTCTTCTCGCCGCCGGCGCCTCACTGCCCGGCCGCCTCCCTCCGCATCGCCACCTACAACATCCGCCAGGCCGTCCGCGTGACCGGCCCGGGCGAAGAATCCTGGGCCGTCCGGTCCCCGCTCCTCGTGGGCGTGGTAAAGACATCGCCGCTAGCGCTCCGCCTGGTGCCGTCACCATCATCGGCATGCAGGAAGTCCTCCACGACCAGCTCCTTGACATCAAGGCCGGTCTCGGCCCCTCGTGGGCCCACGTCGGCGTCGCGCGCGACGACGGCTTCGAATCCGGAGAGTACTGCCCCATCCTGTACCCCGTTGACCTGTTGCGCGTCCTGCACGAAGAAACGACGTGGCTGTCCGAGACGTCCGACCGGCCCTCAAGGGCTGGGATGCCGCCTACACCCGCATCTCCACCATTGCCGTCTTCGAACACAAGGAGACGGGCGTGCGCTGGATCGCCGCCAACACCCACCTCGACAACGAGGGCCCCGTCGCGCGTGCGCAGGGTGTCAAGTTCATCACCTCCCGGATTCGCCATCTCCAAAGTATCTGGGGTCCTCTCGGCGTCTCCCTCACTGGTGATTTCAACTGTCCGCCCGGCGGTGAGGCGTACGAGACTCTCGCCGCTGATGGTTTCTTCGAGGAGCTCTCCAAAAGAGCTGCACGAAAACGGGCCCGTACGAAACGTACACGGGGTTCACGCCAAAAACACCCAAAACCCGCATCGACTATGTTTGGCTTGGCCCCAAGGATCGACTAGTGTGGAACGCCGACAAGTATTCTGTTTTCGACAATATCGTGAACGGCGTCTACGCCAGCGACCATCGCGCTGTTGTGGGTGATATTCGCGTCAGTGTTTAGGCGCGGGAACATTACTTGTGTACGAGGGTGTCATGCACCAAAATATAGCTTCACCAATGAAGCACGACCATTCTAGATAAATTTCATCATATCAATATATACACAAATATATGTTCATCGTCATCCCTTTTTGGAAACTAAAAATGCCGGGCCAACGCGAGATATGTACAACGTAGAGAAATCCAACCCCATCTTACTCGTAGGTAAAGGACAACACCTTGATCGACCCGCCCAGCGCCTTGGTCGCATAGTTAAAGATGCCGTACCGGTAGCCCATAAAGTACGCCCAGTTCGTCCAGAGCTCGTACGCGCCGCCAAGGGCCACAAACTCGTCGCCATCAAGACTGTAGAAGAACTCGGCCTGCTTGGACCCGCTCGGCCGCGCGTCGAGGGACACGCGCAGCCAAATCTCGGAGACGTCGAGCCCGGCCTCGGACGCGACGACGGTGCCCGGGTCGACCGTCTCCCAGGCGCTCTCCTCCTGCGTCACGTTGTGGCGCGCGCGGAGGGTAAAGTTGTCGCCGACGCGGGCGATTTCGATGGCGGCGCTGCGGTCGCGGAAGGCGGCGAGGCCAAAGACGTCGCCGTCGGCCATGCCGGAGAAGTCGACGCGGAGGGTGCCGACGGGGAACTCGCCGTGGATGCGGTGGGTCAGGGTGTTGCGCGCCTTGTACAGGTCGTCGGTGACGGTGGCCGTGCGGAGCGTGAGGCCCTCGCGCACCTCGTACTTGGTTTCGTCGGCGTTGTGGTTCCACTCCCACTCGGGCTTGAGGGGTCCCTTGTCGAACGTTTCTGTGCCCGTCCAGCTGGCGACGGGCTTGGCGGGGTACGGCATGGGGTAGTTCTTACCCCAGCCCCGTTCTCGTCGGTGACGAGCTTGGGGAAGCCGTCGCAGCCCCAGGTGATGGGTGCGAGCACGGGCATGCGGCCGGCGGGGTAGGCCCAGGTAAAGGACATGTAGTACCACTTGCCCTCGGGGGTCTCGATGAGACTACCTTGGTGCGGGGAGCCGCCCCATTGCACGGGCGACGCGATGCTATTGACCAGCTCTTTGCTCTCCCAGGGCCCCCAGGGACTCTCGGACTTCCAAATGAAGGTGGTGGACCCGGGATGATCGTTGAGGATGTAGTAGAAGCCATCCTTCTTGTAGAGGCGGTTGCCCTCAATACCGTCGACCCCGGCATCCGAAGCGCTAAAGATGGTTTCCGAGCGGACCTGCGTGAGGCCGTCGGGCGAGAGCTGAGCCATCTTCACGTCGGTGGCGCCGTACACGACGTACATGGTGTCGTCGTCGTCGATGAAGAGGCCGCAGTCGTAATAGCACCGGCCGCCCTCGGACATGGAAGTCCGGGTCCAGGGTCCCGCGGGATCGGGCGCCGTGTAGGTGTAGGTGTACCAGAAGTCGACGCACCCGATCCAGTACCACAAGCCCGTGCTCTCGCGGTACCGCATGGTGGACGCCCACGTGCCGCCGCGGTAGGCGATGCCGTTGGTCAGGTTGTACCGCTCGCCAAAGTCGAGGGTGGGCACAGAGTGGCCGACGAATTCCCAGTTGGCCAGGTCGTGCGAGCGCAGGATCGGCGCGCCGGGGCTGTAGTGCATGTTGGAGGCCGAGAAGTAGTAGGCGCCGTCGGGCCGAGGAACACGTCGTTGTCGGCGAAATCCTCGTACACGACCGGGTTGGTAAAGGTGTCGGCCCCGGCCTCCGCCGCTTGCGCGAACGCGGCGGAGAAGAGGGACGAGACGAAAAGGGCGATGGTAGCCTTCATCGTTGCTTGGTGTTTTGGGCCACGGGAACGAGAGGGCAAACTCTACAACTCTCGACGGTGCACGTACTGAAAGAAGGTGAAGGAGGGATCCCGAGGGTCGACCTGGATTGTGGTGGTGGCGGCAGCAAAGGAAATTTAAACCAAGGGTTGGATCTTCGCTTTTACGCTCTACTATATTATTACCCCTCGAATCTATAGATTGGTTCATGTCGCCAATGTCGCATATTAGTGGAGCGGGTCAAAAACCATTCAATCTTCTTTTTACCAGGTCGCAGTTGCAGTCGCAGCCGGAGACCGACTCCAGTTTTCACCCGTCCTCTCGAATGCTGTCAACCAGATCGCTGGCCCAGAAAATCACAGATGGGAACCAATGCCTTTTCTGCCGTTCGGGTCGACTGACTCCGCAGACTCCGCAGATACCACCTTTGGCTTGCTGGTTTGGGAAACGGCCTCCGAATTATCCGCCTGCCACTTTGCAGAATGAAACCCTTCAACCATTCTCTCCGGATGCAACACTGCTCGATTACTGCGCGGTGAGGTGTTGTCGTATTCAATTCCAAATAGTGTAGACGATCTGATGATCTTTCGTCTTGTTCTATTTTGCTTCCCCTTCTTACCCCATTTTCTTTCCTCACCTCCGTGCAAGTTCTCAGGCCACCTTGATAATGACTTTGCCAAAGTGGCTGCCACTAAATACATACTTGAACGCCTCCTTTGCCTCTCCAAACTCGAATTCGCGGTCAATGACTGGGTGAATCTGCTTCTCGGCGTAAAACCGCGCTACTTCCTCGAACCTGTCTCGAGGACCGTTCAGGATGCCCTTGAGCGTCACGTTGCGGCTAAGCGCCAGCACGTTGATGCCCATTGACCCACCGTCCTTGTCCTCCTTCCCGGAAAGGTACCCGATGCAGCTGATGAGACCGCCAAAGGCGACACATGAGAAGGACTTCTTCAGCGTCTCGACACCGCCGCACTCAAAGATCACGTTGGCGCCCTTGCCATTCGTGATCTCCATGACCTTTTGTCCCAGTCGGGGTGCGTTTTGTAGTTGATGACGTGGTCTGCTCCGAGTTTCTTCGCCCGCTCTAGCTTGGCGTCAGACGAAGAGGTGATGATGGCTGGGAAACGTTGTTAGCCATGATTGGAATTGTTTTCTCACGCAATGGTCACCTGTTGCTACTTACTCGTCATGCCAAGAGCATGGGCAATCTGCAGTCCCGCGATGGCTACGCCTCCTGTGCCCTGAAGTAGCACGACCTTGTCCCTTCCGGATTGCGGCTGGCCTATGGGCTGGAAGCTGTTGATGCTCATCCACGCGGTGGTCGACGCGATGGGCAGTGTCGCAGCTTCGTCGGCTGTGAGGTAGTCAGGCACCTTGACCAGGCCGTAGCTAGGAAAGATTCGGTATTCCGTCAAGCACCCTTGTAGGGGTAGACCCAAGCCAGTGCCCATGTGTTCCTCCACAACTTGACCCGTGACATGACCTTGGTTAAAGGTAGCCATGACGCGATCGCCCTCTCGCCACTTGTTACTGGTTCCGGGAGCCACCTTGACGACGGTGCCGCATATGTCGGAGCAAGGCACGATGGAATTTTGTCCCTCATCAATGGTTTTATGGTGGCCGTAAAGGCCCATGACCACTTGCCCCAGAGATTAGCGGTACGTTCTCTTCAGTCCATACGGAGGCGGTAGCTAACCTTCTGTGTCTCGGTAATTAAGTGAGACACGGTTTACCTTGACGAGGACTTCGCCGTCCTTCAGGTCGCCGGGCTCGGCCGAGTCTACAAGCTGGAGCTTGTCCAGGCCATTCTGGTTGCTGATCCACTGCTTCATTTTGGCGGGAGGATGCAGGAAACTTTGAAGGTTGATGAGTGATTGACACTGAACTACCTCTTCTACACGCGCTTCAAAGCACAAGGAGGTTAGTGGCTGAGGAGAACGGTCGGGGGCGCCGCAAGATAATGGAATTTCCTTCTGAGATCGATTTATAATCATGCTCGTTGTCATGATATACCCGCAATTGAATGGCCAGATGCAGATGTGGGGAACCGTCTCGTTACCTAATTGATTCCACAAGACCGGATCAAGTTGACGTAGATAATGGATCCCTAGATATTCTCGGGGAAATTGTTAGTAAATGGCTTCCTGTTGGAAAACAAGTCGCCGCCGAGAAACAGAGATGGGTAAGCGCGAAAAGAAGTATGCATGATTTCTTCAAATTACTCAGGGCAAGCTTGTGCCAGTTGATGGGCACCTTGTTTTCAAGTGGTATATATATCCACAGCTCCAAGGTTATTTTATCACACGGATCGGAGAGCTTGTGTTTTGAAAGACGTTGGATCTATATGGATGAAGTTATGATGAGAGAATCTTGGGGCCTAGAGAAGGTCACCGGGAAGAAAGGATCCTCGCCAGAATCATAGCCGTCGAGGTTAGCCGCTCGATATAGACGCACGAACGATGCAAGGACAGTTACCGAGAAGGACTCCCCTAGTATCACGAAGAAATGCGGATATATAACTATTGCAATACTGCATCACGGGCGGTCAAGTCTCATTGATCGTTGTTGACCAATCTCGGACCGATGAGTCCTTAGTTGGCGTAGGTTTGCTTAATAGCGCGGCCAGACGAGAGAGGTTGTAAACAGCGTGCCCCTAGCAGCTTCTCGGCCTCGCTCTCATCCACCCAGAACGCGCACCGCTCCTGGTCTCTCCTATTTTCACAGCCAACAAGAAAATCATAGAGGGATAGATGGAATCCCCGTACCGGAACAGTTGGGTGCCTGGGTATGCCCAAAACCGAATAGAGTGTGGAGATGGGCAGCGATAGTTTGCTGGCAGATCTGGGAAACTCACGATAGAGGAGTCGCCGAGAGAGGTGTTGCCAGGATAAAGTTGGATCCGGCGACGGTTTGGAATTGTTGGAGAGCCCGCTTGCTGCCATTAATGCCCAGTCTTCGACAGGTTCGTTTACCACGGGCAGGGGTAAGTGACGTCGAGTTGGGGTTCAGAGTGCATAGTTGGGTAGCGTGAAACTACTTGCAACTTCTCTACAGAACCTCTAACTCGAGGGTCGGCGATGATGCGGCAAACGGTAGCAGCAACGATGCAAAGAAGGATCGCCACATCCACAAGACCCCGATATCCGATTGTATGGGCCAATATATAGGCAAATACACATTTACTGGTGCGAGGGCATTGTAGCTCTTCCGGATTTTCACAAGCGTATTCCCCACATAGATTTATATACTAGAATTATTTCGGTGCAAGACAGCGGTGGACAAGTCCTATATTCGCCAGAGACCGGGACAGAGAGTCGCATATCTTGTTGTTCGTGATGAGGGATCATCAACCCTCAAGACCAAGACATCTTCGCTTTGTGGCACAACAGTTAGTAGAAATACTCTGGTAACTAGATAATCGAACGGCTTAGTCAAATTCGAGGTGGAGTGCAACGATTGAGGTTGCGCGAGTACCATTAATCTACGATAGTGCTATGATTTCTTAGGTGGATGGGTTTCGACGCGATGATAAGCCCTTGCTCTACTTTCGCTCCCCACCAGCGCCATAATACCTTTCCTCAGGGTCTGTAGCTGGGAAACACGTCTAATTAGATTGAAAGAGAGAATCCAATGCAAAATCGACACGACATACTTATAATTCCACCTCGGTTCGATTTCCCGGGCAGAGCGGAGGAGGATGCTGGCACGGCCTGAAAAAGAAAAAGAAAGGAAGAAATAGAAAAGCTGAAAAGCGAACCTCCCAGAACAATTGTGTTTTCACATACCTCGCAATCTTTTCCCACTCCATGTCTGGAGAAGCCCACCTCGAACCCTACCGTATCATATTCGCAGGTTTCTGGGTGCACTTTAGCAAGCTCGGCTCGAAAATTACATCGGTATCCCGGCTGTACGGGTCATGCTGGTCGAACCAATCACCAGCCTCAGCACAAATGAAGGCTCATTCCGTCCCTTCGAGGGTAACCGACAACTTTAATGGTCCCTGCTCCCTGCTAGGAAAGGGAGGGAAAAGGAACCTTGGTGAGGAAGACAGGGAGAGGGAGCGAGGAAGCAAAATGCCGGACCCCAACCCGTCCCGTACATGTAGCAACTGGTGAGGCACGAATATCGCGATGAAATGTTAAGCCACGGTTTACTACCTCCTGAGACACCCTTCTCCTCCTTCTTTCCCCCTTTCCATCTCTCCCTCCCTCTCTCTCTCTGCTTCTTCCTATTTCTCCTCTTGCCTCCGGTCTTTAGGATTTTTCGATTCCCCCAAAGACTGTCTCTGCTTTAGGACCATCGCATGGGCGGGAATGACTACCGCACATATCCAACTCCTTCGTACGGTTGGAGCGCTTGAAGGGGGACCAATCGGTGGTACGAGTTAGCGCCACATCTAGAGATGATGGGGCTGTTTTCCGCACCAATCTTTGCATGTAAACGCAGAATGCCAACTTGCGTAGCTTCAGCCATACTCTCTTGTGGTTGGGGTACGTAGGCGGCCTAGATACTAGCCTTCGGCATTTCACAATCAGACCTTCGATCAGCTAGGATGTGGAGAGAGGTGGCGGGATCTGATGTAAGGTGTCCTAGTTTGCGCGTCACCTGGAACATTTTCATTAAGAAGGTAAACGGCATCAGAGTGATCAATGTGATAAAAGCGGGATATCACCTAGACTACGCTACGACCCAAGATAGTAGAAGCGAGTGGTCTAGTTTGAAGTAAGACAATCTACCAAGTTGGGCTTTTTGCATTGGCCCTAGAAGAATATAGCAAAAGGAGAGCGAGGTGCCTAATGAAGGATCATTGATCTCTTCAAAGCATGATTTGGATCCTGCTGCGACCAGCGACGGAGAGGCCCCCACTTTGTTCCCGCCAGCTTGGGAATGGGGACACCCGACAGGGACCTCCCCTGTCTGCTACAACGTTCGACGTCCACCCCTATTTATAGCAAGGTGCTGCGAACCAGCCCGACGCATACGCTGAATCTGCACATGCGCGACGATGATTGCGGCCTCCACTCTGCAATTCATTCTACTTTCCATACTCTCTCTCTCTCTCTCTCTCTCTCTCCCTCTTTCTCTCAAACTCACCACTCACCATCTACCCTTCCAACGAGCAAGCAATTGGTGGGTGACCTCACGACCGCGATCTCATTGCGACTAACCGAGGGCAGGCAGGAGTGACGCCGTCTCCTGCACTCTCAACCCTCGGAACGGCGGAGACCGTGAGCTGAATGCCCGAGAGTGGAAAAAAACATCAATGACCTGAGGGATCAAATCGATCCACCGCGCGGTTTACCCGGCGATATGCTGCCGGCGGTATTAGGAGGGGCGAAAGCAACAAAAAGAAATGGCTAGCGGCGAGCAAGCATTGCGTTTGCAATTAACCAGATTAAGCTTCCAACCTTGCCAGGGACAGAAACTTTACGTCCCTAGCTAGTTTAATGGTTTGGATGGGATCAATGGGAGGCGAGGACGCGGGCCGGTTATAATGGGTGGGCTGGATCCCATCTATGAATGTTCCTATTTATGGCACCCGACTCAGAGCCAGTCGGATTGCCCCAGAGCTGCGAGAAAGTATGTTGGGAAGGGATGAAAAGGGAAAGAAAGAAAGAAAAAAAAAACGTAGCGGGAGAGGTCAAGCTCCTTTCTTAATTTTATGCATGAATAAAGTTCGAGCCCTTGTGAATTTGAGAGGGGAAAGACAGCCAGACCAAGCGAGAGGGTAAGAAAGAGAAACCCAATTGATACTCAACCCACTTACCATGCGCTCTTCAGCCCCCATGCATCTCTAGGTGGATGCCTCGCATCAAAGGACGAGATGCAAATGTATGTACGCGACCAAAAGAAATCTCAATAGTAAATGGCCTTGTCCAGCTCTCGCTCGGCTGTTGGCGAGTCTTATATATATGAAAGACAAAAAAGAATGGTAATCGGGGGGATGGTATGGGTCGATGCAATTCTGTTGGGGACTGGGGCATCCAGGAACCACCGCGACGGATGGGCACTCATAGCATGTCCTACATGTAAAGTATGCAAGAAACCGGAACAGCACGGCGGACCCCGTCAAGCGGCACCGACTCGCACGCCTTTCTCCTGGAAGAGAAAGGTCCGGATGCTAAAATAGGAAGACCAGACAGAGAGGGAGGGAAAGAACGGGGCAGTTTCGACAAACGAGCCGAAAAGAACTGGTCAAGTGGAAAGAAAAAAAAATGACACCAAAAAAAGAAGAAGCAGACGGGTAGTTAATATCGCCGTCAACAGCAGAGATGAGGAGAGCCCCCGGCCCAAGTATTCACGTACCAGGTTATGGAACGCTCGCACTATCGAGGACCTAATATAAGCGGCCTGGCAGGAGTAGATGAAAGGCGTCGGCTTATCGTGACGGCGACCGGCCGCCACCTCCTTCTGCCTGTTGCTATTCCCGGCCCCAACAGCTGCGTCGGCGAAATTGGCAACCCCTGGCGAAGGCCAAGGGCATTGCCGGAATATATATAAGGGATCGGGAGTCGAAGGTCGATGAGGGAGCCCCGATCTCGTTCTTCATCCGATCTCGACGCTCTCTTTGACAAAGACACAAAAAGACAAAGTCCGCACTCCTTGCTTGGCTGCTTTATTGCTTATACCCCCCTCTTATCAATCGTTTGTGCGTGTCGTCATCCAGGACCGACCCATCCCTTAGACCATAAGATAACCTACTTGGGGTCAATCGTCTTTCTTCTTCCTCTTTTTCCTTTAGCCACCATCCACAATGGCCAAGCTCTTCGCGATATCTCTTCTCACCACCCTCCTAGCCTGGGGCCCCGCCCAGGTCGCCGCCCAGGGCATCCGCGGCACCGCCACATTTACCGGCAACGACCACAACGGCGGCAGCTGCTCGTTGAGCAACTACACCCTCCCCGCCGGCATCTCCGGAACCGGTATTGGCCCCTCCAATTGGGCGCAGGCCGGAAAGTGCGGCTCCTGCATCCAGGTCACCGGCCCCAGGGGCACCACCAAGGTCATGGTAGGTTATCGTGATGCGACATGCTTCCAATGTTCGCTGAACTGACATCTCTCTGTGCCTCTTAGATCGTCGACAGCTGCCCGTCGTGTCTTGAGAACCGCCTGAACCTCTTCGATGATGCGTTCAGGCAAATCGCTGACCCCGTCGACGGCATCGTCGACGTCACGTTTGACATTGCGTCTTGCGGCCTCGATACTCCTCTCATCATCCGCAACAAGATTGGAACCTCGAGATATTTGTAAGTGCTTTTTCAGAAAGAGATGAAAACCTCCCCATGACGGTATCGTCGCCATCAAAGAGAGATGGGCAGTCATGAGCCTCGTAGAGCCACCGATCTAACCCTTTGTCATCACGATAGCTTCTCCATGCAGGTGCTCAACTGCAACTTCCCCATCGTCGATCTCGAGGTCAGCACCGACAACTCGCAGACGTGGGAGTCGACGGTCCGCCAAGAGTACAACTACTTCGAGAGGGAAGACAAGAGCGGCTTCGGCAAGGACGAGGTCATGCTGAGGGTGTCTTGCTCCAACGGCAGGCGCGTCATCATTCCGAGCGTGACCATGGACAGCGAAAAGGAGATTACCGCGCCGGTCAACTGCTAAGGGATTCGGGGTTTCAGGGATGGAGATAAACGGGGGAGAATCGTGTCGAGATAATGATGTTAGCCCACCACTTACACTAATCACAAACAAGAATTCCAAGTCCACAAGTATTCATCATCCAAGTGCGGTCTCTCGTATGTGAAAGCATTGTGAAGGCGTTGTAGAAATGGGGGAAAAACGTTTAATGCAGATGTCGAGGAATGGCGAAGAATGGGGGTGGATGTCGAGCTTTCGTCGTGTCGTGGTTATCTGAGCTGCCGTGGTGGGCTTCGATATAGCAAGAGTCGCAATAGTCTTGAGATGGAGCAAAGTGTCTTTGACTCGTTCGTCAAAAGGACACCCCAAGGTGGCACAGATGCGGCCGCCGGATATCAAGCATAGCTCCAGTCTTCATCTCCTTCTCCTTCTCCCTCGTGTCTCCGCGTTATCTCCCAGGCATCTCACGGGCCCGAGGTATCAGCAGCACGATGCAACCAGCAGCAGGGCCAAAACCAGTCCAGCCTATCGCCGCAAAACTCCTTCAACACGATGCTCCCAAAATCCGGATGAACTAGTCGTTGGAACACTGTTGCTCGGTCGGTGCAACACCTCCATGGGTGAGGGCTCTCGCGTCTCGTCGGGCGTCGTAGGAAGGGGGTCACGGGAGAAGAGGAAAGGGGGTTGGTTATGCAACCCCAAACCCTCTCAGCCGTGCTTCGACCACGGGAGGACTGTGTGAGCTTTTTTGATTTCAGGCGGTCAGGGCCGGGGGAAGGGGGCAAGGTACGGTAGTAGCCGGGGGTGGGGAAGGAATGGATGGGGAGGAGAGTGAACAGTGAGCGAAGGGGTTGGATAAAGGAGAGACTGTCCATTCTCGTGCGAAACGGCGGCTCCATGCTGGACGCAAGTGGAAAGCTCCAGTGAGAGAGGACGGACCCAAACGCGTGGGAAAAGTTTCTGTTTCGCCCTGAGAGGAAATAGTGTTTCGACGACAAGGGAGACGAGAGGCTAGCGTCCAACGAAGTATTTGAGACCGAGCTGCTGTATTAATGAAGGCAAGCTGAGTCCTCGAACCGTGCCCTTCAAGCCATAGTAGCGGGCGAATCACGTAGTGATACAATCTACGAAGAATAGGTGTTATTATTCGATAGTGGGTGGCCAACTGGGACCTTGACCTCCACTAACCCGGACTCGACTCTCCCTTCGCAATACCCAAAAGTTTTGCTAGAGTCGGATAGCATCCTCAGGTCGTCGTGGAGCATATCCTCCAAGTCTTGGCAAAAATGCGCTTGGGGCTTCTGATAGATAGAGATAGCGATTCGAGGCAACGGAGTCAAAAGGGAACCAATGCAATTCCTCGGACGCACAGGACAGCACTCGCGCCGGGCGTCTTGTCAGCGAAGCTTTCAAAGTCACGGTGACAGGTAGCTAGCGCAAAATTCAGGTGGGTTGAAACATCTCGGGTACATCCGACGATCAGCGTCTTGGCCACCACGAGGGACGTTGAATCGAAGTGCCGCCGACTGTTGACAGAAAAGAATTACACAACAGAGATAAGAAAGTGGACCGTCCCCCTCCCCCTTGTCAGCGGGTTTCGCACGAGGGTCCAGGCCAACACACTTCCTGCTCTCCGTCCCCTTGACCCCTGGGACATTCCAGGGAGAGCACATCAGGTCTAAAGATAGAAAATAGGAAAGATCGACGAGAGCATCACAACGGCGATCTTGAGGACTTCAGATTGCAAGGGGCGACAGAAATACCTGCTTTGAGTGCACGCGCAAACGCGGTCCAGCTCTCGTGAGTGATCATCAAGGGAAGCGATCTGTCTTTTTCCAAGTGAGCAGGAAAATCATTGCATTATTGGATTGTCCTGCGATAAGAGCCAAAAAGAACAGCCGCCTCGCCTGGACCATAGTAGAGATTTGCAAGGGGAGATCGGGGGACAAGACTAGATATCGGGGAATCTCACGGTGTTCGCGAAGAGAGCCTACAATAGACAAAACGAACCGTCAAGTGAACCAGGAGTGCGTGCGTGCACTCGCCAACGAAAGCAACAAGTCCAACTTCGAACCCTCCATTGGTGAAATAAACCCGTGTCATTTTTTAAAGTTGACAAGATTTGTCCCCTTCAGGCAAAGATGAGCACTCCGTGCCTCTCTAGCTCCATCGCTTCGCTTTAAGCTTCTCCATCAAAAAAATACCCTCCTTTAGGAACTGAGATCTGGCACACCTTGATTTCTTTGGCGGCTCGAACCCCTAGGCTGGAGGCTGGATCAATCATGAGACAGCAGAGCGGGATGCTTATTTGTCCACGAGATTCAACGCGTTGAAAGTAGAAAAAGGAAAAAGGGCAAAAACGCCGGGGCGCACATCCCTGTCGCATCTCGAACATGTGCGATCAATGGGTCAAGCGTGGCGATGAGTGGGAAATGTCTAGCTTCGTTACCGAGGTGGCCACGGATCGTGATACACGGATAGATCTATGGAATGCATGCAGAATCAAAAAGCCACGATGGCCAAGAGCTAGACACGCGCGTGGTTGACTCCAAGAAGGACTAATGAGGAAGCTCTAGTCTCAAATCCATCTCATTTGCCAGCTCCACGCCCAGTGAGACCGGGACATTGATCAAATCGAGTTCGGGGCCATTGCTTTTCTGTCGCGCAGCCGCCATAGAATCCGCAAGTCTCGCAAGGCGCTCTCCGAACAGAAAAAGACCAAGACCAAGAAAAAGAAAGAAAAAGAAGTTGAAGAAGAAGCCTATTGCGATTGAGAGCGCAAGTGCGATTGGCTCTGAGCCACCTCCGTTTCACCCCCTTTCGTTTCGGATTCCGCCCCCACCAACTCTCAGCACCAAACCCGGGCGTTCCACCCAGACGCGAGGTCCAGACGAACAATTCCCGGAGGACCGCCAATGCAGAGTCTAGACTTTTGGGTCCTATGTTTTTTTTTAAACCTCCGCCGGCTCTCCACCGGGCCCCCTTGCAGCGCTGTTTTTTTTTTTCGCCGCAAGCCTTCTGTCCCTGGCCTCTCCCGGTGCCCCCCGTCCACCCCGGATGCCTGAACTTGGCCCACGGATCCTCTCCTCCCCCAAAGAAGAGCTTCTGTCCACGTTAACGCTCCGAAACAGTCTAGACCACCACCTCTCCATCAGGGCGCACCTGTCCAAACCCACCCTTCAGCACGTCCGCGAGAGAGATGACGGGTTTGGGTGGAGCCCTAGGGGCGCGGCTCCGCAAACGCCAAGAACCCTCCAAACACTCGCAACCCGACATGGGGACTTGATGTTCGCCAGCAACGCCTACCACAAATCTCCATGTTCTGTTGGTTGCTTTTCTGCCGGTTGCCTTATCGCCCCCCTTTCCCCTTGAACCCTTGCCCGAGCAAGCTTCCCGGTGGAAGGGAGGAGGGGGCAGGCGGCGGCGAGGGTCGCACTAGGCGCTCGCTCGCTCCCGTCCCCTTGTCCAACGCCTGGGATCAACACAAGAAAAATGATTTTCTGGCCCCGTGTGTGCGTGTGGTGCGTGCGTGCCTGCGACTGGGTAGCTATTTTTGTTGTTCCCTCCAGGGAAGATGTGACGAGCCACCCAGTTTTCCTTTCTCGGAGGGAAACCTTCTTTGTTTCTTGGTCCCCCGTCTTGGCTGCACTTGGCATATATCTTGGCCAGCCCTCCCCAAGACATCGTGAAGTTTTATTCCATCTCATCATCCTTCTTTGCTTCGTCACTTCTTGCCTCTTTGTTTCCTTTTTTCTTCTTCTTCTTCTTCGTGCGTACCTGGAGTTCGTCCTGGCCGGCCCAACTTTTACTTCTTTATTCATCATTAGTGCTTCTTCTTCGATTCTCTTCTCGGCCCGGAGCCCTTTTTAGTCTTATCATCCTCAGCCAACTCGCCTTCACGCGTCCGCTCCTACATCTACCACATAGTCCCTTTCCCCCTCTAGAACAAGCAACATGCACGCCTCACTTGCCACCCTTGCCTGGGCCGTCTTCTCGGCTTCCCAGGCCATGGCCTCGTGCGCCCACGGCACTCACCTCCACCGCCGCCAAGAGGGCGCTGTCGAGGTGAACCAGTTCGGCTACACCGGCTTGATTGTACGTCTCCCCTTCACCATGTTCCCTCCAGCCGCCTTGCCATTCCAAGCCCACCATAAGCATCATATAAGAAAACCCCCAAACTAACACACCAGTCCTCCAGGGCCCCTCAACTGGGTCGCCCTCGACACCGCCAACATCCTCTGCGCCACCGGAACCCGCCAGTCCCCCATCGACATGACCCAGGGCCAGTTCCAGCTCGTGCCCGCCACCGCGCTCGGCGTCAACATCCCCGACTTCGCCGCCGGCGCCGAGTTCGAGAATCTCGGCACCACCGTCGAGGTCATCGCCCAGGGCGGCGCCATGGCCATCAACGGCGTCGACTTCACCCTCCAGCAGTTCCACTTCCATCTCCCCAGCGAGCACCTCGACAACGGTGTGAGCCGCGCCATGGAGATGCACATGGTCTGGGAGTCCGCCCAGGGCCAGATCGCCGTCATCGGCGTCTACATCGACGTCGAGAACTCGCGGGACGCCGCCGCCGTCGCCGCGCCCGCCAACGTCACCGCTGTCCCCGCTGCTGCCGAGAAGCGCTCCGCCAAGATGAATGCCAAGTACGCCCGCGAGGAGGCTCATATCGCTAAGCGTGCCACCACCGCCCTTCTCGAGACCGTCTTCTCCTCCCTCCCCGCCATCACCCAGCCCGGTACCAAGACCACCACCCAGCCCCTCGTCATGTCCGAGATCGTTGACATCATCAACGCTGGTGAACTCCAAAAGTATGTTTATATATCTCCGTTCCCCGTGAACGTGCCACCTCGGTTTGTCCGACATGCCACTAACATCGCCTTTTTTTCTTTTCTTAGCTACTCTGGCTCCCTCACCACTCCTCCCTGCAGCGAGGGTGTCACTTGGTTCGTCTCGACCCAGAGCCTCCAGGTCTCCGCCGCTACCTTTGGCGCCGTCCGCGACGTCATTGGCTTCAACGCTCGCTTCCCCAGAACACTCTCGGCCAGCCCAACCTTCTCGCCATCAACGGCGCCATGATGGCCAGCCCCCAGGTCCAGCTTGCCGCCATTCGCCAGTCTCTCGGCGGCCTTTCGGGGATCTAAGATGAAGTTTGTTGGTTATTTCAGTGGCGGAGCAGCTGGAAAGGGTGTCGGCCTTCCTTCCCAGCCCTCTGATGGTGTTTACGAATCTCTTTTTCTCTTTTGACAGCCTTGTGTTTGCTTGGGTTCTGGGAAGGTCGCCAGTCATGGAAGCCTGTGGATTGACGTATGTGTCTGTGTGCAAAACGCCTCTGTCTTTGATAAACTAATCTGCCTCCTTCGAGTCCCCGTTTTCTTAAACCCCCTTCATTTTCCCCTCAAAACCAATAAAAGAACCCCTCCCCCAAAAAAAGTAAAAAAACAAAAAAGCGTTGTATTATTTAGTGCCGTTTCCGGCGTTTTGTTACTTTTGAGATACCACTGTGGCTTGGAATGTACAATATGAGCATCATCGGAGCATCTACTCGTGTAGTTAGAATATCGATAGCATAGAAAGACCGGCCTGCAAAGCAGCCCGCAAAACCAGCATTGAAGTTTTAAACAGTCGAATCTGATAATGGGTGAACGTGCTGACCGAGATTGTTTCCTCCGAATGGCCCGCGCGCCCTTTGTTCTATTGTTCTAGAGACAAGAGCTGTCAGCACGCGAGGGAGGCATGAAATGCCAAGACAGAGGCTGCGCAGTCTTCATGCCCCCTCCTAGGTCCGGGGAAAGCGTCGCAGAGTTCAAGGGATGTCAAGTTTCTGCTGTCTAGCCCTGTCCCAGGTTAAGTGTGGTTGCCAAATTTGGCGAGACAAGCGATCGACTGGTCAAATCCATGCTCAAGGGGATCGGCCCCAGGGAACATTTCGAGACGGAACTCTCCTATCTCTGGCCAATGACGGACAAGATGCTCGTTACGGCCTCTTCTATTCCCCGTGGGCGTAGCGCCGCTTTCCAAACTACACGTAGGCTCCCGACGGCTCGGTATTCTAGGGCCCCCTCAAGTATTCTTTAAGAACAGGGCTGCATATCAACCGCTTAACTCGAGCAAGTTTAGGGCATCGGAATTAGTGAACTATGTAGATGGTACCTTGCCTCCAGGTCCCTCCAAAACCAATCCTACTGACTGAATGTGTTTATACCTTGCTATACATTGAAATCTTGTTGACTAGAACCCTGGCTCTACATGGAGGAGGCGTACCTCCCAAGCTGCTATCTGTTTATCCTGGTGGCCAACTTCGAAACAGGCACAGTTCGATCAAGAGCTATTTTTCTTCGGCAGCGAGACAACCCGAATCAACCACTCTCCCGACAGGACGAATCTATGAATATTGATTTGTCCGCTTGTCCACCCCTTGCCCTCGGTAACCAGAGCAGGAGGGTTGTCCTGCTGGGCCGTGATTTCTACTAGAAGGAAATGAGCCTCCTATCCCAGAAAATTAGACGCAAATAGAGGGAAAGTGCTATTCTTGGTATGCTGACATTCATTCATGATGGGCGCTGTCTTGGGTCCTCACGGGCAATACCTCACAAGCAGATCAGGGGCGTGCCTGAAGCTTTCGCGAACGACTTGATCGTAACCTAACACATTTAGAAGGCCGCCCTCGACACGAGGCAGAAATCTGAAAGGATGAAGGCAGCTCTCGCTTTCCGCAGCCTCACACTAATTTCTTGTACACCTAAAGGGAGCTCTGCCCAACAGAGAGCTCGGTAGAGTTACGAGTTTCCTCTTCATCATGCAACCGCCGGTTGCCGGTTAGATGAGTGCGTCGACAGACAATGACTCGCGAATCTTCTATTCGTTCTTACGTGACCCCAGGCGCCCGTTCATCATCCAACCTCAGTCTATTCTGAGATACTCGCCCGACGAGCCCCTCGTGCTCCAAATTTACGTCGTTTGGCAATATCCGTACGTTGTCTTCCGCTTAGAAGACAATAAGCTACAACTAGTTGGTCACTGACAATATTCCTATTCGACCATGGCATAGATACCTTGCGAGACTCACTACGTATGGAAGCACCAGACCTACGATTCTAGACCTTCGACGCGGACAGATCAGGCTGTTAGCCAGGGACAGGCACCCCATCCCCATAGCGTAAGCTTTAGAGAAGAGGCCAGCCCCCAATCCAGCTACATGTCTCAGCGGCCAATCGACCTTATGAAGAAACAGCGGAAAAGGATTCCAGGGTGAGCTTCGGTCGATTCATACAAGCCCAAACGACTCGGGGGCATATGAAAGTACGACCTTGCGATAGATAGACGTACATTTATGTATATTTCACAACCGCAAATCATAAGCACCGTAAGAAAGAACAAGGGGAGGACATCAACTGCGTTCTATAACATCATCATCTCATTTCAGGATAGTCTAAGCTTCCAAAGATTTCATCTAACCAGAGTGTAGACGCGGGGTTGGTTGTCGTATCCGGACATTCCCAAAGGCCTGAAGCATTACAGGCCCTTCGGAAGCGTGGACTGGAAATTGGTGTGTCCGGCAAGGGTTTGGCTAGTTTCAAAGCCGGCGGGTTTTTGTTTGTCATCGTTAAAAAAAATTGCCATCTTGAGAACGGATGGCATAGTGTCCGGTAGCACGTTTCATGGTTGAACGGTTCGCGGAGCGGGCGGCGTGCAGGCAGACGCGTCCACAACGTCCACGAATTCCATGCCACGCAGTCTCACATCGCAGGGCCTCACACCAATCCCTGCGGGGAGGAGATGGAGGCTTAGTCCGAGGCCTCTGCTACCTCAAGAAACTTCCTCGAGCGGCCAAAAGGGCTACCCTGACATTGACGCGTCCCTATCCTTCTCATCTGCGGCCCTCACCCACAGCACGTTGTTGCACCTGGTCACCAGGTTAGCTCACGCTCAGCTGCACAGCGTTTCCCGGGGCTCAACGCCTCTTCCGGGAAAATAAACACATACCTAATTAGAACGGAGCCCAGGGTTCCCGTCGACTTGTTGTCAACGTACTCCTCCGCGCCGTCGAGCTGGAGATTCATGTAGCTGTCGACCGAGACGAGGGTGCCCTTGTACTCGACCTCACCCCACTTTAGGCGCACAAAAATGGGCTTGTTGACGAGGCCTTGCAGCATAGGCCGGGGGTTCACGGGGGCGAAGCTCATCTTGATGGCGGAGCTGAGGAATTAGGCGTCGATGGATTAGGCGGGATTGAGTTGGGGGAATGGGCGAAGCTTTTGAGATTTTGATGCTCCTTGCAACCGCGCGACGACATTGGTGCTCCATGTGGCTGGACAATCGCGCAAATCACGTGACTATAACGAGCGCTTCAGCCACAAGTGTGGGAGGCTGTGGCGCGCGCAATGACAAACGATCTCCACTTTCTCCACGCGTGAACCACGGCGCCGCCGCCGGCCGAGAACGGAGAATGGGTCTCAGGACGCAACGCGGAAGCGACCACGTACGCCGGAGCGACCGACAAGTTTTTCTGGTGGTGCCTCACTCTGTTGAGTCTTGGACCCCGGTTCAAAATACCAACGGAAACTAGACCAATTCTCGAAGTCGAATTAAAACATGTTGCTTCATATATCAGCATTCAATGGATTAGAGTAGCCGGGTCTGGTTTATCATCGTCACTAGGACTCAAATGTATCTTCGCACCACTGCCAGAAAAAAGCTCCGTTGGGTGATGGAAGATTGACTCCTATTCAGTACGAGTTATGTATATATGTTCTTCTTGAGGTTGAGCATCAAATTCATAGTAGTATAATCGGAAGAAGACTTCCAATGGGAGCTGTACAATGGAACTTGATCAAGCCTGAATGAGAGGGATGGATGTAAGAGAGAAGTAGAAAAAGGTCGAGGATTATCATGATCAGGAAGCAAGAGTATCGAAGAAAAGGGCACACTAGATTTTAGACAAGGGAAATAAGAATATTTAACAAAGAACAAGTATAAAACTCTCCAACACCTCCTTTCCCCCAACACTTCCCATTTTGGGAAGATACACGGTAGACTGTCGCCATCAGACTGGATAACCCTAAGGGTCACTGCACTGACCCCACTCCTCTTGACATCCAACGGGGCGGAAGCAGTTCAAATCCGCATCACCGCAGAATCCCCAGCGGGAACAGCAGTTTCCATACGTCGAGCCAATACAGGTTACGCCAAGGTCACCGCCACATTGGCCATCAGTGCTGACAGGGAGACCGGGGTTAGCAGGCGGCTCTGCAGGAGTTTCTGGGGTCTCGGGAGTCTCGGGAGTCTCAGGGGTCTCAGGGGTCTCAGGGGTCTCAGGGGTTTCTGGGGTCTCTGGGGTCTCTGGGGTTTCTGGGGTTTCTGGGGTTTCTGGGGTCTCTGGGGTTTCGGGAGTTTCCGGGGTTTCGGGAGTCTCACCACCGCCCTCGCAGGTGCCGAATTGAGATTGGCAACCAGTGCCGCAATAGTCCGCTCCGGCGCCGCACCAGAAGAATTCAGAGCAGCATCCGCCATAGGTGGAGCCGGCGCAAGTGGTCGTGTTTCCGCACATGCCGTTCGTGGTGATGGTCAGCCCCTCTCCGGGGGTTCCCGGCTCGGTGGGAGTGGTTGGCTCCGCGGGAGTGCCGGGCTCGGTAGGAGTAGTCGGCTCAGCGGGTGTCTCTGGTTCGGCGGGCGTCTCCGGCTCCGCAGGGGGGCAGGAGCGTCACCGCAGCGACCAAAGTCAGGCTGGCACTTGGCGATCTCGGAGCAGAAGATATCCGTGTCACCGCAGAAGCCAAACTGGGAGCAGCACATGTTGTCCGCGCACTTGGCGCCGGCGTTGTTAGCACCACAGCCGGTGGCGCCCTGTCGCTTAGCCAGATTGACGTGGTATTCCTCGAGCTCGCGCGCCGAGAGGAGATGGTGGCCAGCGAGGAAGGAAGTACCGCTGTGGACAGAGAACGCCGAAGTGGTGGAGGCCAGGAGGCCACAGCGGCCATGCAGAGCGAAGTCCACCTCATTTTCGATGTTTTGCCGAAGGGAAGAGTAGGTATCTCGGAAACTATCTCAAAACCAAAAGATCTAAATCTCAACAGCCGAAGCACCGTAGCAGGGAATCACGGTGGCGTGTCTGTACGCGTGAGGCCGGAGCGCGACGAAATGGAAGCGAGAGTATGAAGGTTGTCCGCGACCAGAGCTGCTTGGAGGCAATGGGGGCAAAAGGAAAGTGGAAAAGTTCAATTGCACAGAATCCAAAGGGAAAAGAGCTTCCTGCACGCCAGATATAATGTCATGTAGGGATTCTGGCCCGAGGGTGGGAACCACGGTCGGATAATAAGGCAACGGGGCTGGTGGGCCGCATGGGTAGGAACCGTGAGGGGAAGATGGGGGACCGAGAGAGAAATGGATAGCTTCGCGATTTTAAGACCCCTCAGGACATGACATGACGTACCGGTAAGGTGAATGTCGGGACATTAAACTGTAAATGTCGGCTCATTTGTCCGCAAACACGAAGCTCGTCCGGGTAGCATTTTCCTTCATATGAATGCGCCATCGCTTCGCTATTGCACCGGACATCGGCGGCCTTGTGAGTGCTGGGCGCCATATCAATGCGCCATATTGACCCCCAGGCTAGATTGGATGCTATGGGCTTGGTGAGGTAGGTGGGCAGCGGATTCGAAGACCGACTGACGACCAACCGTAGCAAAACATGGGGGCGCTAGCGGTCGTCCGCAAAGGAAAACCCGCTTAGGGTGTATATGACACCGAAGGCCCAACATTGATTGCTGATAGATTGTGATGTGGAGGAAGTGGTATCGAGAATCGAGGTGCGAGACTATATCTCGAAACGGCTAAATATCTGATGGGCCATCTAGCCGGGAATGGGAGCTTGGCAGATAAATGCCGTTCAATCATTTTTTTTTACGGAGTGGAGCATCCGTGAGCAAGGTCCGCCGGCAGATGGGAAAGCTATGCAAGGAATGAGGGTATTATGGTCTGCGAATGAAGTAAGTGAGAAACAAAAAGCAGAATAATAATCCGAAGCGGCCGGGCCCCGGTTTCTAGTATTTCTGGGACTGGTCCGAGTTGGCGATAACGCGCGCGACGCGGCTTGGACACTGGATTGTGAGGCTTCGGATCCTAAGCGGAGGAAAACAGGCCATGTTCCGAGCAGAGATAGCCGGGGCCTTTATCGAGAATTGCAATGCCCAACAGAAATACGGTCTTGACACGTCTTGGCTTCGGCGCTGCTCCTCGAGTCTGCTGTTGAGTCGGGGGATCGGTGCCTTGCAGGAACAGGTTAAATAGCCGAGCCTCTAGAACAGCCCACAGGCTATGATGAGCTGGCCCGGAGGCATTGATTGGTCAACTCTTGGCCATCCGCACACGGAAGATAAAGGGTAAGGTGACAGAGAGGCCAAGGCCTGGTTCGGAGGTTTGGATATACTTTACATTTACGGAAAATATGGAAGAAGTAGAGCAAAATGAATTGAATGGGACGTTGATAGCAGCGTTTAACGAACGAGGAGCGGCTTTTGGGGGACAGAGAGATCAAGAGATTGCTGGCTAGTCAATTATTCTCTTGATTCTTGTCCATGATGACAATTACGCGCAACTTCCTCCTCGGCCGTTCCTGCTATCAGTAGCTCCAAGCCAAGCTTATTCATCTACCGCCACGCGCTTTCCCCTCACGAGCTGCCATCTTCGTTTCTTCGTTTACGTATACGAGTGTACTCCGCGATTGATCCATGAGGGGAAGCAATAACTGTCCAGGCCGAGTCGGAGCAGGCCCGCGCCCTCGTCCGGCTGTCCTAGGACAAATCCCCTTCCTCTACCCGCGCACGGATGTAATGGAAGCTTTCCATTTTGCGGGAAGCCTTCTCGGGAGCCATTCAGGGATTACCCTTTCTCTACTACCTTTCCCTTTCTACCTTTCCCTTTGCCCTGTGGTCTGCGGTACGTACTCTTGTGCCCTCCTTCACTTAATGACTCCCCGCATACTGCCGACGATCCGAAGAAGATCTACCAACCGCAAGCTTACCTTCCCCTCATCCGCTCTACCTATCCTGTGTCTTCCCGAAAAGCCGAGAGGATCTTGAGTCCCGCTGTCAACAAAGAGACTCCCCAAGTGTATCTCTTCTACTATGTCTGCTTACCCCAGTCCCCCACTCCAGGACACGAACTTTTCTTCTCATCAAATGGTTCATTCTTCAAGAGAGTGTACTTTATGGGCAACACGAAACTCCAGCTCTAGAAGTAAAGAGAAGAACTGGGGCATAATCCCGCAAATGCGGGTTCCCCCATTGCCGTGTTACTAGGCCTACACAGTCAGGACAGAACATACTGGTTATACTACTGGGAGAAGGCGCATCAAAGGTTGACCATCGTGAAAGGATCAGCCCTTGTCTTCAACAAGACATCTAGCAATACGCTATCCCGCCGGACCCGTAACGTATCTTGTATTCCAAGGTTCTCCACACCCACACCTACACCCGTGCTGCACCTACAGCTTTCCATCTTGACATCTCGGGTAGTCCAGACCACATTGCGGCCCATGTACCAAGCTTCCGTAGGGCAAACTAGGGAGGGAGACAGGCACGTCAGGCCTTGAGGGGAAGAGCGCGGGACCGGATTTGAACTTGCACAACCTCGCCTACGATGCACACCACCACGTGGAGTCGGCAATATGCACACTTCCAGGTCGCGCGAGGGTCGCATACCCTCGGAATCATGTAATAGTCACTGGAATAAGACATCCTTCAAGCATCTCGGTTGCGTAGTTGCGTAGCTAACGATCCAGGAGTCTGGATTTTGCATGCGCATGACTTGTGACTCTGGATTCGAGTGGCTAAGAAGCCAGTCACTGACTACGATACCGCCAAGAAATAGCTAAGCATAGCTCTAAGCAGAAGCGGAATGGGGGCGGGGAAGCAAGACTTAGTCTCCAGACTCACTTGTACCCTAACATTACTGGGCTTTGCAACTTCGAATCATCACAGTTGAAGATTATCATGCTCGGTCTCAATCGCAAACTGTTTTATTCTTGATGCCTTCTAGAGACTCTGGCTTGCATTCAAGTTTCGCTCAAGCAGGCTGGATACATAGATCCAATGGATCTGTTTTCGGTAGCCACCAAGTATATTCTTGCCATCAATGAGTTTTGAAGTGAACTTATGCTGAAGCTACCGCCTTAGCTATAAATCCATCAGTATACCGATATCACATTGTCGCTAGCTACGTGTGAAACACTTACGTTCCCTCATGGTTCACCGGCTATGAGATCACCAATGTATTGATGATATTGAGAATGGATCACAAGAAGAGATGCAATCCTGGAGTCCCAGAAGCTTCAGAAGACTAGGCAATACCTCTTAAAGCCTAAGTCAGGGAAAGCTGCCCCTCCCCCAAGCAAGGACGGATTTGGATTTCAACCCCACAAGATCACGTTGCACTTGCTTTAAGCTATGGGGAACTTTGATAGGGATTGGCCAGCCTGCCGCCTATAGGTCCAGTTTCGTTGAAGCCCATCTTGAGCTCAAGTCTTGGACTTTTCTGCAATAGGGCTGTTTGTGAGGGGACTTGAGCAGAGCCTTACCCTGATTATATCGTGGGCGTCTATACCTGTGACTTAAGCGAGATAGCTTAACGTGGCCAGGCCCTCACTTTTCTGATAATTAATGAGTATCCTCCTCTGAACCTTTTTCCGCCACCACTTCTCAACTGTATCGTAAGGGTTATGATCACCGAGGTAATAGAGAAACCTGACGAGCTCCATCCACGATGCTAACATTTCCACTAATAGCCCCTTCATCAATTCACATAAAGCACATCGCGGCGGACTGTGAACTTCTGCTTGATTCCATGTCCAAACCTCACAGCAACATGGCCCGATGGAGAAAGAAGTGGCCCATTTCAAAACGAGCGTTAACGTTTCCGCTTTCAAAGTGATGCATTCACTTCGCCATACCAGACGGTAAGACGACACCCACAAACATCAGTATTGCCTCATGTGGGCTCAGAGAAATGCAACCAATCTCCTCAAGCTGCAGTATATCTCTGTAGCCTACGTTCATCTTGACTTGTGAACTACAGAAAGCTAGCTGATGCGGTTTCTAAAACGGAGTAAGCCATCACCTCTCCGCTTTAGCTTCCCATCGAAGATTTGACAGTTAGGCTTCCAAGAACTCTAGATGGATTACCTACATCATCTTGACATGAGTGAGCTAGAAAGAGAATAGAGAGCCTACCATGACATCATAAGAAATCTCCAACGCCAGCGTTAGAGCTCTACTATACATTTGTTAGTCAACAGAATTGACGGGACTATATAGCAATTTGAAACATGCCTCACAGTCAATGAGCTAGATATGCCGAGTCCAGGAATGATAGAGGCTTCCATGAGACCGTGTCTCCCGTTTCACTTGCCTACAAGCAACTGAACCCCGTCCTCAACAAAACGCTATCAACATTGCGGAGAAAACGAGTTCCCACCCTTGAAGGTGATATAGGCCGTCATGGAAGTTACAAAGAAACGGAAAACTCTTGTGATTCGACCACGGCTGTTCTATCGGGGCCAAGCTTGCCTCCCGAACATTGGATGCTTGTCAAACCATAGTCACCAACAGACTCATGCAGCAATGGCGCTATCTATGGCCCTATAAAGGTTTACTATACCTAGAAGTTGACTTGCTAGCTCGCCGCTGCTAAGTGAACAAGCAATATTTGACGTAGCCTCGGCCGGATCTGCACCCATCTGCTGACCCCTCGCCGCCACCCTTCCACATGAGGGAACAAGAAGCTGTCTACAGTCAACGGGAGCGGGCACGGGGAACCAGTCATCGGCGCCTCGAGCCCCAATCATGAAGTTCGAAATCTAGAACCACCCTCCGTGGCGCGGAAACTACCCCGTCCGGGCTCGGTCCTGCGAGCATGCCGTCAAGCAGCAGCACGTCTCGAGGCAGCCAGGCTAGGATATGGCTCTGTGGCCAACCAACTTACCCCACCGACACGAGTGCCCTTG